AGTGGAAAAGTTCCTAGAATATCTACAAAATGAAGAGAGAATAATCAGGGAAAAATTATCGTGTAAGAAACCCATGCGTATGACGAGGGATAATTGGAGTGCCTATAAGAAGTCAACGAGTTGTCACGTTTGTAATAAACCCCTGGATGGGGATTCCGTAAGAGATCATTGTCACGTCACGGGTAATTATCGGGGAGCCGCTCATAACGAGTGTAACTTGAAACTAAAAATGAATTCTCAAACAATACCCATCCCCGTTGTGTTTCATAACCTTAGGGGATACGATTCACATCTCATTATGCAAGCTATCTCAAAGACTGACGGCGGTTTAACGTGCATTCCTAACAATATGGAAAAATACATATCGTTCTCGTTGACTAAACCTATACATTATAGGGACAAGGATGGGAAATCTAGAATAAAGCAAAGTAATGGGCTTAGATTCATAGACTCCGTACAGTTTCTGTTATCTTCCCTGGACAATTTAGCTTATGCGAACAATCCCGATGACTTCGCGATAACAAATAAATATACTGATAAGATTACTCGTCATTTGTTGCTGAGAAAAGGTGTATATCCTTACGAATATATGGATGATTGGTCTAGATTCGAAGAAACTGAATTACCACCCCTCGAATCATTCTATAGTAACTTAACAGAATCTAGAATAACAGATGCCGATTATGAACACGCTCTGATGGTGTGGGATAAATTAGGTTGTAAGAATTTAGGTGATTATCACGATCTGTACTTAAAAACCGATGTACTGTTACTCGCCGATATATTCGAGATATTTAGAAAGACATGTTTAAAACAATACGGCTTGGACCCGGCATGGTACTATTCCAGTCCCGGACTATCGTGGGATGCATTGTTGAAGAAGACCGGCGTAGAACTAAAACTACTCACAGATTACGATATGCACTTGTTTATTGAGAAAGGATTAAGAGGTGGTATATCAATGACAGCTAAAAGGTATTCTAAGGCTAATAATAAATTAGTGGAAGGATACGATCCGAGTAAACCCGACACACACATATTATATCTCGACGCCAACAATTTGTACGGATGGGCTATGAGTCAACCTTTACCCACGGGTGGTTTTGAATGGGTCAATGATATCGAAGTGAATGATATCCATAATATCCATAATAATGATATCGAAGTGAATAAAGGGTACATACTAGAAGTTGACTTGGAATATCCAAGTTCGTTACATAAAGATCATAACAGTTATCCGCTAGCTCCCGAAAGATTAATGGTTAATAAAGATTGGATGTCGGAATATCAACGCTCCTTGATGGGTAATAGTAGGTTAGCTAACGTAGAAAAACTCGTACCAAATTTGATGGATAAGACAAAATATATAGTTCACTACAGAAATCTCCAGTTGTATCTATCGTTAGGTATGAAACTTAAGAAAATACACAGAGTTCTAAAGTTCGATCAAAGCCCTTGGATGGAGCCCTATATAAGGTTGAACACAGATTTAAGAAAGATAGCTACCAGCGATTTCGAAAAGAATCTATATAAGCTCATGAATAACTCGGTATTTGGTAAAACTATGGAGAATCTAAGGAAGCGTGTTGATGTTAAATTAGTCAGATCTAATGAGGAAGAAAGACTCAGGAAACTTATAGCCAGTCCGGCTTTTAACAGAAGCAAGATATTCGATAACGACTTAGCCGCGTTGCATATGCAGAAGAGTAATATAAAATTCAACAGACCGGTGTACGTCGGTATGAGTATTCTCGACTTGTCAAAACACTTAATGTATGACTTTTATTACAACGAACTTAAGAAGCAATACGGCGATAGATGCGAGGTGTTATATACCGACACAGATTCTTTGTTGATGGAAATACAAACCGAGGATGTGTATAAAGATATGGCAGAAAAAATAGATATGTACGACACGAGCGATTACCCAAAAGATAATCCACTGCACAGCATTGTAAATAAAAAGGTGTTAGGTAAGATGAAGGATGAATGTGCTGGGACCCCTATAGCGGAGTATGTGGGATTAAGACCTAAGATGTATTCTATAAAGAAGTCCGATAATGGAGAGATAAGAAAAGCTAAGGGCGTTAAGAAGTATGTTGTAAAAAAGCATATCAAACACGAACAGTATAAAGAATCATTATTCAACGGTAGAACGTTCAAACACGAGATGAACTCTTTAAGAAGTTACGATCATAGGATATATGGATTAAGAATGAACAAGACATCATTATCCCCCTTAGATACAAAGAGATGGATTGATAATGATGGTGTAAATACCTATGCTTATGGTTATGGTGGTAATACCGTACCGTCGGGAACTATGAACAACTCTTCTCGTACAAATGCCCTACCCGGTCCATCTTGAAGATAATAAAGAATAGGCTCTCCTTCTTTCGTAACCAATCGACTAATGTTATACGTCTTAAGGGACCATATGGGATCGGTTGCGCGACGTAGGCCTCCTTCGAGTTCACCGGGCTGGTATAAATATCTTACCCTTACTCTATCCGGAAGTTTTCGTTCTTTGCCTCTCCTCGGTGCTGAAGATTCGGAAGTCACTGATTTCATTTTAATAGCATCGGATGGTTTCTTCCCTATTAATCTTGTTACTTCATTATTCAGGGCTGATACAACGGCTGGTAATCGTGTCACCCATTCGGTTGATCTCAATCGCTCGGATTTCATTTCGATCCCATACTGATAGCCAAACAAACGTTCCGCTAATGTCCTGTTAAATCTTTCGACGATAGCTTGACTGCGGTGGGCCTCTCTTTCACCACGGACGATTTTGACATCATGCTTTGTTAACAGTTTTGTTACCGATCCCATAAACTCGCGACCGGGATCTACTTGAAATAGCTTAGGCCATTTTAGCGGTCCGCGTTTATATATGCGACTCAGTGCATTAGCTACCTCTGTTGATTCTTTCGATGTTAATGGCTCAGCCTCTTTGTATCGACTAGCCACATCCACTACCGTTAAAGCGTATTTATACGTTTTGCGTTTTACCTTATCATGGGGAAGAAACAAGAGGTCAGCCTGATGAACTTCATTCGTCGTAAAAATATCAAACTTCTTCCTCGGTATATAACGCGGTGCCGGTAAATATATCTGCCACATCGCTTGTTTCTTTAACCAATCCTTGGCCACATCTTGAGATACCTTAGCCGCGGTGGCTAATTTTTTTATTGCTCCTACACCTTTCCAATATCCTCGTGGGCTATAGTAAATTTTATCCATTATTAATTAATATTGATATTTCTTTTAAAACGACTTTCGTTGAATCGCATCATCATTTTTATACTAATAGAAGCAATGATTGGCCCCAGGTATTGGTGAGCTAGAGCCAATTTAACTTAATCTCATGACTATCATTAAATCACATAATCATTTTGGCATAAAAAATTCCATCTGTAGTAGCAGTATAGGTATATGAATCCGGCTCCAGTGGAAGTGAGCCAGAACCCCTATTACCTATACTACTGACCCTGATGTGAGTATGGCAAGATTCAGATACATGTCAACCTTGCACCTGACCTTGACAAACACACCAGATCTACTTCTGATGTGTCTTTTAAATTTTATAAATAGTCCATGCCTGGAGCTCTTGTGATCAGCATTGCTGTACATAAGGTTGCAATGATACACAACATACACAATGAATTTAAAAAACAATTGGTTACAATCACTTCCTTGATGGTCAAATGGGTTTTAAGAGGACTCCTTTTCCGAAAGTGTTTGGATGCTTTAACCATGTTAACATTCTAAAAACATGTCAGTAACAATGACTCCAGTACAAGAATCAAGAAAATCTTAATATCTGGAATGAAAAGTGTTTAATTTTGTCATCATCACCAGAGCCTCTCACTGATTCAAGACCCTGAAACAAAAATCCCAAGCAAGTGTACAATACTTTTTTGTCATGTCTAAATTTATTCGATTTCTGAAAATGAATAGATTCTCTGGGCACCTTTCTATTATATATATTTAAAGACAATTTAACAAAATAGCTTAAAATAGGTCATTACATCTTCCCGAGGCAAGAGAGTTAACTGCCTTTTAAAGACCAGTTTCCACCCTTGCCGAACTAGGCTGGAATTCCTGGGCTCAATCGTAGCCACCAGTGGCTATTACGAGTTATGTCCCTTCCATGTCCATCCTACTGACCAATCAGATTCCATCTCTCATTTCACTTGCACTTGCTTCAAACAAAATGGCGGCGCCAAGTCAAGATGATCTAATCGATAATCATGATCTTTATTGTAATTAAACGGGTCTTACTTCACGAAGTGCCTCAAATCACTTAAGCACCTTGATTAAAAACATGAAAAGATTTGAAACATATCTGTTGATGCTACATTGACGGTACACATGCTTTGCAAACCCAGCATTTGACTGAAATCTGCATGGCAGTTTACCAACTGGTTGTCGATTTTGTTATGCAATTTTGATTGGACTATGTATAGGCTCGTTAGTCCAGCCAAATTATAACTGCATAACTCCAGCCTAGTTCGGCAAGGGTGGAAACTTGACTTTTATAGTCAGTTAACTCCCTCGCCTCAGGAAGATGAGTTCACTACAGAGACATTACATTACATATTAGACAAACAATACAATGTTAGTCTTATTACCATATTCGACGTAATAAGCGCCCAGGGCGCTCTCAAAATTAGAAATAGGGGGCTCTTATTAGAATATTATTTTGGTGAATAAGGACAGATTTGAAAGATAAATTTTGTGGTTTATGCTGACAGCCTGGAATGTTTATATACGACAGATATATTTTTCCAGAATTTAAATGCCCATAATTAAGCGTGCATATAACACACGAGTGCGTATTATACGCGAATAAATAAGTCTTGTGTACATTGATCAATCGGAAGGGGTGCCAATTGGTATTGTTCACTAGCCAATATATTAGCAAATATAGCTGTGGGCGCTTATTAGAGCGGGGCGCTTATTACGTCGAATATGGTACTTGTGTTGTTGTTACTTACAAAACTACTGGGAGAGCGTATCCCAGCGTACCCACTTCGCTTCTGTATGCCATCCTTCATCACCTCTTGAGATAAATATCCATGAAACATTGCAGTATTGTTTGTGCTGAGAACTAACGAGGCTTTGCTCAGTCCTTCGTTGTTGTCGTGATCGCTGGTCACCACCCACTTGTCAATGTCGTCCCTTGTGTTCATCTTCCACTCGTACGTGTAGTCTCCGTGTTGCACGTCGACAAACGGGTCGGCGTAGCATTTCTCCTTGATTTCCTGTCCAAACAGTTTCAGTTCTCCTTTCAGCCCTTTCATGCCCTCACTTAGGAGGGCTTTGTGTGATGGCAATGGTTTTCCATAACCCGACTTTTTGTCTGTTTCATAAATTCCTACTTTAGTCCTTGAAGGATTGAAGAATAGACATGGTGGTATGGATAACAGTTTCTGATTATGTGCTAATACCTGTCTTGTGAGAAGTCCTGACATTGTTGGACAGGCAAGTGCTCCGAATCTGAAAAAGGAAAAAAATGTCTCCGTCAGGCTGCTATAGTTAAAATAAATTCCATGTCCCCACCCCTAAACTGCCCGCCTCTAATTTCATTTCTTATAAATATTGATAAGAAACAATGTTTTCAAATAAAATATCATTGTTTTTGTACTTGTCTATCATTGTGTGTCAGGTAAGCATGGGAATCCCTGCGTGGTCGTCATGGCCATGACCGTTTGATCAAGTTTATAGCCGCAGTGGATGTTGACAAACTGCCTATGCAGTAAGTTTTGAAAAAAAGTAACAAGAAAAAAGAACATATATTACTAAACTGGCCTTAATCATTTGTTAATTTTGATATCTTGCTTTTAACAGTATTCCAGTTGTAACAAGGCGTGTCAGCTTAATGTGGGAGGAAAGCCCGAGGTGATGCAGGTCGCAGCCCACAAGTATGGGTATGGTGCTGGCAAACCTAGAAACACAATTGGGGTGAACTGCGATTTGATCATAGGTTCCTGGAGTGTCCAAGGACCGCAACTCTGCACAGCAAAATATGGCATCTTAGACGACTGGGCCACCAGTGTCCCCTGAGAAACAAGAATATTTTTTAACTGGCCTTACATGACATCAATCATGTCAAGTGTACCATGTCAATGTGAACAAGTGTATAGTCGACAAAGTCATCTATATCCCCTGCCCATTTTAACACGTTATGGTCCCAAACCAGGTAACTGACCCAACATTTCTTTTAGCCCATGTCAAAATAGCTGCAATGGAAATTCTAAAATAAATATTTCTAAATCTCCTTAATATCAAATGGCACTAGTTCAGTATGTGCTTTATATATAGACATGCAATGTTTGCCAAGGAAATATTTAACAGTTTATTTGTTATACTCCATAAATGAACCCACCCTATATTAAAACCTAAATCCAACTTGTTGCCATGGAAACGTAAAAAATAAAAATTTCTAAAAGCGCTCAATATCAAAAGGCACCAGTTCAGTATGTGCCTGGTAGACATGCAAAGTTTTGTAAGAAAGTATTTAACGGCTTTTGAGTTATGCTCCGGAAACAAACACCACCCTTATAGAACCTAAGTCCAACTTGTTGCCAAGGAAACGTAAAAAATAAAAATTTCTAAAATTCCTTAATAGCAAAAGGCACCAGTTCAGTATGTGTCTGGTAAACATGCAAAGATTTTTTAGAAAGTATTGAATGGGTTTTGAGTTATGCTCCGGAAACGAACTCTACCCTATGGAACCTAAGTCCAACTTGTTGCCTTGGAAATGTAAAAAATAAAAATTTCAAAAATTCCTAAATAGCAAAAGGCAACAGTTCAGTATGTGTCTGATAGACATGCAAAGTTTCGTAGAGAAATATTTAATGGTTTCTGAGTTATGCTCCGTAAACGATTTCGGGACGCACATGCACACACACACGGACAGAACCTACTTCTATATCCCCCGCCAACTTTGTTGGGGCGGGGGATAAAAATACAAGTATAATCTACACTTCAAAGACAATGGATTGTTAGCCCCACACTTCAAGCAGCAATATTCCAGCAATATCACGGCGGGGGACACCAGAAATGGGCTTCACACATTGTACCCATGTTGGGAATCGAACCAGGGTCTTCGGCATGACGAGCAAACGCTTCAACCACTAGACTACCCCTCGCCCCGATTTTGCTGGAGCACAATGTCATCTTGGTACAACGACACACCAGCAACCAAGTCACCAAGCCAGACAACATTTCAAGTAGTACTGATTTAAGAATTCTGCCATCACTTTCTTTTAGAAAACGTAGTCCTAAATCCCCAATTCTCTAGTGTGCCCCCTAAAGCAGTATAGGTAACATACACCTGATGTACAAATATCATGTCGTACATTTTTAGGCTCTTGACAAGAAAAAGGCCTACCTTTTAGAATTCAGCAAAACAAAAGTTTACAAACACATAACAATACCCACTGACATTTGTGAAATTCTGTTGCAAAACACACAGGTGAAACAATGCCTTCTGATGTCAGCCTAGAAACTAAATTGCAGGGGGTCATTGAGTGTGCATAAGCTCCTACCAGTGATCTTTACTCACAATGTCATTGAATAAGCCTGACTGTAGTTTTTTTAAAATATATTTTATATTTCAGTTCCCTCCTTAATTCATGGGACTAAACATACTAAAAGGATCATAAATGGGAACTATTATACTGTATTCGACATAATAAGCACCCTGCTCTAATAAGCGCCCATGGTGATTATTTGCTAATATATTGGCCAGTGAACAATCCCAATTAGCACCTCTTCCGATTGATCAATGTACGCAAGACTTATTTATTCGTGTATAATACACACTCGTGTGTTATATGCACCTTTAATTATGGGCAATTTAATTCTGGAAAAAAATATCTGTCATGTATAATACACAGACTTTTCTTTTGTATCACTTCAGGTAAATAAACCTAGAAACCTAGAAATTAATGATCTTTCAACTCTGTTTTTTTCCACCAAAATTATGTTCTCATAAGAGCCCCCTATTTCTAATTTTGAGAGCGCCCTGGGTTCTTATTACATCGAATATGGTACATATATTTATTTTTTTATTCATTAATTTTCATTATCATGCACAGGAATGCAGTTTATTGGGTAATATTATATTGACGCTGCACAGGTCCAAATGTCACTGGTCTGAACACCATCTACTGTGGGATAATGTTTGCAATAAATCAATTAGGAGGCTGAATTTTTGTGGCTCTGGCTTCACTTACCCAGAACTCTATCCTTAGCTCTTTACAATCAATTACCCCTCTACGGTCATTAGGGTTAGGTACCCATTTAGTGGCTATTAGATTCTATAGTGGCTCCTCATATTCTTCACACAAAAATGTTGAGAAAGCAGGAAGAAATGGTTTAGTGTCAAATATTTCGGCTAATGAAACTGTCCATCCCCACAAGCCACTTTCACCCACTACATTTGTTCAGTAATTATTCAAAAGCTGACTCAGCCTTGTGAGCTTAAGCCTCCATCGTTCTGTACTATGATCCACATTATCCTTACAGTGTTCCCTCCTACACTTTTCTGTCACAAAACCACCCGAAGACTTACTAAATACCATTCATGCGTACCCATGAATTTGATGTCTGAGGCCTGATGCCTGAGCCAGTTTCAGTTTGTGCCATATCGGCTCATTCCTCACCACTTGGTATCTTGTAGATTACATAATAGGAAGAGTGTGCCAAATGGCATCGGGATCACTCTTTAATGCCTTTTTCATGCTTAACCGTAACCTTCATAAGTGTCTGTCACCTATTTAGACCCTTTCCATAACAGAAATTTAAGACTGCATACTTAGTGAGTTGTGTTCACCCGTGAAGATCAGGGGTAGTATAGGCCTTTAGCAACCCATGCTTGCCATAAAAGGCTACCATGCTGGTTATAAGAGGCGACTAACGAGATCTGGTGGTCAGGCTCGCTGACTTGGTTGATGCATTCATCGTTTCCCTATTGCGTGGATCGATGCTCATGATGTCAATCACTGGATTGTCTGGTCAAGACCTGATTATTTACAGAACACTGTCATATAGCTGATTGCGGCTTTACACAACACTTACATTTGCACTAAGTTCAACACAATATTTCTCCATGAACGATTAGCATGTCCATATCGCTTAGCTGTCAGGCTAAAACGTCTGACTGACTCTCACAAATCTGGTTGCTGGTCTTAGTGACCTACGGCAGAAATCCTAACGAGAAGTTGTGGTGCTGTTTTCTAAACTCAAGGTGCTCCCAGTCCCAAGAAAAATAAAATATGGAAAGAGAAAGAGAAAATAGTTACTTGTTGTGGCCTTAGTACAGGTCTTATTTTTTAATGAGTTCAAATTACTAAGATTTAATTATTTAATGTTTGTGCAGCTGTTCAAGATCATTACAACTGTATATTCATCATGATCGAAAACTGGACAATGTGCATAGTAACAACGCAGTATCATTCTCTTCCAGAGAGCATGTTGCATAAAGACGCATACAAAGATGGCAAAGACGGCCACACAACATATGAGTTGAAATCAAACATCATATACTGACGTAGGACTTAATTAATCAACCAAGTGGATCCATGACCTTCTTCACGAACTAAACCAGTCACTCATTTCGCTCGCGCTGCGATTGTAGGTTCCTTACAGCGTAGAAACCTGAGTCCGTCTATACTACATCTTTAAACTCACAGCAGCGCATATGTAATGTTGCTCGTCTAGCGATTTCTACAGATACGTGATGTCATAAATAAATATTCCTACGTAAATAACAATATCGAAATAATTATGTACAATGATTCAATTGGTGGATATATCCGGACATATCTGAAAATTATGCTCCATATCCCCATCATAAAGAGCATTAATTATAGTTAAATATGCCCAAACAAGTATGACCTATTCATGAGTTTTACACGGAGATCATCACGGAAATAGCGCCATCTACAAATATTGTTGAAATATGGCCGCGGTTGTCCTGATCTGAAATATCAATTCCACTGATCCCTTTGCTTACATGCAATACTCTCCAAAATGCCGAAAGAGTTAGGACCATTACCTAAGGCGATAAAAGAGGGAGATGCTTTGAAGAAGAGGGTAACTTGTCACGCTGATTTTGTAGGACTGGCATATTTGATAACTGTTGTCAAGCAAGATACACGATGTATTCTGTCTGAGTCTCCGAAGTGATGTGTATTGTGCAATTAATGTAATGGTGCTAGTGCATCAAGATTACCCCTACGCACACGTTTCACCTGATATTTTGTATATCTAAGTAATTCATTCAGAGCTATGTTCCGTTCTCATCACAGTGTGCAGAAAAAGAATACAACTTAACTTGAAAACATGTTGTGACATGCTATCTTAGACTGTTAGAAACTAGAGCGTTCAATTCCAGTTAAAAATGTAGCATAATTTAAATGAACAGACAGACAGTGATCAACATGTGCATCTAAAGCGGATCTAAATTTCTCCATGAAAGATTAGCATGTCCATATCGTCTGCAGCCATATTAGGCCTATAGCCACTGTAACTTTAACTTTATATATTTTATTATTTCGGTAAGCCAGGTATGCATAATTCTAACTGATAAAAAATACATAGGGTGAAAAATGCCTGTACAAGAAACTATACAAACACCAATTTCGAGGACAACCACAATTTGTTAGGTTTTAAACTCAAACTCACTCACAAACACAATACACACACACATATTTGCAGACACATATTTGATACATACTTGATTAAGGTGAGATCTCTTTGGTTCTTGATTTGTAAGTAAATATGGCATACTCATTATTAACTGTGTAGGGACCATGCATGTTATTGTTATGATTCTAGTGTGGTAAAGTAATAATCATTTAGTATTTATCAAAGTATAATATACATTGAATATCTGAAGCTTAATGACCCCAATGAAACAATTGAAGACCGAGTTATCCAAATGGCTGCTGAATATGAATAGCATTTTGATGCATGGATGATCAATGCTCACACTATAAACCACTGGTTTGAAGGGTTCAGTTTTGACTGTTCAACTGTGATAAAGTTGTTATAAGTAAAGCTGTAAAACGGCATTCATTCATTGTCATTGACATGTCTTTGAATTTTAGTATACCTTGTCATTGCATGTGTTTTGATGGTCAGTCTCATTTAAATCAGATCTTAGTTCTTGCTACTGCTAAACAAAGATCTGAGGACATCCCATTAGGGGTCACGTCAGAACGACCTTTCATACGACCAATAAGCACGATAAGAGCGTCGCTTTCCAGATCATGAAACTGACAGTCGGAATGTGATTTCTTATCATGCAACCTCGAAAACTTAAACACGGGGTATACCGAACGATAGTTATGGGCTTAACGACTGAATCCATACAATCCAGACCATCTATTAACCATTCCAGAATGTTCTTTTGTTCAGTTTTCAAATTTTTAATCGAGCATTTGTCACAAGCGTTGTCGCCAATTTGAAATTACTGCCGTGAAGCACGAGAAAGCTGTCTTCTGACTGGCTAATGTCGACTTCTTGTCACTCATTCCATTGGTCGGTCAAAGTTCGCGCAAGGTCGTTCTGACGTTACCCGTAATGGGATGTCCTCAGATCTTTGTTAAGCGGTAGCGAGAACTAAGTTCTGATTTTAATGAGATTGTTTGGTGGTTGACAAACAGGTTGAAAAACTGGTGAAGGAAAGTAACAAGACCCTTGATAACACCAAGCTGAAAGACAAGGAGGAAAAGCTGAGACAACTGTACAAGAAGTAAGTGACATGTTTCTTGGAGTTGAACTCACACCAGGGCCTCGTTACACAAAGCGATCGTAGTGCTACGACTGTCGTAAGCCTATGTTAAAGAATGGGAGTTACAATCATTAGCTTGATAACGGTGTTAGAGTCTACACCGAAACGTCGCCCAATTGTAATAAAGAAGTTGCTCATCCATAACAATTTTGTCTTAGTTACCATTCCAACTTCTAAATGCCACTCAAAGAAGTTAATCATGTTGGCGCTAAGATAACTTTGTGGAATGGGGCCCTGGGCTTAAAGTTTGATAGTATTTGACATGTTGAAAGTCACATCCTTGTATGTAGGGGTTACACGTACTTCATATAATAATAATAACCATACCTGGGTCTTCCACAGAGGTTCAAGATGAGCAAACAGTTCCTTGAAACATATTTCATTTGCCTATTTGTTGGCTAATATTTTATTGAGGGCAAGTTCTTATACATTTTAGTCATGTCACTAAATGGCATCACATTTGAGCAAAGGAACATTTTTAAAATTGGCTTTTGTAATCTTTTTTGTATGTCATAAAAATGATGAAGATATCTTTGTACATTGATACAGCTATGTTAATCATGGAGTCTTACCTTTCAGCTGTTTTGACTTGAAACAAGAAGTAACTCCATTGCTCAACACTGTAAAGGAGCTCAAAGAGGTAAAACTTGATTAATAAGCATAACAAGCATAATGAATAGTATAAATACAAGCATGATGTATAGTAAACATGCAAGGATGAATAATAAACATAAAGCATGAATAATAAACATAAAGCATGAATAGTAAACTTACAAGCAACATGAATAGTAAACTTACAAGCAACATGAATAGTAAACATACAAGCATGAATAATAAACATAAAGCATGAATAATAAACATAAAGCATGAATAGTATAAATACAAGCAACACGAATAGTAAACTTACAAGAACATGAATAGTAAACATACCAGCAACATGAATAGTAAACTTACAAGCAACATGAATAGTAAACTTACAAGCAACATGAATAGTAAACATACAAGCAACATGAATAGTAAACTTACAAGCAACATGAATAGTAAACATAAAAGCAACATGAATAGTAAACATACAAGCAACATGAATAGTAAACTTACAAGCAACATGAATAGTAAACATACAAGCAACATGAATAGTAAACTTACAAGCAACATGAATAGTAAACTTACAAGCAACTTGAATAGTAAACATACAAGCAACATGAATAGTAAACATACAAGCAACATGAATAGTAAACATACAAGCAACATGAATAGTAAACATACTAGCAACATGAATAGTAAACATACAAGCAACATGAATAGAAAACTTACAAGCACCTTGAATAGTAAACATACAAGCAACATGAATAGTAAACATACAAGCAACATGAATAGTAAACATACAAGCACCTTGAATAGTAAACTTACAAGCAACTTGAATAGTAAACTTACAAGCAACTTGAATAGTAAACTTACAAGCAACATGAATAGTAAACTTACAAGCAAATTGAATAGTAAACATACAAGCAACATGAACAATAAACATGTAGCAGGTAAGGATGGTGCAAATATCACAGTTAAGACCAATGCCTGCTGGGGGTGAGTTGTGACCAAGAAGCCACAAGTTTATTTTCCATACCAATATTTACCCTGTAACATAACTGAACAAATAATAAATAAATGGTTATACACATTAAAACATTGCACTTATCACCGTTATTGATATAATAATTAAAATACATTCACCACATTATTATATGATGTTTTCAATATTACTTCAACTGCATCAATGCACTTTTATATACACGATGTATATTATACATACATGAAATATAAACAATAAATAACTAAATTACTATGCCTACCGAATGTATGGCTCTCAGGTGATAGTAGGCCAACTCACTTGTCACTCAGATCCATCTACACATAACATACACATGTCATTCCAACCTAAATATAAATATCATAAAATAATATACATAGGAATCTACTGCCATATTAATTCAATCTAAACCTACTACAAACATAATCTCAAATAGAATGTCATAGATAAACCTACCGTTACATAAATATACCCTTATCTAATCCTTACTAACACAACATTACCTGTGCTGTAATATGTTCATAATTATACACAACACACATTTCTCATGGCGGACACAAATACTTATATATGTCGCCTTTATCATAAAAAATATTATAGTACATTACATCAGAGAATCATAAACATGAATGGTGTGTTTATTATTGTTACTGTAATTATGACATAAATTACATTCATACACTCAAATCACAGAAGTATATCTACACTAAAATAATGTTTACATTATACATGCTGTACTAAAACAAATATTACATCCTACATAATGTTTATAATCTAGTATTAAAACTAACCTTTGGAGATGTATAGTGAAGATGAAGTTGTGAAAATCCTTGTCACAATTCGTGTCAAAATATGGGTCTCATGTTGTGACTGTCCAGAGAAAGCTGTAGACTGACTTAGTGCATGTGTTAGTATAGAAGCTTGTCCTCTAAAAGCAAGACAAAAGAATACTCTCGACCCTCACAATAAACAAAAGAACTGACCAGCCCAAGTTCAGCTTGGAGTAATCAGGCTGGAAACTTGTACCGTACATGATCTAATAAAATACACCAATTACACTGTCAAAAACCAATGCCATATATATACAGATAAATTATAAAAATGACACTGCCACAAACATACAAGCAACATGAATTGTAAACTTACAAGCAACTTGAATAGTAAACATACAAGCATAATGATTAGTAAACATACAAGCAACTTGAATAGTAAACATACAAGCATAATGAATAGTAAACCTACAAGCAGCATGAATAGTAAACATACAAGCATAATGAATAGTAAACATGCAAGCATAATGAATAGTAAACATACAAGCATAATGATTAGTACACATACAAGCAACTTGAATAGTAAACATAAAAAGCAACTTGAATAGTAAACATACAAGCATAATGAATAGTTAACATACAAGCAACTTGAATAGTAAACATACAAGCATAATGATTAGTAAACATACAAGCAACATGAATAGTAAACATACAAGCATAATGATTAGTTAACATACAAGCAACATGAATAGTAAACATACAAGCATAATGAATAGTAAACATACAAGCATAATGATTAGTTAACATACAAGCAACATGAATAGTAAACATACAAGCAACATGAATACTAAACATAAAAGCATAATGATTAGTAAACATACAAGCAACATGAATAGTAAACATACAAGCATAATGATTAGTTAACATACAAGCAACATGAATAGTAAACATACAAGCATAATGAATAGTAAACATACAAGCAACTTGAATAGTAAACATACAAGCAACATGAATAGTAAACATACAAGCAACTTGAATAGTAAACATACAAGCAACATGATTAGTAAACATACAAGCAACATGAATAGTAAACATACAAGCAACTTGAATAGTAAACATACAAGCATAATGATTAGTAAACATACAAGTAACATGAATAGTAAACATACAAGCATAATGAATAGTAAACATACAAGCATAATGATTAGTTAACATACAAGCAACATGAATAGTAAACATACAAGCAACTTGAATAGTAAACATACAAGCAACATGAATAGTAAACATACAAGCAACTTGAATAGTAAACATACAAGCATAATGATTAGTAAACATACAAGTAACATGAATAGTAAACATACAAGCATAATGAATAGTAAACATACAAGCATAATGAATAGTAAACATACAAGCATAATGAATAGTAAACCTACAAGCAGCATGAATAGTAAACATACAAGCATAATGAATAGTAAACATGCAAGCATAATGAATAGTAAACATGCAAGCATAATGAATAATGGAACTTTGGTATTTGTTTCAAGGGCTGACAGAAATCTAGCATTAAAGTGTTTTATTTGACGTATATTTTGACATTTTTCAAACTAGGAAGACGAGCCAAGCAAATTAAAGAACTATGCTAACAAGAAAACATTTGAAACAAAGCGCTTGGAAGTATGGCAGGTATGGTGATCGTTTCTCCTATCATGGATTGAGTTAGAGCAGAATTTTGACACCTGTCCAAGCACTAAACAAATGATGGGACAAATAGGTTTCAATCAATGTCAGGGGCACGGGTGGCCCAATCTTCCAAGGTGCCGCAATTCGCTGTGCAGAGTTGTGTCCCTTAGCTACTCCAGAAACCTATGATTGTGAGTTCGAATCCTGGTTCACCCCGATTATGTTTCTAGGTTTGTCAGCACCATACCCGTGCTCATGGGTTTCACCGAAGTGGTAAACCTCTGAGACCTGCATCACTTTAGGCTTTCCTCCCACATTAAGCTGACACGCCTTGATATAGTGAGTGAATATGGTTTACGCCGCTTTTAGCAATATTCCAGCAATATCACGGTGGGGGACACCAGAAATGGGCTTCACACATTGTACCCATGTCGGGAATCGAACCCGGGTTTTCGGCGTGACGAGCGAACGCCTTAACCACTAGGCTACCCGACCGCCCCACGCCTTGATATAACTGGCATACTGTTAAAGTGGCACTAAACCAAACTCACTCACTCACTCATTCTCCCAAGCAATGTCAGAAATTAATAAGTTAACTGTTAACAAAGTTAACATTGAATATAGGGTTTGATATTCTAGAATGTATATCAAGGATGTATAAGGTAGAAACACAATCACTTTATTGATTCATGACGATAGTCATACCGAGACTGTAATGTCGAAAAAGGTTATTAAAAAAATTGGTTATTTTTGTTTCATAAATTCAATGTTCGAGTGGATGTTTTAGATTTTGTACTTCAAGCAACTCTACTATGTCTACACCCAGTATTTTCATCCTAAATGTCAATAATAATGCTGATTTTACATTAATATATGCAACTTTGTTGTAAGAGGCGACTAACGGGATCGAGTGCTCTGGCTCACTGACTTTGTTGATGCACGTATCCCAATTGCGTAGATCAGTGCTCATGATGTCAGTCACTGGATTGTCTGGCCCAGACTCGATTATTTACAGACCGCCATGTTATTGTGTTCATATTGCTGAATGCAGCCTTAAACAACAAAGAAATAAACAAACTAAACATTATTATATGGAAATAGTGGAGATTTGTTTGATAGTCATCTTTCAGAAGTTGACGGATGACAAAATGACACAATTTGTAGATAACAACTTCTTTATTATACTGTTGAAACTTTTGGTAAAGATCCTTATACTGTTGTCAAGCAAGGCCAGTTTCTGTACCGAAATGGCGCTATTACAGTATGATAAAGAAGTGTTATCCATAAATTGTGTCTACTTTGTCAATAGTGGTGAGGTTTTGTAACGCCGCATTTGTCTACTTGGTTCAGACCCAACTGAGCGAGACGATGACGAAGCTGCAGCCAGATGAGAATGAGGAACAGTATCTCAAGTAAGTCCTTGCTCTCCATCATCATCACATTATCTGGGGGGAGGGAGATGGGGTGGGGGTGGGGGATTGGGGTTATATGACATCAGTACGGCAGAGTTTTCTGGTTCGTTCAGTTATTTGTCATCGTTTCCCGAACATGTTTTACCACCTGAAAGTTTGTCAAGCATCTCTTATGTCTGACATTTTTTAAACTACATGAGTAGGTTGATTGTAGCCTGTAAGTATTTGCAGTGTAAGCTCCTTGTCTGAGTGCAGATGTACATAGCCAGTGAAGTATGTGTTTTTGTATCTGAGGATAGATGGTCTGACACATTATTCATGTTAATTACGAGACATTTGGAAAAATAACATACTCTGCATTTGAAGTTTTTCAAAAATACAGATTTAAAAATGTTCTAGAAAATTTGTAAACTTCTTCTATCTCACATTTTGCATTTCGTCACAGTGGATCGAAGAAGTGAGACAGGTTAAGTATATGAATGTACAATTTATTTTAACATTTTCAATTATCTTGTGAAATGAAATTATGCTTAATGGTTAATTTGTGATTTTTTTAACTTATCCTGCACCTTACGACAACTAGAAGGACAGCGCAACAGCGATGGTCCTGGGTGAAGAAATAAAGTTGTTGTCCTGAAGTCCCTTTTTCTGACCTTTGCCGCTGTCCTGTGACCTTGGTGACACCTAGGGTCACCTTCTTCACATCACTGCTTGTCGCAATACAGCAAGGACGTGTCCCAGCGGAGCTCTCCTTTTGGATTAATTTAGACCTTCAGTTTTCGTCTACAATCCTAAAATTGATCTGCGATGGGTGATGTATTCTTTTCATATTACTTTCACCATGCTGTGTAGTTTCATGTGAATTAATTAGGCGTAAAAAGACTCTTTTTTCCTGCCACATATTTGTTGTTCGCCTCCATTTTGAATTGTGTTACATTTGTTTGCCTGACAAGGTAGTCAAATTGTTTACAATTCTCAGCTACGTATGTATAACATATTCTTATGTTCTTAAATACGACTAGCTTTGGCGTAACAGTGATTTGCTTATATATAAATTATTGTATACACTTTCAACTCGTTAAAAATATGTTTGCCGATAGATTAATATCAATTCTACAGCTTTCTTCCAGTTCCTCTTCATCAACATTTCTTTAATTTCGTAACTTATGTTTGCGCGTTATACTAATTGTCGTGGAAAAAATCTTACAAAGATTATCAACCAGGTTGGTAGGCTTACACGCATATGTACTCGCCAAAATCTAAATGTAAATAGCTTTGGTTTATATTGAGTTGCGTATATAAAAATATTGTATACACTTTCAACTCATATTTTTGTCAATAGATTATTGTTCAATTCTAAGGCATTCTTCCAGTACCATTTCATCAACAATGGTTTAATTAACTTAAGCTTGCATGTTGTACATATTGTCGTGGAAAAAATTGCCCAATGTACAAAGATGTGCTCGCCAAATTTTAAGTGTAATTTTTGTGTAAAACGCCTGTAACTGTGACTGCAGAAGTGCCTCTGCGGAAAGCAACAATTCCGGAGGATTTTGTGAGTATTGTAACTGCTCCTAATTTTCAGCTGCCTAACACATCCAGATCTGTTAAATCTGCGCACCAATGATAGCACCAGCGTCTCAAGACACTTTGATGGGGGTAGCCCAGTCATTTAAGCCACCAACATTGTCAATGCTTGCGGTGGATCAGGATCTATCGGAGGATAACCCTATCTGATTAGATCACTTCCAAACCATGGGGATTTTCCTACAGCGTCAGATTGACCACGGGAAAATTCATCTTGAGGCTGCCCTGGCGAAGATTACCGTCACACCCAGACTTTAGAGTTTTTCCAACTGGAACTCTCATTACAAGGGCAGGCTGCTTGGTAATCTACTCCCCTGTTCAATGAACAGATCGTAGACATGCACTCCAAGTTCCCAAAACGCTTGGAATGACACTGTGCTCAAGACTCTAGAGCACATCTCTTTTAGTCTATCCCAGCGGACTGGCAAGTCAGGCAATTATAAGCTTAGACGCGCTGCTCTCAAGGAAGACCAGTATTCCCTTACTAGGAAAAGGCGTGGCAGAGGCAAGTCTCAAGGGCTATTACATACTCATCGTACTATATCATGGTTTCCGTATACACGTAGGGGTAACCCTACCGTTGACCACAGTTCGATTTGGAAAATCCAACATAGACATACTGTTGGTAAGAAGAGCTGTAGAGTTGGCTCACAACCCAGTCTTTACACCGGGGTTTTGTCCTCACATCTGCCTGGTACCCATGAAGGACCCAGACAAGATGAGAATGATCCACAATCTCTCCCTGTTCAACGAACGTTATCTAAAGCGTCCACATTATTGCCGCCTCACCACACTGAGACCACTCATAATCAACATTAATACGTTTGATTCTTGATCAGTCTCGACTATTTATCCCAACAGCAGACTCCTCAGGTCCAGTTCAGTGGGGTTCACTACCAATGGGTAGTGTTCCCATTTGGCATTTCAGTGACCCTGTGGCTATTTACTGGAGTAATGAAGCCAATAACTGCGTATCTACACTTGACGAACACTTGGTTCGAGTCATAGATAAAGGATGGCCTACTGTGTCATCAACACATGCCAACGTTATTACGTCACTGGGAATTCACCAGGCAGATGGCTACTATATCTTTTTAACTGGGATGGATAATCAACGAGGCGAAGTCGGAGTTATCTCCTTCCTATCGGCTTCAGTTCATAGGAGGCCTGTTCCAGACAGAGCAGGATCTCCTATCAGTACCAAGGGACAGATGGCACAAAATTCTATGCCTCTTGCCATCTGTTCTACACCAACCACGCACGCTTCGCCAAGGGCAAGTGTTGCCAGGGTTACTCACCTCGGTACAGGACTTAACTAGCATTGGCCACTTACAATTGCGCCCAATTCATCATTTCCTGAACCCTTACATCAGGAGTCAGGATCCTCTCTAGGCCATCACTCTACCGGCTAAACTAAGGCCTTACCTCAATTGGTAGAGTTGAATGTCTTAGGAGGAGTCTCTTTATTCGGGTTATCCCCGAATCTACACCTGTTCATGGATGCCTCCCTTCAGGAATGGGGTGCTTACCTGCAAGGCCAGACAGCCTCAGGGCTATGGTCCGGCACTCAGCAAAGTGGCACATAAACAACTTGGAGTTGGAAGCTTTAATTCTGGCAATATCACATTGGCAGAATCAACTACAGTCAGCCCAACTCGCAATATCCACAGACAACAGCACTGTGGTGTTGTGTCTTCACAATCAGGGAGCAACGCACTCCCACTCTCTACTTCAACAGACATTCAGAATTTTCCATCTTGTGGATCGCCTGCAACTACAGTTCATAGTTCAGCACATCCCCGGATGTAGAAACATTCTGGCCGATGCTTTATCACATCCAGACAGGGTGGCCCCACTGAGTGGAAACTTCACACAGTAGCATTCCAGTTACTGCTTCAGAAGTTCAGGCAACCAAACATCAACTTGTTTGCTACTTGCCTTGACCACCAACTCATGACATATGTCTCCCCGTTACTGGATCCGCAGACTTGGGCGGTAGACGCGTTCAGTATCCCTTGGAAAAGACTAATAACATACGCTTTACCACCACCAGTTTTACTTCCCAAGTTGATACAGGGGATCAAGGAGATAAGGTATCTTGCTCTCAACTTGGTCGCGTCCTGGTGGCCGGCGAGAGGGTGATTTGTCAAGCTCAGAAAAATCTAGCTGAAGACAATCCACGACCCCTCCCACAGTGGTCCAATCCACTCATCCACCCTCTCAGCAAATTGCCTCACTCAACATCTGCACGCATGCTTTGTCTTTAAAAGGCGTTTAAGTGCGAAGGGTTAATTCGGCACTGGCAGCAAAGCCATAGCTTTAGTTCATCGTTCCTCTCCAAGAGGACTATACAATGACAAGTCGGGATCATTTGAGACTTTTTGCAAGGCAAAAGAATCAAGACCCTACGATTGCGTCACAACAATCACAACAATCCCTAGCTGAATATTTCCTACATTTCCTCCAAAGACACTTGGAAGGTAGCACCATTACTACGTAATTGGCTGCACTTTACTCAGTGTTGGCTGTTCCGAAAATCACAAGATGATTAAGGTCATGGAACTACAGGCCCTATTATGCTCATTCAGGGTTGAGGATCAGAAGGCCGAGTTCCGCCCACCTGCTGGGGACTTGAACGAGCCCCTTTATGCATCCTCATTTTATGACCTCACCAAGGAAACAATTGATTTCTCTTGGCATTAGCCACAGCGGCACAGGTGAGCGAACTACATGCGATCGACATCACCCGGGTTCGCTTTGAGCATGGGACGCATGGAGCGGTGCATCTTGGGTTATGTTGGGATTTTATTGCTAAAATCAACTACCAGGCCAGCCTGATCGTTCCTTTACCATCCCACCAATATCGACCGTTGTTGGAGCCGTACATGAAGGTGAATTTCTCCTGGGCTCAGTGCGAGCAGTTCGCTCCAAGACTAGGCGCGGTTCGAGGAAGTGGTTATTTATACCCGTGTTTACTACGTCCAGGACCGAAGTTAGTCACAAACACCATATCCCTCTCCCAGTCAACCTTCAGGCTTACGAGATCACCAAAATAGAATCCCCCAAGATCGAATTACCCTCATGATCTCAGGGTGTTAGCCTTTGCCATGGCTCTACATTTCAATTGTTCTATTAGAACAGTCACGGAAGGATATGTCTGGAGGTTTGGCACAGTTTTCGTTAGTCATTATCTTCGTGTTGTGGTTCTCGAGGATGTCAAAGGCATGCAAAGTTACCAACCCCTGACGCAAATATGAACTCGCCCTATACAGAGCCAGCCTACTTCCATGTGCAGTCACTCAGTTTCCGCCAGTGGAAGAACATCAGACAATCTTGTTTGTCAGCGATTGCTCTATGACGTAGTAAGTAAAGAATTAGCTATTACTTTCTTTATTACTAAATGTGTTTTGGGAATTTTTCTTTAATTCCTATGTTCAGTTGTTTTGATATTTGAACAACCCTTCCGTAATGGTTTTTTTCTGGACTTTTCCGCTTCACGGTTGATCGACCAACTGGTGTCGTATTTCAGGGTGTGAATTATTGAGGTTTCTGTATTCTGAAGGTTTACCCATCTCCAAATCGTCCGATACAGATGCATTAAGGAGTAATGCAGGATAAGTAAAAAATTTAAGTAAAATCTATATATCTTTTACATTTGTATACTTATCCTGCATTACTATGTATAAGGCCCACTCGTCGCAGACTTGCCTCCTCACTTTGGCTTCAGAAACCTCAAAAGTATGTTTTTCTAAGAGCTCGGGCGACAGGCAGTGATGTGAAGAAGGTGACCCTAGGTGTCATCAAGGCCACAGGACAGCGACGAAAGGTCAGTAATTGGGACTTTAGAACAGCAACTTTATTTCTTCACCCAGGACCATCGCTGTTGTGCTGTCCTTTTGTTGTCGTAAGGTAAGCAGTGAATGCATTAAGAAGTAATGCAGGATAAGTATACAAATGTAAAAAATATGATGTTACCATGGTTACAATCATGAAAAGCCAGAGGATAAGAGGAAGGTTTAAGTTGTGTGTGTTTACAGGAAGTTGCGTCGAGAGGCTGGGGAGGCGAGTGAGGAAGATGAGGAGGAAGGTGAAGAAGAGGAAGTAGAGGAGGAGGAGGACGTGGAAGAAGAGGAGGACGAAGAAGAAGAGGAAGAAGAAGAGGAAGCTAAAGTCAAACCCACTGCCAAAAAAGGTACTTGTATCGGAATTCATCTTTAGTGCAGGGATATTTTCTGGTTTTTGGAAGGCGATTAGGTTTTATTTGTTTTGTAGAAACGTTGCTTCTAAAACATATCTGATTGTTTCAAAAGAAACCAACAGCCCTGTTTACACAAAGGAAACTTAGCACTACGACTGTCGTAGGTCAATGTTTAACAATAGAAGTTATGATGGTCTTAGCGCTGTGACTGTTAGTTAGTCAATGTTCAAGTATGGGAATTACCTTTGTCTTCGTGCTATAAATGTCGTAATTCAGTGTTAAAGTATGGGAGTTACATTTGTCTAAGTGCTACAACTGTGGTAAGTCAATGATAAAGTATGGGAGTTATGATGGTCTTAGCGCTACTACTGTGGTAAGTCAATGTTCAAATATGGGAGTTATGATGGCCTTAGCACTACTACTGTCGTAAGTCAATGTTAAAGTATGGGAGTTAGGATGGTCTTAGCACTACTACTGTGGTAAGTCAATGTTAAAGTATGGGAGTTATGATGGTCTTAGCGCTACTACTGTGGTAAGTCAATGTTAAAGTATGGGAGTTATGATGGTCTTAGCGCTACTACTGTCGTAAGTCAATGTTAAAGTATGGGAGTTATGATGGTCTTAGCGCTACTACTGTCGTAAGTCAATGTTAAAGTATGGGAGTTATGATGGTCTTAGCGCTACTACTGTGGTAAGTCAATGTTAAAGTATGGGAGTTATGATGGTCTTAGCGCTACTACTGTGGTAAGTCAATGTTAAAGTATGGGAGTTATGATGGTCTTAGCGCTACTCCTGTGGTAAGTCAATGTTAAAGTATGGGAGTTATGATGGTCTTAGCGCTACTACTGTGGTAAGTCAATGTTAAAGTATGGGAGTTACGATGGTCTTAGCGCTACTACTGTTGTAAGTCAATGTTAAAGTATGGGAGTTATGATGGTCTTAGCGCTACTACTGTGGTGAGTCAATGTTAAAGTATGGGAGTTATGATGGTCTTAGCGCTACTACTGTGGTAAGTCAATGTTAAAGTATGGGAGTTACGATGGTCTTAGCGCTACTACTGTTGTAAGTCAATGTTAAAGTATGGGAGTTACGATGGTCTTAGCGCTACTACTGTTGTAAGTCAATGTTAAAGTATGGGAGTTATGATGTTCTTAGCGCTACTACTGTGGTAAGTCAATGTTAAAGTATGGGAGTTACGATGGTCTTAGCGCTACTACTGTGGTAAGTCAATGTTAAAGTATGGGAGTTATGATGGTCTTAGCGCTACTACTGTGGTAAGTCAATGGTCTTAGCGCTACTACTGTTGTAAGTCAATGTTAAAGTATGGGAGTTACAGTTGTCTTAGCGAGAAGATCCTTTTATGGAATGGGGACCTTGTTTTAAGGCCTCTACTTGATGACAATTCTAGGCTCAGAAATAATCAATGTCTAGAAAGTACAATGTTTACTCTTTTTTCATTTTTACTTAAAGTATTTTGAAAAAACTATGGGTATATCAATATTGATGTAAGTGTTGCAACAATCCATCCAGATAAACCCACTGCTGCCAAAACAAAAGTGGATGAAGATGAAGATGAGGATGAGGATGAGGAAGTTGAAGATGAGGAAGAAGAGGAGGAGGAGGAAGAAGAGGAGGACACAAAGCCATCCCAACAAAAGTACCCAAATCTATATATGATTATATATGATATATGATCTCAAAGCCTGTACACATATGGTAGGGGAGTAAACCCAATGTCTGAAGTGGTCCCTCACTGGGATTCTGGGGACATCAGGTCCTCTGTTCTTGCTGTGAGAGAGAAACTGCCACTAGACCCATAGTTCTCGCCAACCTGCCCAATACTTAAGGTATCATAAGGACTAGTAGAAATTTGCAATTTTTAAGGGTTTTGCTATTTGTTATCATTATTAGGACTAGTGGACTAAAAATGTTAGTTTCTGTCGCTGCCTTGCTTAATGCATGTCATCATACCTGTACAGTGACCACTGGTCTACCTGGCCCAGGCTTGACCATGTACAGAATGCCACTCGCTGGACATGGGGACTAACACATCTGCGCATGAAGCCCCTCTTGTTGACCAGGGTGGGTGGCCAGCAGTCTCAGGTGTTGCTGTGTAGCGTTGTTCAGGATCCACTGGTCATAGGTTCAAATCCCAGAGAAACTTTGATTATAGTCATAGGCCTGTCAGCACTATACTCATGTCATGGGTTTAATCAAAGTCTCTGATATCATGAAACTGACGTGTTGTGATGTAACTGAAATACTGTTCAAAACTCTCATCATTAGCTTTGGCTACAACTCCACCAATTTGAATGACTTTTTTTTTGTTTAGCGCCACACTTAGCAACAATCCGGCTATACTACAGAGGCCTGTAAATAATCGGGTCTGAACCAGACAAACCAGTGATCAGTAACACGAGCAGCAGGACACTTAGCAACAATCCGGCTATATTACAGAGGCCTGTAAATAATCGGGTCTGAACCAGACAAACCTGTGATCAGTAACATGAGCATGATGAGCAGCAGGGTTTGCAGGGGTAGATTTTACAACACATTTGTATGTAGCCAGCAAGGCTTGCTCCTTTTAAAAGTTTCTGGCCCTTCTCCAAACTAACTAGCCTACAACTAAATGGTGGAGGCCGCGAACCTGAGGTTGCGTTAGCACCTAGCAGGGCTCTGAAATTTTTTCCTGCACTCTGAGATTTTGTCTTGGCTTCCATTTGCCTCATTTCATGGCGAGTTAGGAGCAAATAAAGGAGTTGTTGTACTGGGTCTGGGACGGGTAACTTGGGTACTCGGGCCGGGTGGGTACTGAGTAGGACCCAGGTACTCACAGGACTACCCGGACCCATGGTTAGTCACGTGATATATTGTTTCATGACAAAAATTCACCATAACTACATGGTTACAAAAGTCACTAATGTTCGCATTTCTTCAAGATGATGAACACATTCCTTCAGATTTATATAAGTTTGAATAAAGACAAAACTTCAGTCAACTTCAGTGTATATGCATGACCAGATCGTTTTATACTTGTATCTGAATACATTTTGCTCGGGCTACTGTCAATCTATTCCCAATCAGACATTTCGTAACTATATTTTGAAACCAACAGCGGGTACTCGGGTAGGGTCGGGTAATAGGGGTGTGAGTACCTGGGTAGTAAATCAGGATTCGTCCCAGCCCTATGTTGTACTCAACATCACAAAATGGTGTGATGATCCAATTAAAAAAAGGAAACATTCACAGAGAAGGGGTGAAATTTTGATTAGCCAGACAGGCCACCTACGTTACGTTTCAGCAAGCCCTTTGTACTTTTTACTGGCAACGGGCCAACGGGCCAGAAGTTAAATTGACCCTGGTTTGATGATAAGCAAAATCAAGCAAGTAACCCAGTGTGACCACCTGATCCATCAAGTCATCTCCTGCAACAAGCAGAGATTGCTGGGTACCTATTGTTACATGAATCCCCATGGGCTGTTTATAGTCATGACTATATGTTTACTGAACAACAAAAGTTCCTGTGACATTGAATAAGATTTAATGCAAAGTTCTGTTTTTTACCAAATCTGAAACATTTTCAGTTTGCAACTGATAAAAGACTCCTGTAAGTGTTCAATGGTTTAATTTGCCATTCTGACTTAAAAAAATGCGTGATTTCATAAAAAACATGTCAATTTACAAATCAATAGCGTGTGTGTCCATCTTGTCTCATGGAATGGACCAGGTGTCGCACAAAGTCCTGTGGGATATCTGTCCATATCTGCTGGAGCATGTTTCGAAGTTCCTGGAGTGTCTGTGGAACACGTGGTTGACGTTGAAGGCACCGATCCCTCTCATCCCACATGTGCTCGATTGGTGAAGGATCAGGGGAGCGAACCAATCTTCTTCCATGACACAATGATCGACGTAACGTTCACCTCGACGTTGGTACACTAGAATCCGTCCATCGGTGTGGCTGAAGTGAAAACGAGACTTGTCAGTGAATAGAACTTGTCCCCACTGCATGGCCGTCCAGCGTAGACGCTGTCTGCACCACTGTAGACGTGCTTGATGGTGTTTTCCTGTCGAAATGGGACGTCTAGCGGGTCTTCTGACGACAATCCCTGCACGTCTAAGGCGACGACTACGACCACGTACGGTTTGTGAAGATATTCGTCGAAGGCCAGGGATGCTTCTTGCAGTCACTGTTGCTGTCTGGGATCGATTTTGTAGATGTGTTGTTTGAATCCAGTTGTCTTGTCGATTATCGGTTACGAGTGGCCTACCACTCCGAGGATGGTCTCTGATTGCATTCGGCTGTTGCCAACGTTGCCATAAACACCAAATGGTGTTTCTGTGGACGTTAAATTGTCTTGCAACATCACGTTGACTCGATCCTGCTTCAAGCATACCAATGGCTCGCAGACGCTCATTTTCGGACAGGAGTGGCATTTCGTAATGTTGAATAATTGCGTAATTTTGTTGTTTTTCTGAGTGGTTGTTGTCAGCACGATGCTAAACAATGCATATGGAATTCCGTTAACGCACATGTTTTTATACGCATTCATGGGTAGTGAAATGCATGGGGCTTGCATAAAAGTCAAATTTTGCATGGAATGCATGCTTTTCTGTAGCAGTTTTTGTGACTTGATTCCATACATGTACTACAATATTGAAAAAACAAACTTTACTTGTTTGAAAAATAGACTAAAATATTGGTGTCACAGGAACTTTTGTTGTTGAGTATACATTGGTCGTCTCCATCACTCGCTGAACTATGTAACAATCAAGGTGTTTCTTATTGCGTTCTGGATTTGTGTACAGGAAAGCCAAGGTAGCCAAGAAAGCAGAAGAAGAAGATGAAGAGGAAGAAGAAGATGACGAGGAGGAGGAAGATGATGAAGAAGATGAGGATGATGATGATGAGGACGAGGATGAGGATGGAGGAACAAAAGCAAAGATTGAGACGACGCCCTCGGTGAGTGTCTTCTGACTGTGTCAATACCTTACATGCATCCTACTGTTGTAAGCTTTATATACTTGTTTTGAATACATTAGGTTTAAACATTCATTTGTATGATTGTGGCTTGTGAAATCAAAGTGAATAACATTATAAGATCAGTATTTGGCTACACCTATCATTCAGATAATTTGACTGTAGCTTTAAGATGACTTTTTTTTCACTCACTCACTCACTCACTCACTCACTCACTCACTCACTCACTCACTCACTCACTGCATGTCGTTACTTCCAGATGCGTCTGTTTGTTGCTGTGGACAGCTATGGTGGCGAAGAGGAAGGAGATCTAGGATTCAAGAAGGGTGACATCCTCACAGTAATTGAGACAAGGTAGTCAAACATGGCACGAATGATTATCATGACACCTTGTGTGTTCTATAGGGAGCCATCATGACTCCTTGACTTGTGTAAGGGGTCATAATGACTCCTTGACTGTTGCATAAGGGGTCATAATGACTCCTTGACTGTTGCATAAGGGGTCATCATGACTCCTTGACTATTGTGTAAGGGGTCATCATGACTCCTTGACTGTTGCATAAGGGGTCATTATGACTCCTTGACTGTTGCATAAGGGGTCATCATGACTCCTTGACTGTTGTGTAAGGGGTCATCATGACTCCTTGACTGTTGCATAAGGGGTCATCGTGACTCCTTGACTGTTGCATAAGGGGTCATCGTGACTCCTTGACTGTTGCATAATGGGTCATCATGACTCCTTGACTTGTATAAGAGGTCATCGTGACTCCTTGACTGTTGTATAAGGGGTCATCATGACTCCTTGACTGTTGTGTAAAGGGTCATCATGACTCCTTGACTGTTGTATAAGGGGTCACCATGTCTCCTTGACTGTTGTATAAGGGGTCATCATGACTCCTTGACTGTTGTAAAAGGGGTCATCAAGACTCCTTGACTGTTGTATAAGGGGTCATCAAGACTCGATGACTTTTGTGTGAGGGGCCATCATGACTCCTTGACTTGTGTAAGGGGTCATCATGACTCCTTGACTGTTGTAAAAGGGGTCATCAAGACTCCTTGACTGTTATGTAAGGGGTCATCAAGACTCGATGACTTTTGTGTAAGGGGCCATCATGACTCCTTGACTTGTGTAAGGGGTCATCATGACTCCTTGACTGTTGTGTGAGGGGTCATCATGACTCCTTGACTGTTGTGTAAAGAGTCATCATGACTCCTTGACTGCTATGTAAGGGGTCAACATGACTCCTTGACTGTTGTGTAAGGGGCCATCATGACTCCTTGACTGTTGTGTAAGGGGCCATCATGACTCCTTGACTGTTGTGTAAGGAGCCATCATGACTCCTTGACTGTTGTGTAAAGGGTCATCATGACCCCTTGACTGTTGTGTAAGGGGTCATGATGACCCCTTGACTGTTGTTTAAGGGGTCATGATGACCCCTTGACTGTTGTATAAGGGGTCATCATGACTTCTTGACTGTTGTGTAAAGGGTCATCATGACTCCTTTACTGTTCTATAAGGGGTCATCGTGACTCCTTGACTGTTGTGTAAAGGGTCATCATGACTCCTTTACTGTTGTATAAGGGGTCATCGTGACTCCTTGACTGTTGTGTAAAGGGTCATCATGACCCCTTGACTGTTGTGTAAGGGGTCATCAAGACTCCTTGACTGTTGTGTAAGGGGTCATCATGACTCCTTGACTGTTGTGTAAGGGGTCATCATGACTCCTTGACTGTTGTGTAAGGGGTCATCAAGACTCCTTGACTGTTGTGTAAGGGGTCATCATGACTCCTTGACTGTTGTGTAAGGGGTCATCATGACTCCTTGACTGTCGTGTAAAGAGCCATCATGACTCCTTGACTGTTGTGTAAGGAGCCATCATGACTCCTTGACTGTTGTGTAAAGGGTCATCATGACCCCTTGACTGTTGTGTAAGGGGTCATGATGACCCCTTGACTGTTGTTTAAGGGGTCATGATGACCCCTTGACTGTTGTATAAGGGGTCATCATGACTCCTTGACTGTTGTGTAAGGGGTCATCAAGACTCCTTGACTGTTGTGTAAGGGGTCATCAAGACTCCTTGACTGTTGTGTAAGGGGTCATCATGACTCCTTGACTGTTGTGTAAGGGGTCATCATGACTCCTTGACTGTTGTGTAAGGGGTCATCATGACTCCTTGACTGTTGTGTAAGGGGTCATCAAGACTCCTTGACTGTTGTGTAAGGGGTCATCAAGACTCGATGACTTTTGTGTAAGGGGCCATCATGACTCCTTGACTTGTGTAAGGGGTCATCATGACTCCTTGACTGTTGTGTGAGGGGTCATCATGACTCCTTGACTGTTGTGTAAAGAGTCATCATGACTCCTTGACTGCTATGTAAGGGGTCAACATGACTCCTTGACTGTTGTGTAAGGGGCCATCATGACTCCTTGACTGTTGTGTAAGGGGCCATCATGACTCCTTGACTGTTGTGTAAGGAGCCATCATGACTCCTTGACTGTTGTGTAAAGGGTCATCATGACCCCTTGACTGTTGTGTAAGGGGTCATGATGACCCCTTGACTGTTGTTTAAGGGGTCATGATGACCCCTTGACTGTTGTATAAGGGGTCATCATGACTTCTTGACTGTTGTGTAAAGGGTCATCATGACTCCTTTACTGTTCTATAAGGGGTCATCGTGACTCCTTGACTGTTGTGTAAAGGGTCATCATGACTCCTTTACTGTTGTATAAGGGGTCATCGTGACTCCTTGACTGTTGTGTAAAGGGTCATCATGACCCCTTGACTGTTGTGTAAGGGGTCATCAAGACTCCTTGACTGTTGTGTAAGGGGTCATCATGACTCCTTGACTGTTGTGTAAGGGGTCATCATGACTCCTTGACTGTTGTGTAAGGGGTCATCAAGACTCCTTGACTGTTGTGTAAGGGGTCATCATGACTCCTTGACTGTTGTGTAAGGGGTCATCATGACTCCTTGACTGTCGTGTAAAGAGCCATCATGACTCCTTGACTGTTGTGTAAGGGCATACTCGTTAATCCAACATAATCATATGCATCCAACAATGTCGGATTAACAGGACTTGACTGTGCATGTATTAATCAGAGGTTGAAGTTGTGCCTTTTGCTATTTAGGAATTTTAAAAAATAAATTTGTTCCTGTTTCCATGACAACAATTCTGACTTTGACTCTGTTCATGGCAGTGTGTTTGTCCGGACCATATTTCTGAAAGTAATATGTATTCTTTCATGAAACTGTTCGCACACAAAGGACAGGTTGACAACTTGTGCCTTTTGCTATTTAGGCATATTTAGAATTAATATTTTTTTCATTTCCATGGCAACAAGTTTGACTTTGACTCTGTTCATATTGGTGTGTACTTGACACAGAAATACAAAGTTCTGAATCCAATTCTTTGGTATTGTTCTGATAGCTCAATAACTACTCTTGTATACGGACAGTCCGATTGGATAGAAATTCTCTCATCAAGTTGCACTTAAAGTTACAGTCAGATGATGTTTTCTTTCAAATTTGTGGGGACCGGGGGACTTGTCTCCTTCTGACGACTCTGTTATTTTTCTCCGTTTCCATGAAAACAATTGGACTTGGACTCAAGATGGTCTTTATCACTCGAAAATCAGTGGATAAAGTGTTCGGTCGTCATGTTGAAGACCCGGGTTCGACTCTTCACATGGGTACAATGTATGAAGCCCATTTCTGGTGTCACCTGCCATGATATTGCTGGAATATTGCTAAAAGTGGCATAAAACCGCTCTCACTCGCTCTCTGTCAAGAACAAGCAGTAAAATGCTTTGAGGATAAGTATACAAATATACGAACTATCCAGGATTTTACTAGATTTGTCCCTTGTATGTGTGATGTTAACAATGTATCATATTCCAGGGATGATGGATGGTGGGTGGCCGAGAACAGCGAGGGGGAGAAAGGTCTTGTTCCCTCTACATACCTACAGGTAGGACAGTCTGCTTTGGGTTATTGGTCGGCATGCAGTCAGTCTTCATTGTAGTTGCAAAAAAACACAGGGCGCTTGAGCATGATAAGGTTAATAGTTTTTAATTTTATGTGAAAAGGACACCTGGGTGTCAGAATTTAAGTTGCTGAAAGTTGAAATTTAATAGTGTCATTCAGGATGGTTTTTTTGTTTGTGTAATATAAGTGGTATTGTTTGCAGATGCATAACAAGTTCAAGTCTGTCCAGCAGGACGATGGTGAGTCAGGATGATGATGATGATGATTTTCTGTGGAAGGTGAAACCAAACCAAATCCAGTTACTGTAGAAGGGGGAGCAGAGTTGCGTCCCTTGGGCACGCCAGAAACCTATGATGGTTTGAATCCCGGTTCGCCCCGATTATGTTTCTAGGTTTGTCAGCCATATACCCATCCTTGTGGGTTACACCATAGTGGTAAACGTCTGAGACATGCATCACTTCGGGCTTTCCTCCCACATTAAGCTGACAGGCCGTGATATAACTGAAATACTGTTCAAAATGGCTTTAAACCCAACTCTCTCACATATGTTTTGGTGTCATAAGCTGAAAATTAAGGTATTTCATCATCAGGTCAGCTCCTTCATATGGGTGTGTCATCTGACAAATCCACAGTATCTCACAAGTTCTTGTATGCTGGTGAAAGGGCATTGTTTCTTATAGGAAGTAATGGGACTGAGATCCTGCACAGCAAGGCCTGATATTCTTTCCAACATATCATATTTCTAATTGACTTCTAATCTTCATAACGGACTGGGGACACTGGTTGTCTAAGGGACCAGTCATTGGATATTCTGGGGAGGGGGCCAGGGATTTGGTAGCAAGATTCCTAGACATTTATTCAGCTACATCTCCAAAACCAGATATTTTTGTCTCTAAAACTATGAGCCTGAAATAATATTCCGAAGCATAATTGGTTTTTTTCAAGACTTTTTCAGGGAAAATTTATTTTTTTCGATACCCCCCCCTTGACTATCAAATGGAAGGCCCCAATTTACTGTGCAGAAAAGGTCTGCCAGAAAAGCAACTGAATCTCATATTTCCCTGATTATGTTGCTCTTTTTGTCAGTACCATAGCTGTCCTTTTGTTTCATGAACAGTGGTAAACTTCGCTTGGGGCTTTCCTCCCACATTAAGTTGACACACCGTTAAATAACTGAAACACTGTTCAAAGCAGCCTATCACTCATCAAGTGATCAAAATAGAACCAAAAATAAAGGTATCAAAATTAATGTCATATTCTGTAACTACAGAGGAAGAAGAGGAAGATGATGATGAAGGTGAAGGTGGTGATGACGATGCTGCTGATGGTGAGGAGAAACCCAGGTCAGCCAGGTAAGCAGTGTGTTTGATCTCCTTGATGCAGCATTGCCCACAACAGAACTCAGAGGGTCCAGAATACTTTGATCTGACTGATCAAAGGTTTCAAATCACAATTAGATGTCTCTGGTTCAACTTGCTTGATTTCAAATTAATTTTAGAGGTTTCAAATCAGTGGCACTCAAAATAGAGTAGGTTTCCCTCCTAAAAAGATCTTCGTCATTTAATGTCATTCATAGTCAAAACAGGACATAAGAAAGTCAGCATCTTTTGTGCCTCATGGTCTAAGATGCTGCTATATTGATCATTGATCAGAAATCTGACCCAAGTACGATCTTGGTCTATCGGAGGTATGGCCATGCTTTGGGGATTCACCAAACTGGTAATGTAAACATTTATCGCATAAAAAAACATCTTTTACTCTGATACGATACCTCTCTGCATTAAGAACTGATGACACCTCTGAAGAAGTTCTCATCAGGTGAATCGTGCGCAAATATGGGTTCTTGAATCATTCAGATGTCAGCTTTCTGAAACAATTTGGCTTCAACTACTTACCACCTCGATCCTGCAATTCTATTTGTACAAATGAAACCCACACAGAGCACCAATATTCCCTTGATCCTACTCGCTGCTGGGTGCACATGTCATGGTGCTTATAAACCACAGGGTAGGGAACATATCCATACCAGTATGATGGTAAAGGTCTTGTTTATGTGCAATTGGAATTTGTCGTTTTCCTTCGTTTTTGAGATACAGAAATCAGACACGCAGGTCTGAATGCTTGTCTCACTCTGTCTGAGGATTTCGAAACCTTGATGCTGATTGGGTGATTAGAACGTTCACCTGATGCTACACCTATGGAGGTGTCCTCAGATCTTTATGCTGAGAGGTATTGTATCAGAGTAAAAGTGGAAGGAGATATAGGAATGGGTGATGTCCGTCTGTCTGTCCGTCCTGCCGTCCAGTCATCCATCACATTTCGATTTTTGAAACCATGAGAGATATCTTAACCAAACTTGGCACGTAGATAGGTCTAGTGGTGAACTGGTACCTTTTGATAGGTTGGGATTTTTGAGAATTTATTTTCGAGTTTCCATGGCAACAACTTTGACATAGGGGCTAATGCCTTGCACACAAGTGGACATGGCATATTGGCGGGGAATTTTATTTTATTTTTCGAGTTTCCATTGCAATGACTTTGATTTATTTTTCGAGTTTCCATTGCAATGACTTTGAAGGTGGGAGTGGTCGTTTCCGGAACATATCATGAAAACGCCTTGCACGCAACTGGACATGTCATATTGGCAGAGTATTTCATGCTTGTTAAAACATGGTTCATTTTGTTTCAGAGCAAAGAAACTATGGGGAAGCATAAGAAAAGCAGTGAGTGAGGTGGGTGTACAGGGCACTTGATCTGTAAAGTTATTTTGTCATGCACCTCACTGTCGCAGTTGTAGTTTATTTCTTTGTTTGTTGTTTAACACCGCGCTCAGCAATATTCCAGTTATATGACGGCGGTCTGTAAATTATTGAGTCTGGACCGACCAGACAATTCAGGGATTGACATCATGAGCATCGATCCACACGATTTGGATACAATGACATCCATCAAACAAAGTCAGTGAGCCTGACCACCCGATCCCGTTAGTCACCTCTTACGACAAGCATAGTCAACTCTTACGGCAAGCATGGGTTGCTGAAGACCTATTCTACCCCGGATCTTCACGTGTCTGCAGTTGTAGTAGCATATCTATAAACTTATGCAAAGCATTATGTAAATTGCACCGAAGGCTAGCATTTGGGCAGTCTGCTAATTTCAGTGTATTTGTTTACAAACACGGAAATGTCTGGTCACGTGATATGCAAATGAGCTTGTAGTTCTGGTGTAATACTAAGTCAACGCTGCACCGGAGCAGCCATGCTCATCATGCATTGGGTGATGTTGTGTTGAGTGTTTGTTTCCACTCCTCCTTTCGTAAGAGGTGACTTCAATGGGGATTAGTCGGTCAGCCTCAGTGACTTGTGTGTCATCGTCATAGTTGCTCATGCTTTCAATCACTGGAAATTATTACGTAAACATTCCCTCTTGTATATGATTGCCCTATTTCTCCACCTTGCAGGTGATCACAATTTTTTGAAAAACTGAATTTTCTTTAGTGGTATATGTTGTTCGTAACTGAGTTATGTCCCCTTACCTCTCCATCATTTCCCCTTGGATTCCCCTTGCTCTTCAGTCACTGGTTTGTTGGGCCAAGACTCAATTACCTACAGACCACCGTAGTATAGTTAAAAGTTTTGTGAGTACAGCGTTTAACTACATTCTACCACTCACTCATATTTTCACAGACGACCGTGTCCGATGTCCTTCACGCTATGGGAGCTGTTCCATCGGGGTTCAGACCATCGACTTTGTCACGGCTCTTTAATGAAGGTTTGTTATTCTGCACCTGTTTGTAGGTACCAAATACATGATCCTGACATTTAGACTCCAGGGCCCACTTGCACAAAGCGATCTTAGCGCTACGACTATTGTAAGCCTATGTTAAAGCATGGGAGTTACGATCATCTTAGCGCTAAGATCGCTTTGTGCAAGTGGGCCCAGGACATCAAAGTTTGTGCATGTATCGAGGACACATTTGGTCATGTGTGATGTGGGTCTTGACAAAGTTGAATGCAAATATGTTGTCATGGTGACAACGTTAACAAGACAGTCCTATGAGGCCTACAAGCACAAGATTAATGTATTAAAAACAAACAGTTTTCAGATTACAATCAAACAAGAGGTAGCAGAAATAAGTAACAGGCGCTACAATCTATGTCTGGCCTGTCTCTGTTCTTGAACCAGGATTGTGTTGAGGCTGGCAGGAATTAGGTGTTACAAAGACAGGTGTCTACTTGGTAAGTAGCATCCTCCTGAGGAAAGGGAGGTAACTGACTATAAAAGTCAAGTTTCCACCCTTGCTGAACTAGAGGAATTATAAGTTATATTTTGGCTGGGCTTATGAGTCTATGCATAGTCCAAACAAAATCGCGTAACGAAATCGACATCTGGTTCATAAACTGCCGTGCAGATTTCGATTGATTGCAAATCATGTGTACTGTCAATGCGGCATAAACAGATATTTTCCAAATCTTTTCATGGTTTTAATCACGGTGTTCAAGTGATTTGATTCACTTCTTGAGATAAGGCCTGTTTTATTACAATATCGATAATGATTATCGGTCAGATCGTTTTGACTGGGCGCCACCAGTTTGTTTGAAGCAAATGCAAGTGATATGAGAGATGGAATCTGATCGGTCAATAGAAGGGACATAACTCGTAAATTGCCACTGGTGGAGCTACAATCGAGCCCAGAAATTCCAGCCTTGATCAGCAAGGGTGGAAACTTCGAACTTTTACAGTCAGTTAACTCCTGTGCCTCGATAAGATTGGTATGTGGATGCTAGGCCTAAAAGGCCTTGAATCACCCTCTTGTCGCATTTTTCGTGTACAGCCAGTCTTCTGAAACAGTCACATCACAAAACTTCTCCAACAATCAACCTTGCCAAGCTTGTTCACAACAACCAGGGGCGGTGACTCTATATAAAGTCACTACACTTGACATTTTACCAGTGCTTGAATCATTTGTTTGCTGCCAATCAGTACAAATAAACTCACAACAATCTCTACTGCTACATAACACTTTGAGCCATGATGAAATATGAGACTATTACCTATTAGTAGGCTTTAAAAAACTTGTAAATTTGATGGTTCAAGTTGCGTAAGAACAATGTAAAGTCTCATCTTCCCGAGGCAAAGTGTTGACTGACTGTAAAAGTCCAGTTTCTGTCCTTCCCGAACTAGGCTGGAATTTCTGTTTTCAATCGTTGCACCACCACTTGCTATCATGAGTTATGTCCCTTCTATATCCCTCCTATTGACCAATCAGATTCCATCTCTCATATCACTTGTATTTGCTTCAAACAACATGGCAGTGCCCTGTCAAGAGATCTGATCGATAATCAAGAAAAAAGATTTTGAAAATATCTGTTGACACCAAGTTGGCGGTGCACAGTCTTTACAAATCCTGCAATCAACCGATATCAGCACAGCAGTTGACGAACCGGATGTCTGTGCCCTTTGTAGAGAGTCATGATGTGTACTTCATTGTAGGGGATACCTTCCGGCTGAAGAACTACCTGTCTCCGAAGCTGAGCGAATCCAACCTCTCCTACAGGGATCTCTTCTTCGATCCACTCACGAACAAGGTGAGGTCCCTCCTCCCCAATGTCTGGCTCTGTCATTTAGAGTGTTGCAACCTACCAAAGTTGTGAAGTGCTTGATAGGCATTTTCTTGACAGATGAAAAAGTAGACACAGATCTTGCTTGACAACTGTATAAGGATTTGTTACAAAACATTGCTTATAGAGTTTGTAAAAGAAGTTGTTATCCATAAATTGTGTCTACTGTGTTACCAGAGTTGTGTCCCTTAGCATTGTCAGTATCTGCTGTCATTAGATTGCCAGATTTGCTTGAGTTATGATCCTTGGTTTGACAGCAAAGTTACCCCTCTAGGTGGTTTAGTCAAAGCAACTCGTTTCATTAAGGGCAGTCCTGTTATTGACGTGTGTTACAAAGCAGCAGTTAGTAAATTAACATAAGATCATAACATCAACATCTACTTCATTGTCAGACTCTACTTCCATCCTTCTGAAGATGGTGTATGTTATCAGTGGAATGAATTCATGTTGTCATGTCATTCGTCCTCACAGATTCGTCTTCGCATCGCTCGTGTTGACAGAGTGGTGACATTAGTGTCCTGTCAGCAGATTCCGCCTCTAGGGTCAGGTCAGTGTCACTGTATGACTGACTGTATGTCTGTCTCTGTCCCAGTGTGACTGTGTCTGTATGCCTGGTATGACTGTCTGTCACAATATGACTGTATGACTGTCACAATATGACTGTATGACTGTCACAATATGACTGTCTGTCTCAATATGACTGTCTGTCTCAATATGACTGTCTGTCTCAATATGACTGATTGTTCTGTAAGAATCATATGACTATCACAATATGTCTGTATGACTGTCACAATATGTCTGTATGACTGTCACAAAATGACTGTATGACTGTCACAATATGTCTGAATGACTGTCACAATATGACAGTATGACTGTCACAATATGTCTGTATGACTGTCACGATATGTCTGTATGACTGTCACAATATGTCTGTATGACTGTCACATTATGACTGTATGACTGTCACAATATGACTGTATGATTGTTACAATATGACTGTCTTACTGTTACAATATGACTGTATGCTTGTCACAATATGACTGTATGATTGTTACAATATGACTGTCTTACTGTTACAATACGACTATGATTGTTACAATATGACTGTCTTACTGTTACAATATGACTGTATGACTGTCACAATATGACTGTATGACTGTCACAATATGACTGTATGATTGTCACAATATGACTGTATGACTGTCACAATATGACTGTATTACTGTCACAATATGACTGTATGATTGTTACAATATGACTGTATGACTGTCACAATATGACTGTATGACTGTCACAATATTAATGTATGACTCACAATATTTCTGTATGACTGTCACAATATTAATGTATGACTGTCACAATATGACTATGATTGTCACAATATGACTGTATGATTGTTACAATGTGACTGTCTTACTGTCACAATATGACGATGACTGTCTGACTGGATGCCCCAATGTCTTACTATCTGACTGTCAGTATATCACAATCTGACTATCTGACTGTATGTCACAGTATGTGATTGTGTGACTGTATGTCTGACTGTATTGGGCAGTATGATGGACTTGCCATGTCATAACTGATCATGAATGATCTGAATTAAACAGTTAACTTTTGCTGGGACAAGGTGGGGGCACACTTAGCTAACAGACCAAGTAATAGTCAACTGGTAGACAGTATGTAGTTAGTCATCTACTTATGATCTTTTTGTAATATTTGTTTTAAGATGTATTGACTTACCATTTGAAGTAGGAACTTGTCATGAGGAAACATGTTCTTGTATTGACAGGAATAACCGTCCTGAGTCGCCATGTGAGGATGTGTCTGTTTGACGGCCACACGGTAGGTGTCGCTGTGGAGACTGACACACAGCCTTTCTCTTTCTTTACCAACTCCAAAGTTTAGCTATGATCATCTTCCTGAGGGAAGGGAGTTAACTGACTGTAAGAGTCCAGTTTCCACCCTTGCCAAACTAGGCTGGAATTTCCAGGCTCGCGCCACCAGTGGCTATTACGAGTTATGTTCCTCCTATTGACCAATCAGATTCCACCACTCATATCACATGTATGTGCTTCAAACAATATGGCAGTACCCAGTCAAGATCTGATCAATAATCAAAATCTCTGTTGTGATAAAACGGGTCTTACTTTGTGAAGTGCATCAAATCATGTGAGCATCTTGATTAAAAGCATGAAAATATTTGGAAAATATTTGTCGAGTTGGCGGTACCGGTATACATGCTTTGCAAATCGCCCGAAATCTGTACGGCAGTTTACGAACCGGATGTCTATTTCGTTACACAATTTTGTTTGGACTGTGCAAAGACTCGTTAGTCCAGCCAAAATGTAACTCCGGAATTCCAGCCTGGTTTGGCAAGGGTGGAAACTGGACTTTATAGTCGGTTAACTCCCTTGCCTAGGGAAGATGAGCTTTGATGTGAAGTCTACGATTATTCAGTCTGACCATGCATAGGTTTTGAATGAGAACATTTGACTTCTAGAAAAAAATGTGTTATTCTTTGTGATATCAAAATAAAACAATTTTAACCGATATTTTAAAATATAATATTTACCATATTGTGAACAAAGGATCGCATTAGATATCATATTTTGGCAGAGTATCATCAATTGTGATAGTGTTTTGCTCAAGCGGAGCTTCAAATACTGAAAAACTCAGAACGTAACTTAAAGCATGACGTGTGTCAGCTTTCTACTTGAGCAGATTTTCCAACCATTTTGCTTTTGAGCCTAAAATGATGCTCTTACGCTTATCCTCCCCAAATTACAATTTTTTACATTTTTTTCACGTATTATTTGAATGTATAAAATATCACAGAGAGGAAATTTTTAATGCACTTATCACATGAAGCATTCTTCAGGTAGCTAATCGCATGTACTCTGATATTTTTCTTAGGAACTCGAAACCCCACATTGTCTTTCTGCAATACAACGAATGTTTTCTTGTCCCTTGATGAATTTTATGAATGTGTGGAGCTTTGACCACGTGTTTCTATTTTTTATGTTACTGTTCATTTTGGCTAGGGGACAGCGGTCACATTCTTTTGGAGACGCATTAATTTCACGATTTACAGTATGTGGAAGCGAATACCAGCATCATGGTACTCTTAACATTACTCTGGACCGCCTCCGTGCCTAGTGGAGAGCGGAAGGTCCTGGGTTCGATCCCCGGCCGGGTCATACCAAAAGATGTTAAAAGATGGTACTTGTTGTTACCCTGTCTGGCGCTCGGCATTAAGGGGCTAAAACAAGGACTGGTCGTCTCGGTGGGATATTCATGTTAAACTGCGGCATGGTATCTCGGGAGCTAGCACTATAAATCGGCATTTGTCCGGACTAGTACAAGCAGCCGCACAAACACACACATGTACATGCACGTTGCTATGTAAGTGCAATAATCTTGGACGCGACGTTAAACCCCATTTCACCTCACCTCACCTAACATTACTCTGTTTCACATGTTGTTACGCTTTTTTACCCGACTGATTACTCCAAAGCTTCAATAAGGGTGGCATCTCTGCTAGCGGGGACACAAAATGCTGACGCCCTGAGTTGTGTTGCTTACAGATACTGAGCAACATCCATACAGTGAAGGTGTCCGCGGTGGACAAGGCACAGAGAACCTGGTCCTTCACTACCCGGGTATGTGATACAGATATGTTTACCAGTCTCTTAGAATTTCTCTTTTTTTCATTGCAGTCATTATTTTCTACTGCCAAAAAGTGGAAGGGGGATATCGGAATGGACACTGTCCTTCCCTGCTTCCATTCTTCTGTCCATCCATCTGTCCATCCATCTGTCAGTCCATCTGTCAGTCATCTTTCGTTTCTGGAGCAGAACTAAAAAACCATGAGTTATCTTAACCAAACTTGGCACATAGATAGGTCTAGTGGTGAACTGGTGCCTTTTGGTAGTTTTTAATTATAAAAAATTAAAATTTATTTTTCGAGTTTCCATGGAAATGACTTTGACTTAGATTGAAAACGGCGGTAATATTGGCAGGGGTATGAGTATTTCATGCTTGTTTATATTCATTTTTAATTTGTTTCAACTTTATTCAAGTTTATTCTAGTCTAGTCTGTATTTATCATTATTGTTTTTTTTCTATGTTTTATTTTCTATTGTGTATTGTAAAAATCATTACTATATATAGACATGTATTATGTACACTGAATGAAAATATTTGTAAATGTAATTGTAAATTTTTGTCAGGTATCTGATGCCATGGATCCCTTTTATCATGCGGAGACATTTGTCCGCACTAACAACACAGTTAACAACCTGGGTGAGTGGACTCTTGTAGAATTTCATATGTTGAATAACCATCTCATTAAAGTCAGATCTTTTACTAAAATATGATACCTGTCTGCGTCAAGATCTGATGCAACCTCCATCACTGTCTACAGGAGGTCAGATAAACTTTGTTGTCAGCGTTGAGGCTTTTAAGTTCTCTCTACTAGTGGGCAAAGCATTTAGACAGGCATATTTGATTCAGTTTGAAAATGAATATAATCAGGAAGTTCTGAATGCAAAAACTTAAAGGTGTGCTATTATATTATCCATCCTGTTGTTTCTGAGCTCCATAGTATCTATACCCACAAGGGTGTACTATCAAGGGTATCTTTGTAGTCTTTGGTGGTTTTCTTTTCCTAACTTTGAAATTTACAAATTGAGGTGTTAAAAAATTGAAGACAAATCTTTTTTAAAAGCTGACATCTCATATGCTCAAGAACCTACACATCCTTCATTTTGATTTGGCGATAAAGTTTGCGCAGGGTTCACAAGTTGTGACCTCATATGAAGTTGTCCTGAGATCTTCATGCAGAGAGGTGTGATATTGGAGTGAAAGATCTGATTTTGATGAGATTGATTGAGAACTGGTTGATTCCGGGTCAGAATTGGTCCTTGGCCCCCATATTTACTGACTATCAGATGGTCACAATGTGACCTGCCTGACTGTGTGTGATTATACCCTGACGGCAAAGGTCATTGTTCATGCTGTCAGCCACTGGTTGCTCTTGCTCAGTATACACTCAGCCATGATATAGCAAGAAAATTGAAGACTGGTTTAAAAACAACACCTACTCATTCATTAAGGGAATATTTGTTGCTGAATCTGAAAATGAGAGCTGTGAAGATATATGTGTATGCTGAAACTTCAGTTTGTTTCAGTACATTGTGTTATGAGTGGATCCATTTTACAGAGAGAGAGAGGAGAGAGAGAGAGAGATTTGTACCTAAAATGGATAGAATTACCATTAAACCGCCCGCATTGTTCAATAGTGACGTCAATCTGGTTTGTTCTGTGACGTTCCATATATTTAAAAGTGGGTCATTGATGTTCGTTGTATGTTGATTGCAGGAAATGTTTCAAAACTGATATTGTTGTTTATTTTTATTTGATAACAAATTCTATCCATTTTAGCTATAATAACGGTAACGCTATTTTTCAGGGCATTATCATTTGCAGAAACCCTCGGTCTTTTCTTTTAATGGAAGACCTCAGCCTCTGCAAATGATAATGCCCTGACAAATAGTGTTACCCTTATAATATAATGGATTCTCATAATAATTTCTTATGTGTAAATACAACATAACACATACTTGAGATGACAGGATAGTACAACTTATTGGCATATTAAAAAAAAATCTGTTATAAATATTCATGAATTTTTACTTTTCCAGGTATACTGTTTGAGCTGTGTGTGTCTTATGTCAGAACGGTGAGTCATATGTGAAAAATGTTGAACTAAGAATATTGAAGCCAATGTAGAGTTTCGTTCACGACTTATTACCATGAGCATAAACACACCGTATCCACAAGTTATGAAGGGAGTAGATCTTTACACCATCTATGTCAACTTCACAGTAACTTCACAAAAGAGGCCATCAGCAGTTTTGTTCTACTGACTATCGTGAGTGCGTGAGTTGGGTTTAACGCCGCTTTTAACATTATTCAGTTATATCACGGCATGTCAGCTTGATGTGGGAAGAAAACCCGAAGTGATGTAGGTCTCAGACGTTTACCACTTCGGTGAAACCCACGAGCACGGGTATGGTGCTGACAAACCTAGAAACATAATCTGGGCGAACCGGGATTCGAACCCACAATCATAGGTTTCTGGCATGCCCAAGGGACGCAACTCTGCACAGCGAATCGCGGCGCCTTAGACGACTGGGCCACCTGTGCCCCCCTACTGGCACTGGTGGCCTGTCAACTAAGGTGCCACTGTTGGCTGTTAGAAGATGTGTTCAGTAGACATGCCAGAAAGGTATTGTCACAGGTTCAAATCCTGGTAGACCCAGATCATTATCCCCGCCACTAAGTGGAAGGGGGATATAGGAATATAGGTGCTGTCCGTCTATCTTTCCATCCATCATGTTTCGTTTCCGGAGCAGAACCTTGAGAGATATCTTAACCAAACTTGGCACATAGATATGTCTAGTGGTGAACTGGTGCCTTTTGATAGTTTGGGATTTTACAAAAAATTATTTTTCGAGTTTCCATAGCAACGACTTTGACTTAGACTGAAAATAGTATCAGTAGTGCACATTTTTTACTTATCCTGCATTACTCCTTAATGCATTCACTGCTTACTTACGACAACTAGAAGGACAGCGCTGCGAAGGTCCTGGGTGAAGAAATAAAGTTGTTGTTCTCAAGTCCCAATCAGTGGCCTTCCGTCGCTGTCCTGTGACCTTGATGACACCTAAGGTCATCTTCACATCACTGCTTGTCGCAGCACAGCTAGGACGTGTCCAAGCGGAGCTCTCCTTTTGGATTAATTTTAGACCTTCAGTTTGTCTACAATCTTAAAAATTGATCTGCGATGGGTGATGTATTCTTTTCATATTACTTTCACCATGTTGTGTAGTTTTATGTGAATTAATTAGGCGTGAAAAGACGCTTGTCTTTTTTCCCGCCAAAATATTGTTGTTCGCCGCCATTTTGAATTGTGTTACAATCGTTTGCCTGCCAAGGTAGTCATATTGTTTACAATTCTCAGCTACGTATGTATAACATATTCTTATGTTCTTAAATATTACTAGCTTTGGCGTAACAGTGAGTTGCGTATACTAAAAATTTTTCAACTCGTTAAAAATATGGTTGCCGATAGATTAATATCAAATCTACGGCTTTCTTCCAGTCCCGCTTCATCAACAATTCTTTTATTGCGTACCTATGTTTATGCGATTAAATAGTTTTTTGTTGGTATTTTTGGTTTTACATTGAGTTGCGTATATGAACTATTGTATACTCTTGCAACTCGTAGTTTTTGCCGATAGATTATTGTTCAATTCTATGGCATTCTTCCAGTACCGCCTCATCAACAATGGCGTAATTGTGTTTGTTTTAAACATATTTTATTGACATATATGGTCAACGGGATTGGGCAAAAGTTATCCAACTTAGGTGGCCCTTTCCCTACTCTATATGTACAGACATTGAATATACATATATATATATATGTAATTGTGTAACTTATGATTGAGAGTGGTATTAATTGTCGTGGGAAAAATCTTACAAAGATTATCATCCACGTTGTTTGGTTTGCGCGCAGATGTGCTCTCCAAACCCTAAATGAAAATATAAATACCCTTGGTTTACATTGGGTTGCGCATACAAAAATATTGTATATCCTTGCAACTCATAAATTTGCCGATAGATTAGTGTTCAAATTCTTCGGCACTCTTCCAGTATTATCTCATCAACAAGGGTTTCATTGCGTAACATACCTTTGAGCTTTTTACTAATTGTCGTGGAAAAAACCTTACAAGATTATCATCCACGATTGGTTGGTTTGCGCGCGGATGTGCTCTCCAATCTCTAAATGTAAATAGCCTTGGTTTACATTGAATTGCGTATATAAAAATATTGTATACCCTTGCAATTCGTATTTTTGCCGATAGATTACTGTTCAATTCTACGGCATTCTTCCAGTACCATTTCTTCAATGGTTTAATTGCGTAACATAATTATGTTTGCTCGGTGTCCATATTGTGGTGGAATAATCGCCCCAAGCTCTTTATCCACGGTCATAGGCATGCACGTAGATGTGCTCGCCAAAATTCAAAATGTAATTTTTATGTAAATCTCTAATCCAACGAGTTTACTATATAAAAGCAGATTACTCACAATCATATTTTGCAGTTATTCCGTCGTGAGACGAGAGGAATGTCACTATCGCAGAATAGCGAATGACATATGGTTCTGTCATTACCACCCAACCGTTATTATCGGCAGGTATTATGACGACTGTGATTGCAGAAGTACACCATCCACCGAAATCAACAATACCGGAGGATTTTGTGAGTATCGTAACTGCTCCTATTTTTTCAGCCGCCGGACACTTCCAGATACATGTATAATAATCTGTGACGTCGGCGACAGCACCAGCACCAGCGTATCGAGATGCTATGATGGGGGTAGATTTGTGTCTGATTTATCTGCGCCGAGCGCAGCACTTGACTACAACCCAAGCACTTCTATTACGCAAGTGGCGCACGATCAGCTTAGCGCTGTTCCAACATATCCAGCATAAACCTGCGCCGAGCGCAGCGTCTGACTGATACCCAAGCGCTCCTATCACGCCAGTGACGCACGATCAGCTTAGCGATGTTCCAACATATCCAGCATAGACCTGCGCCGAGCGCAGCGTCTGACTGCTACTCAAAGCGCTCCTATTACGCAAACGTCGCACGATCAGCTTAGCGCTGTTCCAACATTCCAGACCTGCGCTGAGCGCAGCGTCTGCGTATCAATCAAGGTCTCTACAATGACGTTAGCCCAAGGCTTACAGTGTACTCGGTTACGTAACCGGCACATGATCAGCTTAGCACATGTACCCGATTGGGAAGCAGACCATCTCGTGTCAGTAACGCCCTCCCCTGATAACAGGGTAAATAAGAGGGACACCACGAGGTCATTGGAGGAAGCCTCCTCCAAAACTCTCATTTGCTCCGTGATTTAAGCGACCAATATCGTCATTGTTTGCAGTGGATCAGAATCTATTAGAGGATAACCCTATCTGATTAGATCACTTCCAAACTATGGTGTTTTTCCTACAGCGTAAGTTTGACCACAGGAAAATTCATCTTGAGACCGTTCTGACGGTGATTACCGTTACACCCAAGACTTTATAGCGTTTCCAACTGAGATGCTGGTTTCAAGGGCAGTCTATTACGTCAACCTTGATCATCTACTCCCCTGTTCAACGAACAGATCGCAGACACGCACGTCAAGTTCCCCAAAAGCTTGGAAAGTCCAAGTCAGGGAATTATAAGCCTAGACGCCCGTTTCTCAGGGAAGACCAGCATTCCCTTACTGAGAAAGGGAGTTGCAGAGACAAGTCTCAAGGACGATTTCGTACTTATCGCACTATATCATGGTGTCCGTATAAGGGTAGAGTTAACCCCACCGTTGACCACAGTTTGATTGGGAAAATCCAACATAGACATACTGTTGGTAAGAAGAGCTGTAGAGTGGGTTCACAACCCAGTCTTTACTCCGGGGTTTTATCCTCACACCTACCTGGTACTCATGAAGGACCCAGACAAGATGAGAATGATCCACAATCTCTGTGTTCAACGAACGTTTGATTCTTCATCAGTCTCGACTATCCATCCCAACCGTAGACTTTTCAGGTCCAGTTCATTGGGGTTCACTACCAATGGTAGTATTTCCCATTTGACATGTCAGTGACACTTATGGCTATTTACAGGAGTAATGAAGCCAATAACTATCTACACGTGACGAACACTTGGTTCGAGTCGTAGATGGAGGGCGATCTACTGTATCATCAACACATGTCAATAACTGGGATAGACAATCAACGAGGCGAAGTCGGGAGTATTCTCCTTCCTATTGACTTCAGTTCATAGGAGACCTGTTTAAGACAGACCAGGATATCCTATCTGTACCGAGGGACAGGTGGCACAAGTTTCTACTTCTTTTGTCATCTACTCTACACCAACCACACACACTTCGCCAGTGGCAAGTGTTGCTAGGGTTAATCACCTCGGCACAGGAGTTAACTAGCATGGGCCGCTTACAACAGCGACCAATTCAATTTTTTCCTGAACCCTTACATCAGGAGTCAGGATCCACTCAAGGCCATCACTCTACCAACTAAGCTAGAGCCTTGCCTCAATTTGTGGCGCTGAATGTCTGCGGAGTCTGTTTATTCGGGTTTTCCCCGAATACACACCTGTTTGTGGACGTCCCCTTTCAGGGGTGGAGTCTTCACTTACAAGACCAGATAAGCTCAGGGCTATGGCCCGGCGCACAATGGAAGTGGCACATAAACAACTTGGAGTTGGAAGCTTTAATTCTGGCTATATCACATTGGCAGAATCAACTACAGTTAGCCCGACTCGCTATATCCACAGACAACAGCACTGCGGTGTGGTGCCTGTGCAATCGGGGAACAACACACTCCCACTCTCCACTTCTAAGGACATTCAGATTTCTTCCATCTAGTGGATCGGCTGTGACTAAGGTTCATAGTTCAGCACATCCCCGGATGTAGAAACATGCTGGCCGATACTTTATCCCGACCAGACAGGGTGGCTCCCACTGAGTGGAAATTTCTCACAGAAGCATTCCAGTTACTGCTTCAGGAATTCAGGCAACCAAACATTGACTTGTTTATTACTTGCCTAGGCCACCAACTCATGACGTATATCTCCCCGTTGCCGGATCCGCAGACTTGGGCGGTGGACGAGTTCAGTATCACTTGGGAAGGGCAAAGAACTAAAACTCTTCTGCCACCACTTTTACTTCCCAAGGTGCTACAGGGGATCAAGGAGACAAGGTATCTCGATCTCTCCTTTGGTCGCACCATGGTAACCGGCGAGAGGGTAGTTCGTCAAGCTCGGAAAAATCTAAAACGATTCACTTCCCCTCTCACAGTGGTCCAACCTACTCATCCACCCTCAACAGAAAATTGCCTCACCCAACGTCTGCACGCAGGGTTCGTCTTTAAAAGGCGTTTAAGTGCGAAGGGTTATTTCGACACGGGCAGCAAAGCTATAGCTTTAGTTCATCGTTACTCTCCCAGAGACGACGATGACAAGTGGGGATCACTTGAGACTTTTTACAGGGAAAAAAAGAATCAAGACCCTAAGATTGCGTCACAATTCCTAGAGGAATACCTCCTACATTGCGTACCCAAAAACACTTGGAAGGTAGCACCATTACTACGTAATTGGCTGCAATTATCTTAGTGTTGGCCGTTTCCGGAAAATCACAGTGTGATTAAGGTCACGGAACTACAGGCCATATTATGCTCATTCAGGTTTGAGGATCAGAAGGCCAAGTTCCAGCCACCTGATTGGGACTTGAACGTGGTACTTCGAGGTTTGCGAGGGCCCCCTTCGAGCCCCTCATTGCATCCTCATTTTCAAGCTCCTTCCCAGCGCGTGACACCTTCGTTACACTCTCGGTATAGTATAGAGAGCTCCGCGAACGGGCTATCGCTGTGAGGAGCTTGGACATCACCAAGGAAACAATGGTTTCTCTTGGCATTAGCAATGGCGGTACGGGTGAGCGAACTACATGTGATCGACTCAACCCGGATCCGTTTTGAGCATGGGACGCACGGAACGGGACATCTAGGGTTATGCTGGGATTTTATTGCTAAAATCTACTACCAGGCCAACCCGACCGTTCTTCACCATCCCACCGATATCGACTATTGTGGGAATCGTACATGGTGAAGTTCTCCTGGGCTCGGTGCGAGCAGTTCGAGTTTTCATTCGACGCTCCAAGACAAGGCGTGGTTCGTCCACGACAGAAGTTAGTCGCATAATCGCAAACACCATATCTATATGGTTACGCGCAGTAATCCTTCAGGCCTACGAGATCATCAAACGGAAATCGCCGAGAGCGAATTACCCTCAAGATCTCAAGGTGTCAGCCTTACCAGGGCTCAACACGGCAATTGTGGTTTTGGAACAATCACGGAAGGATATTTCTGGAGATTCGACACATATTTTCGTTAGTCATAACCTTCGCGTTGTGACTCTCGAGGATGTCGAAGACGTTCGAAGTTTGGCCCTCTGGTTGTTATCCTGCAGATTGCCAACCACTGACGCAAATAATGAACTCGCCCTATACAGAGCCAGTCAACTTCCATGTGCAGTCACCAGTGGAAGAATATTAGACAATCTTGTTTGTCAGCGACGGCTCTATGACGCAGTAAGTAAAGAATTAGCTGAATAGCTATTATTTTCTTTATTACTAAGCGTGTATAGGGAATTTCTCTTTAATTCCTATGTTCAATGTTTTTGATTTTTGAACAACCCTACCGTAATGGCGTTTTTGTCTGAACTTTTCCGCTTCACGGTTTATCGACCAATGGGGTCGTATTGCAGGGTGTGAATTATTGAGGTTTCTGTATTCTGAAGGTTTACCCACCTCCAAACCGTCCGATACAGATGCATTAAGGAGTAATGCAGGATAAGTAAAAAATTTAGTAAAATCTAAATATTTTTTACATTTGTATACTTATCCTGCATTACTACGCTTAAGGCCCACCCGTCGTTAGACTTGCCTCCCCACTTTGGCTTCAGAAACCTCAAAAGTATGTTTTTCTAAGAGCTTGGGCGACAGGCAGTGATGTGAAGATGACCTTAGGTGTCATCAAGGTCACAGGACAGCGACGGAAGGCCACTGATTGGGACTTGAGAACAACAACTTTATTTCTTCACCCAGGACCTTCGCAGCGCTGTCCTTCTAGTTGTCGTAAGTAAGCAGTGAATGCATTAAGGAGTAATGCAGGATAAGTATACAAATGTAAAAAATATTTAGATTTTACTAAGTTTCCATAGCAGATCTTGAAAACTGTACAATATTTTTTGTCTTGCACACAACCAGACAAGTCATGTTAACTTATGGATTGGATATGAGTATTTCAAGCTTGTGTTTCTAGGCTCATCAGCATCTATCTGTGCTTTGGGGTTTCACCAAAGTAGTGAACGTCAAAGACCTGCATCGCTTCTGTCTGAAATACTGTTCAGACAGCATGAAACCAAACTGACTCAGGGTACCTACAATAGAACCAAAGCCTTCTAGATGTTGAGACATGAAACATTCCACCCGGCTGGTGTTTAAATTTAGTTAATATCCAGATTTCTTTTCATTAAAATCAGTTATTTTACTCTGATACGACACTACTCTGCTTGAAGATCTGAAATACCCTCAATAGAAGTCTTTCTCAGGTGTTTCAGCCTAAATTCTTTGTACTAGCGAGCAAAGCATTCAGAGCAGCATGTTTGATGTCTGATTCTCTGGAAACGAGTAAATACAAGCTGTTCCGAATGCTATTATTATCCCCCACAACGAAGTGGAAGGGGGATATAGGAATGGGTGCTGTCTATCCATCCTTCCGTCCTTCTGTCCATCTGTCTGGCCATCTGTCACATTTTGTTTCTGGAACAAAACTCAAAAAAACATGAGAGATATCTTAACCAAACTTGGCACATAGATAGGTCTAGTGATGAACTGGTGCCATTTGATAGTTTGGGATTTTTGAAAATTTATTTTCGAGTTTCCATGGCAACGACTATGACTTAGGGGCTAATGCCTTGCACACAACTGGACATGACATATTGGTGGGGGATATGAGTATTTCATGCTTGTTTTATATTGGATATGTTAATATCCTATCATTTCTCAGCCCTTTTGTTTAATGGTTGTCATTGTCTCCCAATTGCGTGGATCGATGCTCATGATATCAATCACTGGATTGTCTGGTCCAGGCTCGATTATTTACAGACCACTGTCATATCGCTAAAATATATTGCTGCGTTAAACAACAAACAAAACAAGTAAACAATGTTAACCTGAGATTTTGGTGTTTTTTCAGAGTACTGATGAGAAGGGAGAGGTCAGCTGTGGCTGGGCCCATCTTCCTCTGTTGGACAAGACCGGCGCGGTCATCACTAACAAGTAGGTGTCCAGTAGTGTATGGAGGAACTTCATTAGGTCAGACCGACACGGTCATCACTAACAAGGAGGTGTCCAGTAGTGTATGGAGGAGCTTCCTCAGGTCAGACTGGCATGGTCATCACTTACAAGTAGGTGTCCAGTAGTGTATGGAGGAGCTTCCTCAGTTCAGACTGGCACAGTCATCACTAACAAGTAGGTGTCCAGTAGTGTATGGAGGAACTTCCTTAGGTCAGACCGACACGGTCATCACTAACAAGTAGGTGTCCAGTAGTGTATGGAGGAACTTCATTAGGTCAGACCGACACGGTCATCACTAACAAGTAGGTGTCCAGTAGTGTATGGAGGAACTTCCTTAGGTCAGACCGACACGGTCATCACAAACAAGTAGGTGTCCAGTAGTGTATGGAGGAGCTTCCTCAGGTCAGACTAGCACGGTCATCACTAACAAGTAGGTGTCCAGTAGTGTATGGAGGAACTTCCTGAGGTCAGACCGGCATGGTCATCACTAACAAGTAGGTGTCCAGTAGCATATGGAGGAACTTCCTTAGGTCAGACCGACACGGTCATCACTAACAAGTAGGTGTCCAGTAGTGTATGGAGGAACTTCCTTAGGTCAGACCGACACGGTCATCACAAACAAGTAGGTGTCCAGTAGTGTATGGAGGAGCTTCCTCAGGTCAGACTGGCACAGTCATCACTAACAAGTAGGTGTCCAGTAGTGTATGGAGGAACTTCCTCAGGTCAGACTGGCATGGTCATCACTAACAAGTAGGTGTCCAGTAGTGTATGGAGGAGCTTCCTCAGGTCAGACTGGCACAGTCATCACTAACAAGTAGGTGTCCAGTAGTGTATGGAGGAACTTCCTTAGGTCAGATCTAGTAATTGTCTTTCACATTCCCCTGACCCTACAAAAATGAAAGTGAAGGATTTTCAAAATGAACCCTGCAGATGCAGGTGAATACTGTATGTTAGACTGCAAGAGCGGTGAAACAAACTGAACGAACACTGATCACATGACAACATTTTCAGATACATTTTTTAAGAACTAAAACAAAAACTGAAGTGTCATTTATGTTTGATTTTTTCCACCTGCAGACCAGTATTTGTCATTAAGAGTGAGTGAGTGAGTGAGTGAGTATGGTTTTACGCCGCTTTTAGCAATATTCCAGCAATATCACGGCGGGGGACACCAGAAATGGGCTTCACACATTGTACCCATGTCGGGAATCAAACCCGGGTCTTCGGCGTGACGAGCGAACGCTTTAACCACTAGGCTACCCAACCGCCCCTTGTCATAAAGAAAATGTAAACCAAGAATATGAAAGTCTGGCCTGTATATGCAATGGAATTCATCATCATGTTTCCGTAGACTCTTTGATGTTCTGGATTCCCCCCCCCCCCCCCCCCCCCAGTATTTGCTCATTTGCCCATCTTAGAAGTAAAATGGTATGTGTTGGCTATTGCACGGGGGAGCACCAGTGCTCTGGAACATATGACAGAGGATTCAGATCCCAGATTTGTCCAGATTATGTTTCTAGGTTTGTCACACCATTCCTATACTTTGGTATTTCAACAAGCGACAAAAACCTGCGTCACTTCTTGCTTCCCTCCGACACCAAGCTGACATGCCGTGATATAACTGACGTACTGTTCAGAGAGGCATAAAACCGAACTCACTCACTAACTTCTATTTCACAGTGAACCACAAGTCTGTCTTTCTTTGTCTTGGGATGATGACATTTCAGTTTGTTGTTGCATCATTTTTGTAAGGACTATATAAATCAGGGTTGCATTGCAAGCCACGAGTCGCTTAGAGGAAGCAAATTAATCTATCACCCCGGGGTCTGCAACAGCTCAAAGCGCTTGCGCACTCTTCCAAAAGGGCAGTGCAACTACCGCTTGGGTGCTTTGCCCTAATGGAGAATGTAATAGAAGAGGCTCGATGGCGAACTGATGAAACATTTATGACTAATTTGAAGATGTGGAGCAGACTGAGGATGATGGGGTGTTAGCTACCTTTGCTCATTTCCCAGTTGATCCAGTCAAGAATTTCTTATTCCGCTGTCAAACTCAGTCGCGATTTTTGGTTGAGAACAAAGCGACGTCAGCCAACGATTGGTATGATTGCAAACGGCTGAAAGTTAGTACTCCATTGTAAGGCGAATTGCTGTACATCACTTTCAAGTGTACGCACCCCAGATTACAAACATTGTTGTTGCCAAGTGTCCTAGCTTGTGAGAGTGTAGTGTTTCTACTGTATGTGGGCAGTAGGCTAAACTGTAAGAGACACAAGTCTCTGGATGTACATGGATGGCCTGGAGGTAGCTGGTCTGCCTACAGAGATAGCTGAGATGTTGACTTGACAAACTCTTCCTTGACTGTGACACTTTGATTTGCCCTTCAGGACGTATGAGCTGCAGATGAACGGAGGCACGCCGTACGAGAAGGGGGTGGAAGTGGACCCCAGTATTAGCAGGAGAAGTAAGTACGGAGGAAGAAACAAACATTTTTGTTATCACAAAACACAAAGCCAGAACATGTCTTTAAGTTTTGACAGAAGAAATAGTAATTAAGCAAATATTTATGACAAGTCATTTGTAGATTAAATTTTAGACACTGTTCAGACTCTGATAGATGATAATAATTAACCGTCTTTCTGACCTAAACATGATCTAGTATTGTGTAGGTAAATAGTCCTGTATTTTGGCATCTGCTAGGGACAGATCCCTTAGCTTTTAATCCTAGTTATAGAATTCATAAATGGAGCGTTTATGGAGCATACATATGGCATACAGAACATACCTAGAACATACTAACCCCAGATAACTGGTCCTGGCTACTGGATTGTCACAGGCTTCCCTTTAATACCAGCAGAGATTGGGATTCTGGAGAACTTGCCAAACTACCTCTTGTCCTTTGGTTTAAATTACAGTTTTGCTGAAAATTGCATTTTTTGTCTTTGATGAAATCAGCTTTTGGGTGTGGAACAGCTGACAATAGGGCAGTGATTGCAGTGGTGAGGGGAACCTGACCTGCCAGGCCCTAGTGCTGGGTCAGTTTAGTACTATAGGATTAAAAGTTCCTCAATCCAATTCCCAGTCTCCACGATAGGCTGATAGGGAAGTGTGTTGTTATTAGATGGACTCTGATTGGACAAAGTAAATTAATGACGCATGTATCAGCTGCTCAGATCATGAAGGCCCCTCTTCCAGAAGGCAATCTTAGCGCTAAGGCAATCGTATCTTACGACGGCTCTAGTTGTGTGTGTAACAAGTCCCTGATAACAGGAATCAGACTGTGAAATGTGATAACATTGTGTTAGCAGTGAAACAACCGATGTGTAATTGTGTCTGAGTTTTGCACTCCTTTCATGTGACTTAAAATTTGCTCTTTCTTAACTCTTAAGACTTGCACCATCTCTTTCATATGTTTTATGTTACAACTAATGGCACCCAAGCATGCCATATTCCTTGTTTATTTAATATGTATTTCAGTTCAGTGCCTTGCAAAAAATATTCGTGTTTCTAACTCTTTCTCTATAGGTATCCAGTAAATATATTTTCAACACTAATCAAAGCATGTCTTTACAAAGAGGCCCAGTTATCTAAGGCGCTGCAATTTGCTGTGCAGAGTTGCATCCCTTAGTCATCCAGGATCTGCTGATTATGACCTGTGGTCTGTCAGCTCCATCTCTGGTGGTGGGTTTCACCAAAGTGGTAACTGCAGCATCTCTCTGGGGTTCCTCCAAGAGAAGGCAGACTCGCTTTGATGCAATTAACATATTGTTCAATATAGCTTAAAACACAACTCACTCACTAAATCTAAGGTAGCCATTGACTTCTTATTCCAAGCACTGCTCAATTTCAAAACAAGGCTTGCATTATTGTGCTATTTATATAGTGTCTGCTTTTTATCTATACTACTCAAAAGAAGTTAAGGACCACCCAATTGTTTCATTTACGATATTTAATCTGGCAAGAGAAGTTAAGGATATGCCATGACATGATATAAAAGAATTAGGTGGTCCTTAACTTTTTTGAGTAGTATATATATATATACACACTACAGATATCACACTGGTGTTGTTTGCAGGAAAGGACTCCTGTGTATTGAGGTCATGTGATATTTAAGGTCTTCCAGCCTTTGGGTATTGGTTGATGGCTTCCTTTAACAAATGATTTCAATAACATGATTACGGAGGTATGGATGGTTATGTCTGTTTTTCGATACTGTACTTCTCTAACAAGCTTTGTTTTTGTGTGCCTCAGTCATGACCTTGATCTACATTTGCATATTTCAGCAGGTGAGCGTGAGTAGTTAGTGGTGCCTGGTGACCTTTGCATGTGATGCCTGGTGACCTTTGCATGTGATGTCTCGCTGTCTTGTAACACTATCGTCTCTTCCTAACACTTCGTTTCACAGTTAAATTAGAGTTCCATGTAAATTTAATTATGGATGTTGAACTGTTTTGGTAGAGTATTCAATTGTTTGATGATCTTTGAAGATGTATACTACTCAAAAAAGTTTAAGGACCACTGTTTTATATTAGTATAGTTAATCTGCCATGTCCTTAACTTGTTTTGAGTGGTATATCTCACAGCAACATCGCTGACAGTCAGTGATGTGTTTTCGAGCGATTACCTAACAGTTCACCAATACTTGAAATTAATTTTGCCTGCGCTGCTGTGCTTATAGAAAAATACACAATTTGATGAATATTTGTCTCAGGTCTTTATGTACAGAATGTGACACAAAAACTGTGATTTTTTTAAGTTTCATGCAAATTCAGAGGTTGCATGTAACCTGAAAAGATTAGTGGTTCCAGTCTGTGCCAGACACTTTTGTGTCTACTCATCCGAACTTGGCTCTTGGCATTATTGTAAGTAGATTTTAGTGTTATTATAAGGACTATTATTAGCTGAGCTGACTTGACCGAACAGAATTTTGCTAGACTCGAGCTTTGGACTAGTGGCTAAGGTCAAAGATGAGTGCTTGTTTATGTTTAATAACCTTCCCCAATAACGTGACACTTATTGGGATAACTGCATGCAAACAACGTCAAGGACGACTTACTGAGAAGAAATCCTGCGTTAGCTTATTTGGGATTGATTTAAAGAACTTTGAATAAAACATACTGTGTATGTAGAATTCACTGTAGAACTAGATTATCTGAACATTTAGTTTGTCAAATTAAATTTGGAACCAAATGCATTATTGTTATTTGAAAGCTCTGATTGAGCAATCAGAATAGTTTCCAAATTCCTGAAGGTATGTGCAACCTAGATACTTCAGTATATCATATACAGAGCAGAGCTCAAGATAACTTTTTGAGCAATTGAGTTTTTACTCTAGATTTACTATTTTATTTGGGTTATTATATTGTTTCATTGGGTAACCAATATTTTATCACTCATCTATTCTTCACTCTATTGTTTTTTTATCTAAAATTAGTGAACATCTAAAGAAAATGAAATAATGTTTTAGATGTATATAACTGTTCTAAATATACAGGCTTGACTCGGAAAGTAAATTAGCTTATAATTGTTATTCGGAAATTAGCTCCTTTGTACGCATGCTGAAAAAGCTTCATTGGGAATTTACGCGTGCTGTTAATATGCATTTGAGTTTTTCATTTAATGCATGCGTTTCTGTCACAAGTTAATTGAAAGTAATTGGGTTTTCCATATTTAGGGAGGTGTGTGTGTGTGGGGGGGGGGGGGCTATGTTACGCAAATATGCTGCTTATCTGTAGCTCTTGAGAGGGTAGGGCATGCTTAGGATGCCACTTGGATTGTGGCTTCATAGTCATTAGAGTACGTTATTGCACAACTTGTCATCGTCCCGAGGCAAGGGAGTTAACTGACTGTAGAAGCCCAGTTTCCACCCTTGTCGAACTAGGCTGGAATTCTGGAGTTACTTTTAACCTGGACTAACGAGTTTATGCTTAGTCCAATCAAAATCGAGTAACGAAATCGACATCCGGTTCGTAAACAACATGGATTTCAACGTGCAGATTTCAGTTGAATGCAGGATTTGCAAAAAATGTGTACTGTCAACTGGACGTTGAGAGTTGCAAATCGTTTTATGTTTTTAATCAAGGTGCTAACGTGATTTCGCACTTCATGAGGTAAGACCCGTTTTATTACAATGTATATCTTGACCATCGTTCAGATCGTCTTGAATGGGCGCCACCATTTTTGCTTGAAGCAAATGCAAGTTATATGAGAGGTGGAATCTGATTGGTCAATAGGAGGGGCATTGAAGGGACATAACTAGTAATAGCCACTGATGGTGCTACGATTGAGCCCAGAAGTTCCAGCCTATTTTGGCCAGGGTGGAAACTGGTCTTTTACAGCCAGTTAACTCTCTTGCCTCGGGGAGATGACAACATGTCTGTCTAAGATTGTGCCACAGGTAGATATATTTCACAGTAATGTTCATTTCACAGTATAGCACAGTGATGGCTGTAATTAAACTCTAGATGGATGTCAGTGTGATTGCATTTATGAAGAACTTGTGAAGATCCGGGTACAGAATAGGTGTTCAGCAAATCATGTTTGCCGTAAGAGGCGACTAACGGGATCAGGCGGTCAGGCTCACTGACTTGGTTGATGCATGTCATCATATCCTATCCATGCTCATGATGTCAATCACTGGATTGCCTGGTCCAGACTCAGTTATTAACAGACGGCCGCCATATAGCTGGAATAGTGCTGAGTGCGGCGTTAAACAAAACAAGCAAGCAAACAAGCATTTTAAGAAAATGCTACAAAGCAGTCTGATAATTAAGGCTTTTATTGATTTCAAATTAGCAATATCTCTTAAAATTACTGAATACACAGTTGCACGTTTAATTAAAGATGATATTTACAAAGAAATAAGCAGAAGTGAAGCAGGTAGAACAAGATGTGTACTAGCCTGCCCATGTGTCATCTGCATGTCATAACCCAGCAGCCCTCACAGTAGAGATTCTTGATATTGTTGACCCCAGAATGAGATATGTATGTACAGTAAACTATGTTTATAACGAACATGCTTATAATGAACCGATGGATATAACGAACTTAAGTTTAGGTCCCGGCCATTTGCTGTATAAGTGCTGTATATATGCTTATAACGAACAATGGTTATAACGACCTAATGTTAGTGGTCCTTTTGAGTTCGTTGTAACCGTACTTTACTTCATGTGTTCCTGTATGTCGCTATGTTGTTTATTGAATCAAATGTTGGAAATGAATTTTGCAGATGTAATCGTGACTAGTCCCCTCCTCCCCCCTCCTCCCCCTCCTTCCCCTCCTCCCCCCTCCTCCCTAAGACTTGGTGTCTACCCAATGTCTCTCCAGTGCCCCTCCAGCAACATGTTCCAAAACGAGCTATTATGAGTGATATTCTCTGTGATTGCTCATAAAATGTGGATTGAATGGCTACAATGACCCTGATGTGATTGAATCAGTGTCATTGTACCTCAGTGATGTAGATTAATGCTCACACTATTAATCACTGGGTTGCCCGCTTCAGGCTTGAATATCTTCTGTAGGTCATTGTGATATGGCTCTGTTGTACTGAAGTGGAGTTGCTGGCTTTGGAATAATTTGACTAGGACAAAGACACAGAGTGTTCGATGTACATGTTTGTAACATCGTGCCTGTCCGAATAAAACAGCGCTGGTTTGCTTTGTAGTGCCGTAACTAGATCATGCTTATGGCTGTTTGAAAGAAACGGGGTACAATATATTTTTCAGGATTTCAACATTTTCAGGCTTTCATGTGAAAACATTCCACAGTGCAATCTCCTACCACACATTAAGAATGTAGGCTTGATGGAGCTTAACATACTGTGTTTCAGTGAAGAGTTCTGTCGAAAAGACAATACCAGACATCGTGGGTTTTATCCTGTGAAGATCCGGGGTAGAATAAGTCTTCAGCAACCCATTCTTGCCGTAAAAGGCAACTATGTTTCTCGTAAGAGGCGACTAACGGGATCGGGTGGTCAGGCTCGCTGACTTGGTTGATGCATGTCATCGATCCAAATTGCGTGGATGGATGCTCATGATATCAATCACTGGATTGTCTGGTCCAGACTTGATTAATTACAGACTGCCGTCATATAGCTGGAATATTGCTGAGTGTGGCGTAAAACAACAAACCAAACCAAACCATCGTGGGTTTTATCCTGTTGGTGCAGGCAGAGCATGTCTGTAAGCAGTCCATGCTGTCGGGGGCAATTTGGATAAATACAGACACCGGAGTAGAATAGGTCTTCAGCAACCCATGCTTGCCGTAAAAGGTGACTATGCTGGTCATAAGAGGCGGCTAACAGGATCGGGTGGTCAGGCTCACTGACTTGGTTGATGTATGTCAACGTATCCCAATTGCGTGGATCGATGCTCATGATGTCTGGTCCAGACTCAATTATTTACAGACTGCCGTCATGTAGCTGGAATATTGCTGATTGCAGCGTTAAACAACAAAAACAAATATAAACAAAGACAGGCGCCATTTTGGTAAGTCTGACTGGTCATCCATTTCCCTGCTGTTTATATTCCCTTCTGTTATTGAGGAACACCTTCGTCTGTGTCTTCTAAGGTGCTGAAATTTACTCTGTAGAGTTGTGTTCCTGTGATGTGACAGAAACCTATGATTGTGGGTTTCCAGTCCAAGACTTGCCCTTATTATCATGATTGTATTCCTTGGTTTGTCAGCACCATACCATGGCTGTGGGTTTCACCATCACATGGGCTCTGATACTAAAATAATGTTTGAGTGGAGTTAGACCAAACTCAATCAGTTGTTAGGAACAGCCTACCCTCTCATAGGGCTTGAGGACCTGCACTATCCTGAAATCTCATGCCTTCCACTTCTTCAGTCTCACTGCTTATACAGGGGTAGATTTAACAACAAATTTGTATGTAGCTAGCAGGGCTTTCTCCTTTCAAAGGTTAAGGCCCTTCTCCAGACTAACTGGCCCAATACTAAATGTTGGAGGTCCTGTTGATAACTGAGTTACCTAGGGAGCTAAAAATTTTTTAGAACTTTTTACCCCTAAAACATTTTTTCCTGCACTCTGAGATTAAATCTTGACTTCCCTTTGCCTCATGTCATGGCAAGTTTATGAGTAATTAAGATGTGGTGGTACAGAACATTACAAAATGGCCGCCAGTTGTGTCATTCTACCGACATAATCTTTGAGTTAACCATTCACAAGATCTCATCCCCTCGAAATATTTTTTCATCGAAATTACATGATTCACGAGCAGTGAATTCAGTAAACTAAACATACAAAGAGAAGGGTGAAATTTTGATTAGCCAGAGGGGCCGTCTACTTTATGTTCAGCAGGCCTTTCGTAATTTTAACTGGCCACAGGCCAATGGGCCAGGAGTTAAATCGACCCCTGTTATGTAGATAATATATATAATGGATATTCTGTGATCATTCTGGGAAGTTGGGATGGATGTTTACCTGTTCACAGTCTGTGCCAACATTTTTTAAAAGTTGACAAGTCTGAGCTTGTCTTTTTGCATTATTTGTCAAAATGATGTTTATTATTGTTACCTGAGTTTACCATGTTTACTAGACCAAAAGCTTTGGACTGTTGGATAAAGGCCGGACTGTGTTCAGATCAATGGTGGTAGTGTCTTGGTGGATGGTGGCTACTGTAACAATAACCTTGAATAATGTAACTGTTGTTGGTGAATATTGTTTAATAGTGACCAATGCTGTAGACATCTAGCTTACCAGATCCCAGACAGTGCTGCTATATTAATGCATGATGCATGCTATGTGACAGTTTGTGTAACAAATAATAATATGCCACAGTTATAGAAATGTTTTTTCATGAAATTAACATTTGTTCAATCATGCGAGATAATGGCTAAATGTCCTGTTGGGTGATTGTGAAAGGGTGTAGTTTATGTAAGGAACTTGGTGTTTTGTATATCATGTGCCATGTGAGTGAGTGAGTGGGGTTTTATGCCGCTTTTAACAATATTCCAGCAATATCACGGCGGGGGACACCAGAAATGGGCTTCACAAATTGTACCCATTTCGGGAATCAAACCCGGATCTTCGGTGTGACAAGTGAATGCTTTAACCACTAGGCTACCCAACCGCCCCCATGTGCCATGTGATGAGGTCTACTAAATATGTTTGTATGTTACATCATGTCTAATATCAATCACTCTAAACCCAACCCATCATCACCTCTACAATCTGCCCTCATCACCCAAAATACTACCCTCATCACCCAAACACCCTGCCCTCATCACTCCCACACCCTACCCTCATCACCCCCACACCCTACCCTCATCACCCAAACACCCTGCCCTCATCACCCCCACACCCTACCCTCATCACCCCCACACCCTGTCCTCATCACCCCCACACCCTACCCTCATCACCCCCACACCCTGCCCTCATCACCCCCACACCCTACCCTCATCACCCCCACACCCTACCCTCATCACACCCACACCTTACCCTCATCACCCCCACACCCTGCCCTCATCACCCCCACACCCTACCCTCATCACCCCCACACCCTACCCTCATCACCCCCACACCCTGCCCTCATCACCCCCACACCCTACCCTCATCATCCCCACACCCTACCCTCATCACACCCACACCCTACCCTCATCACCCCCACACCCTGTCCTCATCACCCAAACACCCTGCCCTCATCACCCCCACACCCTACCCTCATCACCCCCACACCCTGTCCTCATCATCCCCACACCCTACCCTTATCACCCCCACACCCTACCCTCATCACCCTACACCTTACCCACACCCTGCCCTCATCACCCCCACACCCTACCCTCATCACACCCACACCTTACCCTCATCACACCCGCACCCTACCCTCATCACACCCACATCCTACCCTCATCACCCCCACAGCCTATCCTCATCACACCCACACCCTGTCCTCATCACCCCCACACCCACCCCACACCCTACCTACATGTGTCCTGTGTCCCTGTGTTGCAGCTGGCAGCAGTGCCCTGGTGTCCCTCATCGGAGGAAACAAGCAGCCCCGCCTCCAAGTCCGGGTCGCTGTTCCAAAGAATGACCAGAAACAGAATCTCGAGTAAGTGCCTTAGTTTCACATTGTTTCGTGAAATAAGTTACCATAATTAGTATTAGTTAGTCAAACAATGTCTTTCAGTCTCATTGTTTAGTTGAAATAATTTGAGTAGTACAGTCATGCCCCGCTTATACGGACTTCAGATATCCGGAAACCTCGGTTCCCGGACGATTTTCATTCAAAATGAAATAATTACTATATAAGTTTACCCATATATACGGACTTCAGATATCCGGAAACCTCGGTTCCCGGACGATTTTCATTCAAAATGAAATATTTACTATATAAGTTTACCCGTATATACGGAAATTCAGTTTCCGGAACCGGATGGTCATTTTCATACACAAAACACTGAAATGCACGCAAAATTGTCTCGCTTATCCGGACAATACACTTCCGCTGGTGGTAATCTTTCCGCTGGTGGTAATCCTTTCGATTCGTGAGAAGTCAATTAACCAAGTGACACTGAGTTAAGTTTGAGACGAGCTTGAGTGGATGTATCTGTTTGCTCTGTCATCTGTCATGAGTTGCATAATTGAAGGGAAGTAACTCTTCCAGTAAGAAGCTGGTTTCAGTTATACGGAAATTCGTTTATACAGACGAATTGTGAAATGACGCAAGTGTCCGTATAAACGAGGCACGACTGTAGTGAAATGTAAATGTGGCTTTACTATTATAGAATGCGGGGAATTGTGTTGGAAATAAGGGTCAAGGTCATTGAAAATCTTGTTAAAGGGGAAGTGTACACGCAAATATCACTTTCTTTCTTTTTCTAAACAAAACGCAATTTTAGAATTAATTAGTATCTGTGTTTGAAAATATACACTCATTTTTTTCACAGTGAAAGTAGGAAGCTCACAATAGTGTGAAAATGATATGCCGTTATGAGGCCTTCGTTTTTCAAGCTAAACAGGCCTGAGTTATCCCCCTTAGATTATGACGTAATTGGTGCCAATTCAACTGTCTATTCTCAACGCAAAAGATATCAAGTACCAGTTTGCGGTAAAACAACATGGCCTACGACACACTCCGGCGCAGTGGTGACTCAGCATAACACTATGCTGGCTGGCATCTGAGACGCTAGAATCACACACCTAGACCTACACCACGTGAAGCGGCTCTAACAAAGCATGATGACGTCATAATGTTTATCAATTGGCACCAATGACGTCATATTGCAAGGGGCATAAGCCATGGTGTTTTTGTTGTGGAAATAGAACACTTGGTAAATGTGAAAAATATAAATCGTTTTAATGCGAAAAATATGTTAATTAATTGTGATATTTTTATATTTTTGTCTATGACACTTCTAGGTTAACACTTTTAATGTGGAAAAAGTACAAGAAAAATAGGTTAATTTCCGTGTGAACTTGCCCTTTAAGGTGGCAAGAGGCATGGAACTTTCTGCTGTAAAGATATACAGGACAGGGCATGCGTTTTCCCCAACTAGAAGTGAATTCATGAAACCAAAAGTGTATCATGTGGTTGTATCTAATAGTATCATTGACTGTGTCTAGCATTATCATGTGACTGTGACTAGCATTATCACGTGACTGTCTAGTGTTTTCATGGGACTGAATCTAGCATTATCATTCGACTGTCTAGTGTTATTATGTGACTGTGTCTAGCATTATCATGTGACTGTGACTAGCATTATCATGTGACTGTCTGGTGTTATCATGTGACTGTGTTTAGCATCATCATGTGACTGTGTCTAGCATTATCATGTGACTGTCAAGCATTATCATGTGACTGTGTCTAGCATTAACATTTGGCTGTGTCTAGCATTAACATTTGACTGTGTCTAGCATTATCATGTGACTGTCTAGCATTATAACGTGACTGTGTCTCTTAGTATCATGTGACAGCACTAGTACTATCATGTGACTGTGTCTAGCACTATCATGTGACTGTCTAGTATTATCATGTGACTGTGTCTAGTATTATCATGTGACTGTGTCTAGTACTATCATGTGACAGTATCTCGTACTATCATGTGACTGTGTCTAGCACTATCATGTGACTGTGTCTAGTATTATCATGAGACTGTCATGCAAGTACTACCATGTGACTGTGTCTAGTACTCTCATGTGACTGTATCTGGCATTATTATGTGACAGTATCTAGCATTATCATGTGACTGTCTAGTATTATCATGTGACTGTATCTAGCATTATCACATGACAGTATCTAGTTTTACCATGTGACTGTGTCTAGTACTATCATGTGACCTTTTGCAGTACTATCATGTGACTGTGTCTAGCATTATCATGTGACTGTGTCTAGTACTATCATGTGACTGTGTCCAGTATTACCACGTGTCTGTGTCTAGTATTATCATGTGTCTGCGTGTAGTACTATCATGAGTCTATGTAGTAATGTTTTTTTGACTGTCTAGTATTATCACATGTCTGTGTGCAGTATTATAATGTCCCTGTGTCTGCTCGCTCCAGACAGCTGCCAGACACTCTGGTGGGGAACATGGTCCTGGTGCCGTTCCACTGCTTCTTCCGGCAGCTTGTGGCCGACGCCCTCCTCCGAGACAGACTGGACTTAGATTCTACTGGTAGGGATGCATGGCGTAGCAGAGTTTACCCCAAGATATAGAGGATATTTAATGTGTTTTCTCAAATACCACTTTTATCTCATCGAGTGAAGTGGGGAGAGTCTAATATTTTCACGAGTGGCGCAGTCACGAGTGAAAATATTAGACTCTCCCCAATTCACGAGATGAGATAAAAGTGGTATTTGAGAAAACACATTGAATTTTCTATTTATTATATACATGTTTTATTTTTATTACTTGCAATTTATATATTTTTTCGAAAACAGTGTATGATAAATTACTAAGTTCTCCCTGTCGCCCCTTTACCACCGCCATATAAAGGGTTTTGCGAAAAGAATATAGTTCCTGAATAAAATTAGCCCTGTTAATATATGTTATGCGAATTATATTATTTCATATCGAGTATTAAGTTCCGTGGACATTTTTGTTTGTCATAATTAAACATTCCTGTTTAAAATGGATAACTCTTTAATGTTTTGATTCAGGAGAAAGTAGTTCCGGCACCTTGTTTATATCAGTCACTAGTGACTGATATAACTTTTTTATATCAGTCACTAGTGACTGATAACTTGATCTATCGTCACTGATAAATTCCAGTATTTCATTCATATGTATGTAATAAACACAGTTAATAGTATTGGCACTTACAGTCAAACAGGCATCTTCGCAAGGCAAGGGAGTTAAGTGACTGTTAAAATCCAGCTAGAATTTCTGGGCTATTACGAGTTATGTCCCTTCTATGTCCCTCCTATTGACCAATCAGTCCACCTCTCATGTCACTTGCATTTGCTTCTAACAAAATGGCGGCACCCAGTCAAGACGATCTGATCGATAATCGAAATCTATATTGTGATAAAATATTTGTCTTACTTTGCAAAGTGGGTCAAATCACTCAAGCACCTTGATTAGAAACATGAAAATATTTGGAAAATATCTGTTGACGCCGAGTTGGTGGTACACATCAAATCCAGATGACTACTTAAATCTGCACAGCAGTTTACGAACCGGATGTCAATTTCGTTATGCAATTTATATTGGACTATGCATAGACCCGTTAGTCCAGCCAAAATATAACTCAATAATTCAAACCTAGTCTGGCAAGGGTGGTATCTGGGCTTTTAAAGTCAGCTAACTCCCTTGCCTTGGGAAGAAGTGAAAAAGGAAAATTAGAATGACTGTATGTCTGTATACAATACAAATCAATAGCATTTGTCTGATATTTATGCTAAACTTCCCATTGGAAAATTATTTCTTTGCAATTATCCTTTCAAGTGTTAATATCTCGTTTTCTTGTCTGTGCTGAATAAGTATGGCTTACCTTTGGGTGCATATGAAACTCAGGCCTGACAAAGAGTTCTATTATTATTTCCTTCAGTATATGTTACATTGGATGAGAAACAGGGAAACAATATTCATAATACAGGAGACGGTCGAGTTGTAGGAACTGGTGTTACGTCAGAAAGGTTGATTATCCCCCACCATGAAGTGGAAGGGGGATATAAGAATGGGTGCTGTCCGTCCGTCTGTCCATCACATTTCGTTTCCGGAGCAGAACTATAAAAACATGAGAGATATATCTTAACCAAACATGGCATAGAGATAGGTCTAGTGGTGAACTGGTGCCTTTTGATAGTTTGGGATTTTTCGAAAAATTTATTTTTCAAGTTTCCATTGCAACAAGTGGCGGTAGTGACCCTTTCCGGAGGAGATCTTGAAAAACGTACAATATTGCTTCACCAAACTTGGCACATAGATAGGTCTAGTGGTGAACTAGTGCCTTTTGATATTTTTGGGATTTTTCAAGTTTCCATTGCAACGAGTTTTGACTTAGACTGAAAATGGCGGTAGTGCTCCTTTCCGGAGGAGATCTTTGAAAACCATACTATTTCTTGCCTTGCCCACAACCGGGCATGTCATATTGGCGGGGGATATGAGTATTTCATGCTTGTTAATTTGGATGTGCAAAATATATATTTTATGTGTTCTGTGTTGTAGAGTTGATCCACAGCCCCACCCTCGCTACGTACCCCCGAGTCGCTGACCAACATGACCTGATGACAGTGTTACGGGTACGATATCACATGTGATCAGCTGTTCACTAGATACTTGTGGGGTCCTGACCGAGTTCTTCTTTATTTCTGCCCAGATTCCCTATTGTTTTACAGACCATGTGGCCCTGTGAAGATCCTGGTTAGAAATTGGTCTTCATCAACCCAGGCTCCCCATAAAAGGCAACTATGCTTGTCTTAAGAGGCGACCAATGGGATCGGGCGGTCAGACTCGCTGACTTGGTTGATACATGTCATCGTATCCTAATTGCAGATTGATGCACATTATGTCAATCACGTGATTGTCTTATAGGTCGAATATTGCTAAGAGCAGTGTTAAACAACAAACAAACAAACAGACTATGCGATTTTAGGATTTGGTTCTCGTGAAAAGGAAACAGGCCTAGGTTCAAAATGACACGATGACATTTCTTGTAAAAAGGAGAACATTTGTTTGTAGGAGGCGTGGGTGCTGAGACTGAAGACAGTGAAGAGAGTGGACCGAGTAAGTAGAAACATGGCTACATACAAAGACATACCAACAGGGGCAGGTAGTCGGTGTCACACACTTTTGAGCCTACTTGCCCAAATTTTGCTCTCAGCATCAGTAGAATTTCCTGTAGACAATTATTAGTGGAGCTTACTTTGCGCCACAGAACGGTATAGTCGCAGGTTGAGATAGAACCCATGGGATTCCGGGTAAGAATATAGTCCCCAGCAACCAATGCTGGTCGTAAGAGACAGTTAAGTGGATCTGGTGGTCAGGCTGGATGACTTGGTTAAGGCCAGGCTTTTTTTATTTTTAGGATTACAGATTTTTCAGCCCAAAGTCTAGGGTTGGAGGAGGGAGAAAAAAAGCAAAAAAAAGCTAGATGCATCTTTTTTAATGCAGAATGCCTCTGGCATACTTTATGAACATATTCTGTGCTCAAAAGACCACTATTTGTGACGATAAAGCCCCTTGTAACAATAAAAATTCTACCACTTACAACACGGACAATTGCCAAGGGAGGCTATTCATCTTTGGCTTTGAGATCAACAAAGATCAATTATGTATCTCTTTACTAGTTTACAATGGTAAATTCATACGTTATTTTATTAAAAAGTGATGATAACATATAAAATAACTGACTACGCGGCTTTGGGCGGGGAAAAAAATTATGAAATTCTGATTTTGTTGTTGTACATTTTCTCAAAAATAGAGTCGGCGGGTCCGTAATCCGAAAAATATAAAACGCCTGGCCTAACATGTCCCAGTTGTGGCTCAGTGTTCATGATGTCAGTCAAGCGGTAATCTAAATACGATTATTTACAGACCGCTATCATATAGCTGGAATATTGCTGGGTGCAGCGTAATACAACAAACAAACAGATTAAGATACAGTAAACTATGGTTATATTGAACTCAAAGGGGCCACTCATTTTTGTTCGTTATAACCGTAGTTCGTTATAAGCATATATACAGCAAAGGGACAGGACCAAAAAACAGTTTGTTATATCCGTCAGATCGTTATAAGCATGTTCTGTATAAACGTAGTTTACTGTAGATATATCTGCTTTGAGATGCTCAAGGTATACAACACATATATTAAGCTTTCATATTGGGTTTCATTTCATAGCCTCCTCTTTAATGATGTGGGGCAGTCAGGTAGCCTGGTGGTTAAAGCGTTTGCTCGTCATGCCGAAGACCCGGGTTCAAATCCTGACATGGGTACAATGTGTGAAGCCCGTTTCTGGTGATATTGCTGGAATATTGCTAAAAGTGGCGTAAAACCATACTTTAATGATGTAATATGGGCTTCTAGTGTCAAGTTTTCATTTACAGTATCTAGGTCTAGGAATTTTCTGATGCGTGCCCTTTATGTGAAAATTTCAAATATTCCAGATGTACACCCACACTTGCCAATACAGCACATCGTTGAAATTCCCCATTGTATTTGAAAATGTGGGCCTTTTTTCAAATTTAGGGGCTAAAAGCTTAAGCCCCCCCCCCCCCCCCCCCCCTAGAATTATCCCTGTGAAAAACTATGGTTATAACAAACTCAAAGGGACCACTCATTTTAGTTCGTTATAACTGTTGTTCGTTATAAACAATATATACAGCAAATGGCCGGGACCAAAAACAGTTCGTTATATGCATCAGTTCATGATAAGAATGTTCGTTATAAACGTAGTTTACTGTATCATATTGTGTATAACAATCTCACTATCAAGATATCTATCATAACTTGATGAAGTGTATGATTAGAGAGATAGTGAATCAGTTCACATGATTGTATTGACAAAGAAGGAAGAAAAATCCATGACATTGAGAAATTGATGAGTTTCAATAACTCAGAAGAGATAATGTCTGAGAAAGGACATGCAGGTGAAAGGACAACTCTAGAAGCCGCCATTTTGTGCACGACATTGATACATCTCTGATTGTGATTGTATTTTTCAACTCATCTGTCATGTTTTAGAACACAAGAACTGATGTTCCATTTTATTTGTAGATAGTCATTTTCAGTTAGCTATCACTAATTTTGAATATTCTGTATATTCAATTTTTCAAGCCTGCGCACTTCCATTGAATATGTGTTAAATTCTTATTGAGTTATTTATATCATCTTCATCTTCATCTCCATAAATGCATTGCTTTGTAAAATGTTTCAGTTTTAAAATTTAAGTTTTAATTCAGTTTATTTTAATAAATTTAAATTTCAGTTTAGTTGGTCAAACAACCACCTGGTAACTATTTGAATTATTTCACTGTGTACACGCATATCTTACTCCTATGATGGCCACTAACTTACAACCATCTTGTTAAACCTGTGCCATCAGCCAATGTCCTTTAGTCTTATAGGGAATGCAAGAGGGGGCAGAATTATGTCCCCTAATAGTGGTAGAACCTGTCGATATTACCCTATAGGAGAGTACCCTGTAGACAGTTGCCCAGTCTGATATTTAGAAGCTGTGTGTTATTGTGTAAAATGTGAGCCTGCAAAGGTACACATGATTAGTGAGAAACATGTTTGGATGTCGTACTTATATATCTAAACATATAGTGAGTTTAGGTGTGTTTCTTATATGCTTGTTGGCAATACAGTTAGTCAAAGCATGTCGTTCATGCCGATCAAGATGCAAGTAGATGCTTTTATGGAAGAGCTTATTTTGGACTAACATCTAACAGTACTTTCCTGGCAACCTGTGTTATGGATAGAGCATTGTTCACTTGTAACTAGGTTACCAAGGCGATAGCATATTATAACTTGTTCATCTCACCCAAGGCAAGGCGTTAACAGACTATAAAAGTCCAGTTTCCACCCTTGCTGAACTTGTCTGGAATTTCCTGGCTTGATCGTAGCTCACCAGTGGCTATTATGAGTTATGTCCCTTGTATGTCCCTCCTACTGACCAATCAGATTGTGTCTATCATACCACTTGCATTTTCTTTAAACAAAATGGCTGTGCCCAGTCAAGAACATCTGAATGCTAATCAAGATCTAAGCTTACCCCACAAAGTGCATCCAATCACTTAAGCACTTTGATTAGAAACATGAAAAGATTTTGAAAATATATATCGACACCCAGTTGGCGGTACACATGCTTTCCAAATCCTGCAGTCATCCTCAATCTGCACATTGAAATCCATGTCGTTTATGAACTGGATGTCTAGTTCGTTACGCAATTTTGATTGGATTATGCATAGACTCGTTTGTCCAGCCAAAGTGCAACTCAGGAATTCCAGCCTAGTTCGGCCAGGGTGGAAACTGGACTTTTATAGTCAGTTAACTCTCTTGCCTCGGGAAGACATAACTTGCTTTGCCACAATCTTCTTTTAAGTCTGACACTAGCAGCATCTTGTTCTGTATCGACAAGCTACTCTTTGACACTGTTGACAGTCTTAAGTTATATACCGTATGTGACGTAATAAGCTCCCAGGGCGCTCTCAAAATTAGAAATAGGGAGCTCTTATTAGAATACTATTTTGGTGGAAAAAACAGAGTTGAAAGATAAATTTCGTGGTTTATGCTGACAGCCTGAAATGTTTATGTACGACAGATATAATTTTCCAGATTTTCATTGTATATAACACACGAGTGCGTATTATACGAGAATAAATAAGTCTTGTGTACATTGATCAATCGGAAGGGGTGCCAATTGGTATTGTTCACTAGCCAATATATTAGCAAATATCGCCGTGGGCGCTTAATAGAGCAGGGCGCTTATTACGTCGAATACGGTATTCTTGTACGTCTAAGATCGACCATCTCCATGGTCTGGCATTAATCTGAAGAGCACAAGGTCGGTGGTTCCAACCTCTGGCCACATCATACAAAATTACGTTAAAAGATGGTACTTGTTGTTACTCTGCCTGGTGTTTGGCATAAGGGACTAAAACAAGGACTTGTCAGGCTGTACAATGCAGTGGGATCATACAATGTTATCTTATTGGGATAAATATATATAAAACTTACATCTGTGGTATCTGTCGAATGGCTTCTTATACAGGAAAAAGAGATAATGGCGTGTCAGAGTGAAGGATATCTGAAACGGCCTCAGCTTAAAAATGTCTTATGAACCTGTCCTACTAAGTAATATTCCTAAGTGGATTGTATATGCTAAGTCAGTAGGCCACTATATTTTCCACTCTCTTCTGTATGTATCTTTTGAATGTCAGTGTCAAGGTTCCCATGGTAAAATGGTTGTGACCTTCTTAGTGCCCACTCCACGTTTATTTACATGAGATGATATGGCAAATATTTGCATGTAGGACCAGACCAATTTGATTTTTGTTTTATCATTTTTTGGCCAGTATGACAATATGAAGGTAACAACGCAACATAAACAAAAGTCTTCAGTGGAGGTATATTCCCCAAAGAAAAGAAACCAGTGAAATTTTCGAGACTTGTCATAAATGCATTTTGAGGCTTCAGTTTTTCTGTAAGTAAAAATAATGATTTATGACAAGCTATTTCTAATTTTACGTATTATCATACACAGCGTTAATCTTTTTTCTTTTCTTTTTTAACTGAGTAAGGTTAGCTTTAGAATGAAACCAAGATGTAAGTGATCTGGACAAAGACAGATATAAAAATATATATACATAGTCTTGTATTGAAAATGTATATAGGTTTGGTGTTGGTGGGTGCATTGGTAGCGGGCGGAGTCAGGCAGAGGGTACGGACTGGGCCCAGTGTAGATGGGTATGAGATGGGTAAGGAGGCGATGGGGACTGGGGGAGGGGTTGGGCCCAGTGTAGGTGTTGAGAGTTGGGTTGAGAGGGGGTGGAGACAGGGAGGGGGTATAGGTGGGGGAGGGGTTGGGCCCAGTGTACGTGGGTGTGAGTTGGGTTGGGAGGGGGTGGAGACAGGGAGGGGGTATAGGTGGGGAGGGGTTGGGTCCAGTGTAGGTGGGTGTGAGTTGGGTTGGGAGGGGTGGAGACAGGAAGGAGGTATTGGTGGGGGAGGGGTTGGGCCCACTGTACGAGGGTGTGAGTTGGGTTGGGAGGGGGTGGAGACAGGGAGGGGGTATAGGTGGGGAGTGGTTGGGCCCAGTGTAGATGGGTGTGAGTTAGGTTGGGAGGGGGTGGAGACAGGGAGGGGATATAGTTGGGGAGGGGTTGGGCCCAGTGTAGATGGGTGTGAGTTGGGTTGGGAGGGGATGGAGACAGGGATGGTACAGATGGGGAGGTGTTGGGTCCAGTGTAGGTGTTGAGAGTTGGGTTGGGAGGGGGTGGAGACAGGGAGGGGTATAGTTGGGGAGGGGTTAGGCCCAGTGTAGGTGGGTGTGAGTTGGGTTGAGAGGGGGTGGAGACAGGGAGGGGGTATAGTTGGGGAGGGGTTAGGCCCAGTGTAGGTGGGTGTGAGTTGGGTTGAGGGAGGGTGGAGACAGGGAGGGGTTTAGTTGGGGAGGGGTTAGGCCCAGTGTAGGTGGGTGTGAGTTGGGTTGAGGGGGGGTGGAGACAGGGAGGGGGTATAGGTGGGGAGGGGTTCAGCCCAGTGTAGGTGTTGAGAGTTGGGTTGGGAGGGGGTGGAGACAGGGAAGGGGTCTAGATGGGGGAGTGGTTGGGCCCAGTTTTGGTGGGTGTAAGTTTGGTTAAGAGGGTTTAGAGACAGGGAGGGGGTCTGTGGGTGAGGATGGTAATGAATTGAGAGATACAGTATAAGGATAATGTTTTTTGAAGACGTTACGTACAGCTGGACACTGCTTGGAGCTTTATGTCTTTCATCTCAGTAACACAGCAACAACATAGATATCAGATATTTGCTCCTCCAGATGTCTAACAGCATATATATTTCACCAAGGGAGCATGGTAGCAGCACTAACATCTGCATGGGTTGCTAAAATACAATTCTACATTTATATTAATTTCTATTCTGCATTCATAGTTATGGGGAACATTATATGAACGTAAGACATGATCTAACTGAGGAATATTGGTAACTGAATGAAAGCGACCAATGAAATTTCTTTAACTTATAACAAGTGAAAAACACAACAACAAAAAGACAAAAAAGAGGTTATGAATGCAAATCTCCAATCACAGCATGATAAGTAGTTTATGAAAAATCTATTAGGCTTGTCTATAAAATAATAAATTATATTGGTCTTGTCTTTTTTATATATGGAAGCTGAAGAAATATCATATTTCTATATTGTATGCATTATATATCTTGTCTACTGGATCAGGGGCGGTCGGGTAGCCTAGTGGTTAAAGCGTTTGCTCGTCACGCCGAAGACCCGGGTTCGATTCCCAACATGGGTACAATGTGTGAAGCCCATTTCTGGTGTCCCCCGCCGTGATATTGCTGGAATATTGCTAAAAGCGGCGTAAAACCATACTCACTCACTCACTCTACTGGATCAAGGTCATACAACAAAACAACCTGTGAATGTTCTGTTCTGAAATATCATTTTCAGATTCTTTTACATCATTTTTCATTATTGTCATTTGTGTGCTTCAAGTCTTGTCTTCCGATTTATCATTCATATTTTCTGTGTTATTTTCCCCTACAGAAAGAGGTAAGTGTGGTCTCCACAAAGTTTTTGTTCCACATTGCAACAAAACTGACATTCTTTTGGAGCGTTGTGTTGTCATTGCTAACATTGGACATTCTAATCCCATTACGGGTCACATCAGACCGACCTTGCATGAACTGACCAATGAAATGACTGACAAGAAATCAACATCAGCCAATCAGAAGGCAGCTTTCTTGTACTTTACGGCACTAATTTCAAATTGGCGACTACGCTTCAAACATATTTTGACAAATTCTCAATAAAAAATTTGAAACCTGAACAAAAGAACATTCTGGAATGGCTAATAGATGTTCTAGATTGTATTGATTCAGTCATTGTTTCACAAAACAACCTGTGAATTTTCTGTTCTGAAATATCATTTTCAGATTCTTTTACATCATTTTTCATTATTGTCATTTGTGTGCTTCGAGTCTTGTCTTCCGATTTATCATTCATATTTTCTGTGTTATTTTCCCCTACAGAAAGTGGTTAGCGTGGTCTCCACAAAGTATTTGTTCCACATTGCAACAAAACTGACATTATTTTGGAGCGTTGTGTTTTCATTGCTAACATTGTTCAGATTTCACACTGCACTTTTGTCTCACTGATTTCATACTGAACATACTCATGGTATTTTCGGGCACAAGTGTTTGAGAGTAACATCATTAATGTGGAAGCATGATTTAAAGATGTCTCTCGTGAAGATTCTGGGTCATAACAGGCCCTGACCCGTGAAGATCAGGATTAGAATGTCTTCAGCAACCCATGCTTGCTGTAAAAGGCAACTATGCTTGTCTTAACAGACGACTATCAGGATTGGGTGAAATCTCATTAAAATCAGTTTTAGTTCTCGCTACCGCTAAACAAAGATCTGAGGACATCCCATTACGGGTCACGTCAGACAGACCTTGCGTGAACCGACCAATGAAATGACTGACAAGAAATCGACATCAGCCAATCAGAAGGCAGCTTTCTTGTGCTTTACGGCACTAATTTTAAATTGGCGACTACGCTTCAAACATATTTTGACAAATTCTCAATAAAAATTTTGAAACCTGAACAAAAGAACATTTTGGAATGGCTAATAGATGGTCTAGATTGTATTGATTCAGTCGTTGAGCCCATAACTGTCGTTCGGAATACCCTGTGTTAAAGTTTTCGAGGTTGCATGATTAGCAGTCACATTCCGACTGTCACTTTCATGATCTGGTAAGCGACGCTCTGATTGGTTGGATGAAAGGTTGGATGAAAGGTCGATTATTAAAAAGACTTGGCTCTGTATTGTCCTTACTTATTCTTGTGGAGGTGGTGGGGTAGCCCAGTGGTTAAAGCGTTCCCTCTTCACACTGAGGCCTAGGTTCAATTCCCCACATTGGTACAGTGTGTGAAGGTCAGTATTCCTGCCATAATATTGGTGAATATTACTGAAAGTGACATTAAACCATACTCTCTCACTCACTCTATTGTTAAATCTTAAAATGTCTGGTTTCCCTTGACATTAATGCAGTGAATGTACAGAATGGATATGGCTTTGTATTAGTTTGAGCTGTGATAGGATAAACAATCTCTTTTTTCAGTAAACTTGACAAAAGTTGAAGAACCCTATTAAGCAAAGCTTTTCAACTTATTGGTTTGTGGATTCTGCAAAAAAAATCAAATCTGAAAAAAAGTTTTCTATTCTGCCAAATTTAATGCAAACTACATGTGTACTTGAGAACATATTGCATACACTAGTTAAAACAATAGGTTACAAGAGGTCTAACAAGGTGACATGGTTAACTAACACTGCACATAGTCTGATAACTTTCTGAAGAACAAGAAAAACGTCTTTCTTATTTCTTTTCACCTTCCTATTAGCCTGAGTGTTGAATATGTGTACCCCTTGTGGTGAGTGAGTTGCAAGTATGTATGCTACCCAGTTGGTCAAGTCTTTATGTAGCACTGAGTGACCCCATACTCTGTGTGTTTCAGAGGGACGATGAGTTCATGAAGGACACGTTTAAGAAGGTGTTCATTGAGTCTGTGTACCCGCTTGTCAGCATCGCCACCCTGCCCCACTATGTCACAGGAGACACAGACACAGAAGAGGTACATGTCAAATAGTTATTATTATGATTGGCCATTTATATTGCGCATATTTCCACACCACTCAGAACATGCTCAAAGCGCTATTATTACCCCAGTCACTGGATCTGTGTGCACTCAAGAATCATTCTCAGCTCCCTGGGAGTATACAACCCAAGCTGCCTGTTAGGCGCTAGAAGGTTAATAACCACATTGCCATCTCATCCTACCGGGTACCCATTTGCTGCTTGGCGAAGAGAGGCACATTTCGCACAACATCACTTGCCCAAGGAGACGCCACATGTGCTTCAGTGTGGGGCAGGAACAAAGCCCTAGAAACTCTCAGTTTAGTTTAGTGATAATATATTGATTTATTATACACAAGAACTGTTGAGCTCTCAAATTAGTTGACACCTCCAGCAAGTATTCTGTATTCTGTCATATCAAGAGTACATCCCTGAGTGTGTGTACATTGAAAGGAAAGCGCACGCGCACGCGCACGCACACACACACACACACCTCTTTTTCAAGACACCTACATGTCAGGTTAAGGCAACTATGCTTGTCGAAAGAGGTGACTAACGGGATGACTTGGTTGATGCATGTCATCGTATCCCAATTGCGTGGATCGATGCTCATGATGTCAATCACTGGATTTTCTGGTCCAGACTCGACTATTTACAGACCCCCATCATATAGCTGGAATATTGCTGAGTGCAATGTAAACAACAAACAAACAAACATGTCAGGTTATGATGTGACCTGGGTAAAGTTTCCAGACCCCTTTTTCAAAATTCTGGATTTTCCTGTGCTTATGATGCTCAGTGTTATTCACGTGTGATCATTGTGGACTTACCAGAAGCTTTCATTCCCTCCACCCACAAGGCCCGCATTATTGAGATAGACAAGTTCCGGAGACAGAAGTTGGAGCGGAAGTCTGCCATGGCCGCACTGCTCTCCTCCGACATCATCTTCACCCCCTTCAACCTCCAGGAGGTGGCCTTCAACGTCATCGGACCCCACTGCCTCCCCAAAACCACACATGTAAGTACAGGGTGTTACATGTAGGTATACTGTGTCACTCTCCACAGGTAGGGAGGGTTTATTTTTTCTTATGCATCACTGGTATGAGTGTAGTAACAATGTGTTTTAGGTTGTGTCATCGTGGGGACTGAAACCCAGACTGCATGGTCAGCAGACACACCATGTGTGATATGGGATTACCCAAGCATCAGCGAAACATGATGAAAATTAAACGAAACATCATATTTAATCAAAATGTCTGTTGTCTGTTGTTTCAGACGACAGCTGTAGAAGGCTGACCCAACTACCTACACTCTCTACCAGCAACTGCCATGTGCCTCATCACTTTCACAGCCACTCTTGCTCAGTGTGCCGCTCACAATCATCAACAAATCCAGTAGGACTGGGACGGGTAACTCGGGTACTCAGGTCGGGTGGGTACTGAGTAGGACCCGGGTAGCTACCTGGACTTGTGGTTAGTGATGTGATATATTGTTTAGTGAGAAAAATTCACTACTATAACTCCATGGTTACCAACAAATCGCTAATTCGGATATCTTTCTGACAATATCGTTTTATGGTGTATCTAAATACTTTTTGCCAGGGGTCCGGGAACTAATTCCTAATCGAACATTTTGTAACCAACTCTTGAGACCTACAGCGGGTTTCCGGGTTGGGTCGGGTAATAGGGGTCGGGTACCCGGGTAGTAAATTTGGGTCCATTCCAGCCCTTAAATCCAGTGTCAGTTACATTTTTTATCTATGAGACTGATTCGTTTGTGATCAAGGAAGAGTCTCATGATTATCAGTAGAGGGACAGAGTTCAACATACTTTCCTGATGCTAAATCAAGCTCATCAAGAATAACAAACGTTTATAGATGCATACCTGTTAGTGTTTCTCTTAATAGGTCTTGACCGTAACGCGGAAGACTCGGGTTCGATTCCCCACATGGGTACAATGTGTGAAGCCCATTTCTTGTGTCCCACTCACTAACAGGTCTTGACTAGGTTAGCACGAATAATAATAATAATAATGTTGATAATGATAATGATAATAATAATAAAGTGTATTTATTATGTGCTATATTCCACACACTATCATCATTACCCTGGTCAGTGGATCAGTGTGCTCTGAGCTCCCTGTGAGCACCATCTCATCCTACCGGGTACCCATTTGCTGCTGGGTGAACACAGTGATGGTTGTATCACTGTTTGTAAAGATAGTAATGGTAATACTCTTTAAAGAAATATTGGCACTTTTACTATGGCTGAAGAAAAGTGGCTTTAATGTCTCATTCTGTCGTGTTATTTTCCACTGAAGCTGTGAGGACATTTTTACACTTGAGAAGGGCAGGTAACTCTCTATATACCGGGTAATGCTAGCGGAAAGATATAAAGTTATTGAATGAAACATAAGGCTTCTTTCTTTATCCTTACAAGTAAATATAGATTCATCTATCAAATCAGAATTCAGTTTTAGCAGCAAGGAACATATTCTTGTTTAGTTCACTGATATTACGTGTTTCTGTATTTTAAATATTTTGTGATATGTAAATATATTGTTGCTTCGTATTGTCCAGACATGTAGATCCGTCCAGTGCATCTTTGTTATTTATTTTATGGAAATATGGACAATATATATGTATATAATAAAGATCATCTTTGTATATGGTTTTGTTAGGGAATCTGTTTCAACCTCTGCTATTTCAGATTATCAAGACCTGTGAAGATCCGTGTTAGAATAGACATCTGACATCTTCAGCAACCCATGCTTGCCGTAAAAGGCAACTATGCTTGTCATAAGAGGCGACTAACGGGATCGGGTGGTCAGGCTTGCTGACTTGGTTGATGCATGTCATCGTATCCCAATTGCGTTTATCAGTGCTCATGATGTCAATCACTGGAATGTCTGGTCCCTACTTGATTATTTACAGACCGTTGTCATATAGCTGGAATATTGCTGAGTGCGGCGTTAAACAACAAACAAGTTGAGGTTCGGTGAGGTGAAATTGGGTTTAATGTCGCGTCTAAGATTATTGCACTTATATTGCGACTCTGTGTGTGCATGCGTGCGTGCGCTTGTCCAGACTGATGCCCATTTATAGTGCTAGCTCACTGAGATACCATGCCGCAGTTTAACATGAATACCCCACTCAGACACAGTATACTGACTCCGAGCCGACCAGTCCTTGTTTTAGCCCCTTAATGCCGAGCGCCAGACAGGGTATCAACAAGTACCATCTTTTAACGTCTTTTGGTATGACGCAGCCGGGGATCGAACCCCGAACCATCCGCTCTCCGGGTGGACGCTCTACCACTAGACCACGGAGGCAGTCTTTATCAAGTAGAAACACGATATGGGTATGGTTCCTCAGTAATGTTATAAGACATTATGTTGACAACATACTAGAGTTATTTTATGTCACATCCAGCTGTGGATGACCCAATTAGCCAGGTCATACACATGCATTGCCACCTCCCTATTAATTTACAAGGATGAAGCACTGGAGCTTTATTGTGCACTAGAATCCCTATATGGCACATGATTCATCTAATAAATTCAAGTAGGGGGACAAGATATTGACACAGAGCTTTCCTACAATCTCAGACCGCCTCCGTGGTCTAGTGGTAGAGCATCCGCCCAGAGAGTGGAATGTCCGGAAATCCATCCCCGGCCGCGTCATACCAAAAGACGTTAAAAGATGGTTCTGTTACCCTGTCTGGCACAGACATTAGGGTCTAAAACAAGGACTGGTTGGCTCAGAGTCAGTAGACTGTCTGAGTGGGGTATTCATGTTAAACTGCAGTATGGTATCTTTGTGGGTTAGCGGATGCTCTACCAGTTGACTACAGAGGCAGTCTTGTCAGTATTAAATTGTTGTAAACAATTAGATTTTGATGATCGATTGGACTTTATGTGTGCTACGTCTCTGAGTACCTATGCAGTGTATATTTTTTCTAGAAAGAGAAAAACAAGAAACATTTCAATAAAACTGAATTGATAATTTATTCCTGCCATGATAAAAATATACAACTGTAAGCATTTAAGCAGATAACACAAGCCAGGTGAAATGCATTCACAACGCCACTGCTGGCAGAGCAAGTCATAAATCACAGGTCAACGATCACAGAACAAGTACATTGTCACCCAATAACAGTCATCACTATCTGAAGCCTTGTCATGTGTGTCTCGGTAAACAGCAGGGCACGGAACAAGGTGTTGTCTCTAACATTAACAAGCCATCCTCTGGCTATGACGAACAGATACATCTGCCAATACTTTCTGTATGCTTGTCATTTTATTCTGCCACACATCCACCATGGAGAGAGTATGGTTTTACGCTGGTTTTAGCAATGTTCCAGCAAGATCACAGCCAGGGACACTAGAAATGGGTTTCACACGTTGTATCCATGTGGGGAATCGAACAGAATGGAAATCCAAATACATTAAGGCTTCAGACAATTCAATTTTGGGAATCAAACCCGTGTAGATGCACTGCAAACCAAAACTAAACCTTTGAGCTACCTCAGTCACAAGATGTTTTCCACCACTTATTTGCAACTGGTATCACACCATGCAACTAAGGGCAGAGAACTCTTGTAAGATGGTCTGATCTGGTCACTTTCACATAAGAACATCAAGACTGCCTATTTCTTGATTATAATTGTTATGGAATTACACATGAATGATAAAATACACAAAAATGTCAATTCAAATGTATTTCAACCACACACAAATTTCACAACAGACAATGATTTACAGTTGGAAATGACAATTTTCCCATACAACTGTCAGTGTCATGATGTAATGTAAAAATCACCAAAAAGAACAACGACACGTTCATGAACTGCTGGTACACCAAACACTTGCACAAGTTGTAAGAATGGAAGCCATATATTCAAACAGTTTAAATCGGCTCTCAGACAAGCAGGAGCGACTGGGGACCAGTTCCGACCGGGATCATTATCACATCAATGCAGAGCTACAACATTGTAAATGTTGCATCCATAGACAGAGGGATCCAGACACCCCCAATTTTGAAAAAACAAATGTAGTATGTTGTAGGCAGTAAAATTGACGGAGAGGATTTTGATATTTTGGACCCCTCCCTTTTAAAAATGCTGGCTCCGCCCTTGATAGCGTACAGTCCAGTATACAAGTATGGGTGCGGAGGAATTATTGGTGTGTGGGGTTACTCAACAGCACCACAGCTACTGTAATAATATAAATATTTATAATAAATAATAGTCTATTTCTATGAAACCTTACTCCATGCACAATGCATGGTTGAGGCACACAGTCACGGTAGAGTTCATCTTGAAAACGCGATCAGGAACAGATGGGTTTTCAAACGAGATTAGAAGAGTGAAAGGTTTGAAGACTGTCTTAATTGTGGAGGGAGATTATTCCCCTCAATACAGCGTCAGAATAACAAGAGTCATTGGGAAATACATCCTTGAATATCCAGTGTATTAGGGCTGGGGCAGGTAACTCGGGTACTCGGGTCGGGTGGGTACTGAGTAGGACCCGGATAGCCACAGGACTACCCAGACCCATGGTTAGTCACGTGATATATTGTTCAAACACAAAAACTAAAACTCTATGGTTACAATACATGTCACTAATGTTTGCATTTCATTCTGACTGTGCACACATTCTTTTTTACTTTTATATGTTTGAATAAAGAGAGTGCCATTTTAGCAATATTCCAGCAATATCACGGCAGGGGGACACCAGAAATGGGCTTCACACATTGTACCCATGTCAGGAATCGAACCCGGGTCTTCAGCTTGACGAGCGAACGCTTTAAACACAAGGCTACCCGACCGCTGTTTGAATAAAGGGAGAACTTCAGTCCGTGGCTGCATGACCAGATCATTTTATATGTGTATCTAAACACATTTTGCCAGGGCTACGGTATAACTATTGCCAATCCGACAATTTGTATGTATATATCTCTTGAGACCTACAGCAGGTACCCCGGTAGGGTTGGGTAATAGAGGGCTGGGTTCCCTGGTATAAGATTTGGACTCGTCCCAGCCCTACAGTGTATTATACTTCATAGTATTATATATACATAGATCAATTTGCCACCATAGTTTTCTTTCGGAGTGATATCATTCCCATCTCTGTAACTTAGCACAAAATCTCTCTTGCTCATGAGAGAAATTGATCAGGAAGCTATTTTTAGTGTCATGCCCTTCTAAATGAAGCTATGGTCGTGGATGGGTCCAAGGTATCAACAGAATGGCATTATTATACCCTTGACAAACGAGGATGAGGGAAAAATGGAAACAAATACATGTATTGAGGATTTGGTGCCAGGTTTGTCATGAAGTGATATGTTTGTCTTGATATAGCTGATTGCAGGATAATTGGTTCAGGTGGTGCAATATATCGAATGGTGAGTCAAGCAAATCTAATTATACAAATATAAATATTAAGGGAGATGCAATTAATCCAGAATCGTGAAAGAGTGATTTTTTTATCAAAACTAAAATGGCAGGATAACGAGGTTTCACATACAAAGCTAAACAAAGCTCTAATTTATTTGGATGGCGTTCAATATCTTCAACAGAACCAAATCTATCACTGTATGTTTGATATAAGCACAGTTTCAAGCATTAAACATACACATAATGCATGCTCTGCTTATCCATTTAAAATAACATGTTCAGAAAGTGTTGTCAGCAGATGAACAGAGGTATGATAACACCCATGCATACACACATTATATATGTTATATACATTCACATTCAGACACAGATATGTAAAAAATATCACAATAATTATAATAACAAATCAAAACTGATAAATTAACCTTCACCCCAGTACCAAGGATCAAGATGCAGTGACACATTGCATACACGACAGTAACCAAATTAACAAAATTCTACATTTGTGATGCACTCTGTCACACATAACCATTTAACAGTTGTAATGATCGTCAATGTCACCTCAACTTACATTTGGCAATATGAGGAGAGTTGTCTCCCCTCCACCATGACACACAGCAGTACAAGAGTAGTCTCCCCATGGCCACCTACATCTGGAAGTACTACAAGAGTTGTCTCCCCTCCACCATGACACCTGGCAGTACTACAAGAGTTGTCTCCCCATGGCCACTTATATCTGGCAGTATAACAAGAGTAGTCTCCCCATAACCACCTACATCTTGAAGTGCTAAGAGAGTGTTCTACCCACAACCACTAGTCACCCTCCGTATCGTCGCTACTACCAATGTGCAAGCAGCCATTTACAATCTTGAAATTTCCCCTCTTAACCTATATGTTGTGACCTATATATTTTTGTGTGGCTCTGGAAATGCGATTCTAGTGAATTGAGATTTTGATTGTTTGTTGTTTAAAGCCAAACTCAGCCATATTCCAGCTACATGACGGCGGTCTGTAAATAATCAAGTCTGGACCAGACAATCCAGTGAGTGACATCATAAGCATCGATCCATGCACCTGGGAAACGATGACATGCATCAACCAAGTCAGTGAACCTGACCACCCGATCCCATTAGTCGCCTGTCGCTGGATCTTCATGATTCTAGTGAATTGAGAAAAGCTTCACAACTGATTTACGATTTCCAAGATGAATTTACGTTTGTTTAATCAGACTGGTTTGAGACTGCAGACCAACAGAAAAACTCCCCTTACATTCTTAATACACCAATTAAATGAAAGTTGAAATGAAATAGAAATTCAAGTTGACAAACAAAGAAAATACTTAAGCTTAGGGGGAGACTATTTGGCGTCATGACAGTCATTACTAGTTTGTACACCAAAGACGTGTATAGATGTACATATATCTTTGTGTAAACATAACAGTCGGTTGGCTGTGGCTGCCGAGTGGGGGGCTGAGTTCTATTTTCATGTATGTATAGTCTACAGTGAAACAAGCAAGAAATACTCATATCTGCCGCCAATATGAAATGTCCGGTTGGCATTAGCTCTCCAGAAACAAGCACTACCACCATTTTCAGTCTAAGTCAAAGTCACTGCGATGGAAACTGGAATCTTTTTTAAAAAAAAGCAAAACTATCAAAAGGCACCAGTTTACCACAAGACCTATCTATATGCCAAGTTTGGTGAAGAAATATTGTACGGTTTTCAAGATCTGCTCCAGAAAGGAGCACCACCACCGTTTTTAGTCAAAGTCAAAGTCATTGCCGTGAAAACTCAAAAAATACTTTTTTCAAAAATCCCAAACAATCAAAAGGCACCAGTTCACTACTAGACCTATCTATGTGCAAAGTTTGGTTAAGATAACTCTCATGGATTTTCAGTTCTGCTCCAGAAACGAAACGTGACGGACTGAAGGACGGACATCACCCATTCTTATATCCCCCTTCCACTTCATGGCAGGGGATAATAATGTCAGTATGCAGACACAATAACATGAACACATAAATACTGGAAACATGGCAGCCAGCAACACGGTAATACGGCCAATTAAACAACAACTCAGCACAATGTAAACTGAGTATTAATTATAAACAAATCAGTTGTAATTTGAAATCATGGGATTATTGCACTGCCTTATTCATATTTAATCCGATAACTCCATATTTTCTAACAGCAAACATCTCAGCAATAAATTCCCTTCCACTACATTTATAATACAAAATAGGATATACAAACAAAATCTTTGCAACATTTGCAAGAGCTTTAACAAAATACATGTCTTTAAACCTGCACATGGGTACACACAGAAGAGCTTTGTCATGCTCTTATTCTGCAAACACCAACAGAGCTCTCTACACAAAAAGTACCTTCAATATGTTCTTCAGTCTCCAGAGACTGAGCTGTATGACCAGTTGAAGTCAGTGTGTGAATGAGTTTTACGCTAATTTTAGCAATATTCCAGCGACATTTCGGCAGAGATATCAGAAATGGGGATTCAAACATTTACCCAATGGGGAATCAAACCCGGGCCTTCGGAGTGACAATCGACTGCTTTAACCACTAGGCTACCACACCGCTGCAGGACCAGTTGAAATGCCCAATATACAGTAAATGAAAGTATAATTCCATAAAAAAAGTGTTTTTTTCAAAATCCAAGGCAGGTTGGTCTATGATGTAAGACATGATGAAAAGGGCCTCACAAAAGTGACGTTTCTTCGTCTGCCTGGGGTTCTGTCAATGCCCACGGATAAACACATACAAAATTACGTACAGCACGTACAAATGTGATCTGAAATTTCTTTTAAAAAGCTTATGTAGTCAGCCTGTCCATGTACCTAAAGCTTTACCAAACAACAATAGCATACATCAATTTTGTTATGTACAGGCGTATCACATGTATATAAGTATTGTAAGGAGGCATCTTCTAACCACGGGGACACTGGAATCAGAGCGTCACATGCCATGGTATGCTGGCTGAACAATAAAGATTCAATATATCAAGATTCAATATATCAAGATTCAATAAATCAAGAATCAACATCTAGAGATTCAATATATAAAGTATCAACATCTATTGATTCAATATACAAAGAATCAACATCTTCAGATTCAATATATAAAGAATCAATATCTACAGATTCAATATACAAAGAATCAACATCTCCATATTCAATATACAAAGAATCAACATCTACAGATTCAATATATAAAGAATCAATATCTACAGATTCAATATATAAAGAATCAATATCTACAGATTCAATATACAAAGAATCAACATTGAAAGATTCAATATACAAAGAATCAACATCTACAGATTCAATATACAAAGAATCAACATCTACAGATTCAATATATAAAGAATCAACATCTACAGATTCAATATATAAAGAATCAATATCTACAGATTCAACATACAAAGAATCAACATCGAAAGATTCAATATACAAAGAATCATCATCGAAAGATTCAATATAGAAAGATTTAATAAACAAAGAATCAACATCGAAATATTCAATATATAAAGATTCAATATACAAAGAATCAACATCGAAAGATTCAATATAAAAAGATTCAATATATAAAGAATCAACATCGAAAGATTCAATATATAAAGATTCAATATACAAAGAATCAACATCGAAAGATGCAATATACAAAGAATCAACATCAAAAGATTCAATATATAAAGATTCAATATACAAAGAATCAACATCAAAAGATTCAATATATTTAGAGTAACTATATATTTTGGGACACATGAATCACTGACTGAGTGACTGACTGACCGCTTATTATAAAAATACTTGTCTTGATTGGGACAGAGATGGGGAGATAATCTCGCAGATGCCACTGTCTTTTTCAGAAACACATCCAACAGTGGTCAGCTTATTGGGAGACCAAGTCAATGTGGTGGAATTCTTGACCACTCCAGTCAGCTTATCAGGACTTGAAACCAGGGCTTGATTTTAACAAGAGTTTAAAGCTACTTCTCACACAAGTCTTTGTTAAAGTATATGAGCTAGGTGGACAAGCCTCCATAGTTTCAGTTTACAGTTTCCTTATATGATGGGGTCTGTAAATAATCGGGTCAGACAATCCAATGACTGATATCATGAGCACTGCTCTACGCAATTGTAATAAGATGACATGCATCAACCAAGGTGGAGAATCCTAGGAGGAGAATCAAACACGGACCTTGTGGACACAAAGACTTTAGTCACAGTACCACCCACCAGGGTCAGATGATCATGGACTAAAGACTTACTGGTGAGGATATGGTAGCAGGTGTGGGGTGTGGGGTGTGGGGTGTGTGGGGGGTGAGGCTTACACCAGCTCCCACTCCCCCTCCCCCTCACTACTCCCCGACAGTGTCCGGTGAAGCAGGGGGTCGTTGGACATCTGCCGACGCTGGAAGTACTTGGTGCGACACTGCAGCAGGTGCCCCTCCCGGCTGATGGCCCACAGGTCATCTGTTGGAGATGCTGGAATGACGAGGATGTCAAATGATGTGACAAAACTTACACCTTATTCACCTCCACCCACCCACCAGCTCTCCCCCTACCAGCTCTATTCACCTCTACCAACCCACCAGCTCTATCCACCCACCCACCAATCAGCTCCATTCACCTCCACCCAACCATCAGCTCCATTCACCTCCACCCACCCACCAGCTCTCCCCCTACCAGCTCTATTCACCTCTACCAACCCACCAGCTCTATCCACCCACCCACCAATCAGCTCCATTCACCTCCACCCAACCATCAGCTCCATTCACCTCCACCCACCCACCAGCTCTCCCCCTACCAGCTCTATTCACCTCCACCCACCCACCAGCTCTATCCACCTACCCACCAATCAGCTCCATTCACCTCCACCCACCCACCAGCTCTTCCCTACTAGCTCCATTCACCTCCACCCACCCATCAGCTCCATTCACCTCTACCCACCCACCAGCTCTATCCACCCACCCACCCATCAGCTCCATTCACCTCTACCCACCAGCTCTATCCACCCACCCACCCATCAGCTCCATTCACCTCCACCCACCCACCAGCTCTCCCCCTACCAGCTCTATTCACCTCCACCCACCCACCAGCTCTCCCCCTACCAGCTCTATTCACCTCTACCCACCCACCAGCTCTATCCACCTACCCACCAATCAGCTCCATTCACCTCCACCCACCCACCAGCTCTTCCCTACTAGCTCCATTCACCTCGACCCACCCATCAGCTCTCCCCCTACCAGCTCTATTCACCTCTACCCACCCACCAGCTCTATCCACCTACCCACCCACCAGCTCTATCCACCTCCACCCACCCACCAGCTCTCCCCCTACCAGCTCTATCCACCCACCCACCCACCAGCTCTATCCACCCACCCACCCACCAGCTCTATCCACCTCCACCCACCCACCAGCTCTATCCACCTCCACCCACCCACCAGCTCTCCCCCTACCAGCTCTATCCACCCACCCACCCACCAGCTCTATTCACCTCTACCTACCCACCAGCTCTATTCACCTACCCATCCACCAGCTCTATTCACCTCTACCCAGCCACCAGCTCTATTCACCTCCACCCACCCACCAGCTCTATTCACCTCTACCAACCCACCAGCTCTATTCATCTACCCACCCACCAGCTCTATTCACCTCTACCCACCCACCAGCTCTATTCACCTCTACCCACCCACCAGCTCTATTCACCTACCCACCCACCAGCTCTATTCACCTCTACCTACCCATCAGCTCTATTCACCTACCCACCCACCAGCTCTATTCACCTCTACCTACCCATCAGCTCTATTCACCTCTACCCACCCACCAGCTCTATTCACCTCTACCCACCCACAGCTCTATTCACCTACCCACCCACCAGCTCTATTCACCTCTACCTACCCACCAGCTCTATTCACCTCTACCCACCAGCTCTATTCACCTCTCCCCCCCCACCAGCTCTATTCACCTCTCCCCACCAGCTCTATTCACCTATACCCACCCACCAGCTCTATTCACCTCTACCCACCCACCAGCTCTATTCACCTCCACCCAACCACCAGCTCTATTCACCTCCACCCACCCACCAGCTCTACTCACCTCTACCCACCCACCAGCTCTATTCACCTCTCCCCAACCACCAGCTCTATTCACCCACCCACCCACCAGCTCTTTTCACCCACCTGACAGATGAGAGAAGACCCCGGGAACCTTCTTCCAGTAGTTGCCACACGGGTTGTCCCTGGAGATGCCATAGCGGTAGAGGACCTCCCCGTGAGGGTTGAGGGCCCAAACCCCCGTCTTTGTCACCGTCAGCTCAGTAATCAGGGTACCTACAGGCCGTCACAAAGCTTGCAATTAGGAGTGATCATCCACGCGGGAACAAAGAAAACAGGTTCTACTCAATCTATGAGTCAACATTACACCTCCAGCTTGCATCTGACAACAGGCTGTTTCGTTGCTGATCTGGCAGATGCCTATTTCAGTAGACAATTTCTGGAAGCCAAGTCTACCTTTCTCAGATTACGATTACCTACAGTCGCACTATTGATCATACTTATATACATTTATACTTGTTCCTTGTTCTCCCTTTGTAGAGAAACATGGGATTACCTGGAACATGAACCCACTCTCGGCCAATCGGCATCCGATCTGTAATTCCCTGTCTCACATAACCAAGGCGACGGTTGTCAATTGCCCACACCTGTTGACAAAGACAGCTTCATGGATATGACAGAAAATGCAACTAATTTTCAATGTAAAATCATTATTCATCTTGATCCCATTGATCCTCGAGGTAAAATATTTGTGAAACTTGACATGACCTTGTAAGATCCCTGTCCCCTAGATAACCAAGGTCAGTGTCAAGGTCAAGGCCAATGTTAAGATCAAGGTCAATGTTAAGGTCAATGTGGCAGCCCCAGCCTAACTATCAAACATTTTAAAATTCATTTCATCCCTTAGCTATGAAGCATCTGGGCCTAGTCCCATAAATTAAGCAACTTTATTAAGGTGGAAACCAAATTTGCAGGCTTTGGCTGTGTTTGGCAGAGGTTTCAAATCGGCATCTAATACAAACAGCCGCAAATCTGAAAACACATGCATATTGACATTGTAAAATACCAAAGCTATCAGTAACTTTCTGAAGCAGTTAACTCAAATAGAAGCTGTTCCCATAAGGATGGATCAAACATATCAAGAAATTCATTCAAAAACAGAAAGATTCCAGGATCCAATCCAATTTAAGAATGTTGTTTAACCAAATCAAATGAACATATAACCAAATACTACATTTTACAATAAAGAATGAGATTACGATTGACGTACCACATTGATTGCTGTGAGGAATAGGGCCGATTCATCATGGGATGAATCCCAGCTACGACGAGATAAAGATCCTCATTCTATCAGCACCATCCCATGCTGGACGGTTTCAACAAATCTACAACCTGCCTCACTTCAATAAACCATGATATAAACGCCATACTGTTAAAAGTGGTGTTAAACTCACTCACTCGACCACTCACTCACTCCACCTCACTCCCTGACCTGACCTGACCTGACCTGACCTGACCTGACCTCACCATCCACTCGAGCGGCCCTGTGACGACCTGGATGAAGGTGATCTAGGAGTCGTCTCACCTCTCCTCACCTCACCTCACCTCTCAATGCAACTCAACTCACCATCCACTCGAGCGGCCCTGTGACGACCTGGATGAAGGTGATCTAGGAGTCGTCTCACCTCCACTCCTCTCACCTCACCTCTCAATGCAACTCAACTCACCATCCACTCGAGCGGCCCGGTGATGACCTGGGTGAAGGTGATCTATGAGTCGTCTCACCTCACCTCGTCTCACTTCACCTCTCAATGCAACTCAACTCACCATCCACTCGAGCGGCCCGGTGATGACCTGGGTGAAGGTGATCTAGGAATCGTCTCACCTCTCCTCACCTCACCTCTCAATGCAACTCAACTCACCATCCACTCAAGCGGCCCGGTGACGACCTGGGTGAAGGTGATCTAGGAGCCGCCTCACGTCACCTCTTCTCACCTCACCTCTCAATGCAACTCAACTCACCATCCACTCAAGCGGCCCGGTGACGACCTGGGTGAAGGTGATCTACGAGTCGTCTCACCTCACCTCTCAACACAACTCAACTCACCATCCACTCGAGCAGCCCGGTGACGACCTGGGTGAAGGAGATCTAGGAGTCGTCTCATCTCTCCTCACCTCACCTCGTCTCACCTCACCTCTCAATGCAACTCAACTCACCATCCACTCAAGCGGCCCGGTGACGACCTGGGTGAAGGTGATCTACGAGTCGTCTCACCTCGTCTCACCTCACCTCACCTCGTCTCACCTCACCTCTCAACACAACTCAACTCACCATCCACTCGAGCGGCCTGGTGACGACCTGGGTGAAGGTGATCTAGGAGTTGTCTCACCTCGTCTCACCTCACCTCACCTCTTAACTCAACTCAACTCACCCTCCACTCGAGCGGCCCGGTGATGACCTGGGTGAAGGTGATCTAGGAGTCGTCTCACCTCTCCTCACCTCACCTCGTCTCACCTCACCTCTCAATGCAACTCAACTCACCATCCACTCGAGCGGCCCGGTGACAACCTTGGTGAAGGTGATCTAGGAGTCGACTCACCTCACCTCGTCTCACCTCACCTCTCAACACAACTCAACTCACCATCCACTCGAGCGGTCCGGTGACGACCTGGGTGAAGGTGATCTCGGAGAAGGAGTCAATGGGGAGCCAGGCAGGGCTGAGCTGCTGGTCCGTGGGAGCCTTTGCGCCGATACGCTGGTACACCAACCCGTTGCAGTCCACGGTCCATACATACTGACTGTTGCAGCTGACATGGATCAGCTGGGAGTCACCTGGATCAGTCAGTGGGATCAACATTAGGAGGGGTGGTGATATGGGTGGGGCAGGCTAAGGGTCACATCACAACACAAAAGCTGAGAGTGGTAGAGATCTGAGGTAGATACAATCTCATTAAAATCAGACCTTAGTTCTCGCTACCGCTAAACAAAGATCTGAGGATATCCCATTACGACGTTTCATCCGACCAATGAGAGCGTCGCTTACCAGATCATGAAAGTGAGTGAGTGAGTATGGTTTTACGCCGCTTTTAGCAATATTCCAGCAACATCACGGCGGGGGACACCAGAAATGGGCTTCACACATTGTACCCATGTCCGGAATCGAACCCGGGTCTTCAGCATGACGAGGGAACGCTTTAACCACTAGGCTACCCGACCGCCCCCAGATCATGAAAGTGACAGTCAGAATGTGATCTCAAATCATACAACCTCGAAAACGTTAACACGATAGTTACAGGTTTAACGCCTGAATCCATACAATCTAGACCATCTATTAGCCATTCCAGAATGATCTTTTGTTTAGGTTTCAAATTTGTAATCGAGAATTTGTCAAAATATGTTTCGAAACGTAGTCGCCAATTCGAAATTAGTGCCGTAAAGCACGAAAAAGCTGCCTTCTGATTGGTCATTCTATTGGTCTGTCAAAGTTCACGCAAGGCTGTCTGACGTGCCCCGTAATGGGATGTCCTCAGATCTTTGTTTAGCGGTAGCGAGAAATAAAGGTCTGATTTTAATGAGATAGATATGTCCCATGGGTACAGACTATGATACGATCTTACAAAATACATAATGCGTTATCATACCTCCATTTCAGAATGATGAGATCTGATTGGTCCACGTATCTTGATAAAATTCTATGCATCCCACCTTGGAGGGTAATACATTTCTTAGCGGGGGAATAAATCTCTTATACCCCGCCACAAGCAAGTCAGGCTGCACGTGGATTTCTGAGAGGCAGAATAATCCCTTATACCCTGCCTCAAAGCAAAAGCCACACGCTTTTTCCGAGTCAACAGAAGTCATGTGACACACCACAAGTAAACCACAGCTCAATCAAACAGCTGTTTTCTATCAATGTTTTCTTTCAGCTATATGACGCGGTCTGTAAATAATCAATCAAGACAATCCAGTGATTGACATCATGAGCATCGATCCACGCAATTGGGATATGATGACATGCATCAACCAAGTCAGCGAGCCTGACCTACCCAACCCCGTTAGTCGCCTCTTACAAGCATAGTCGCCTTTTACGGCAAGCATGCTGAAGAGCTATTTTAACCCGATCGTCACAGGTTACTTGAACTTGAAGAGGAACATGTCCAAAGACAGGTTGAGTTCCAGCACAAGGAACCGCCTCCGTGATCTAGTGGCAGAGCTTCCGCCCGGAGAGCGGAAGGTCCGGGGTTCGATCCCCGGCCGCGTCATACCAAAAGACTTTAAAAAATGGTACTTGTTGTTACCCTGTCTGGCGCTCAGCATTAAGGGGCTAAAAACAAGGACTGGTCGGCTCGGAGTCAGTATACTGTGTCTGAGTGGGGTATTCATGTTAAACTGCGGCATGGTATCTCAGTGAGCTAGCACTATAAACTGGCATCAGTCCGGACTAGTACAAGCAGCCGCACAAACACACACACGTACATGCACGTCGCTATATAAGTGCAATAATCTTGGACGCGACGTTAAACCCAATTTCACCTCACCTCACCTCACCAGCACAAGGCTCTTGCCCCTACCTAGCTGTGACAGGTCAAGCTCCGCCCATGTCGCCCCGTGGGGGCAGTAGGGGCCCATCCCAGCCCTCACCCACACATCGCCATTGTTATCCAGCCCCCACACAGCAATGGGTCCGGCATGCATGGACTTGAACATCGGTGATGGGGAAATGAGTGTGGCTTTCCTGGTGTCGGCTGGGAACACGTACAGCTCCTGGTTCGGCTGCTGGGCCCACACAAGGCCTGGAGGAAGATGTAAGATGCAGATGAATGGAAACAGAGGAACATGTCTGATGGGACATACAGATGGTAAACTGACAGTCATGTTACAGTGTCTTACAGAAACCCCATATAATGGACAATGATGCTCTAACATCATCTTCCCGTGTCAAGAGAGTTAACTGACTTTAAAAGTCCAGTTTCCACCCTTGCCCAACTAGGCTGGAATTCCTGGGCTCGATCGTAGCGCCGTGTTGCTAGGCTGACATCACATGGAATTGTTTCGCCGGTGTGTTTTGCAACAAAATTCATAGCGTATTGTGATGTGATTGTAAACTTTGTGATGCAGAGTTCCGTTCCACAAAGTGATTGAAGCACATCGACAGTCGTAAGTCTATGTTAAAGTAAGGGAGTTACGATAACCTTAGCGCTACGATAGTTTTGTGGAATGGGTCCCTGAATTCTAAAGGTTGTATGATATTAAATAAATACATATCAACTTTTGATGTGTTTGAAGTGACAGTGAAATGTTAATAAAAAGTTATAAACGGCAAACACTAATAACCAATCAATATTGTGCAATATTCTGCAACCATTTCTTTAGAAAAGTTCATGTGTAAGTTGGGATGATCATGTATATCCCTTCCTTTGACTCCTTATGATTTGTTTGTTTGTTTGTTTGTTGTTTAATGCCACACTCGGCAATATTCCAGCTTTAAGACGGTGGTCAGTAAATAATCAAGTCTGGACCAGACAATCCAATGATTGATGTCTTGCGCATCAATCCAGGCAATTGGGATATGATGACATGCATTAACCAAGTCAGCGACCCTGACCACCCGATCCCGTTAGTCACCTCGTACGACAAGCATAGTGGCTTTTTATGGCACGTTTCAACCAAGTCAGCAAGCCTGACCACCCGATCTTGTTAGTTGCCTCGTACGACAAGCATAGTCGCTTTTTACGGCAAGCATGGGTTGCCGAAGACCTATTCTACCCCGGATGTTCACGGGTCTTAACTCCTTATGAGAGCATGTAGCTAATACATACAGGCAAACTGGTAACATGAAGCCTTATGATGACCTACCCCAGTCTAGATCCGCCACATTGGCAGACACAGTCTTCCATGTGGCACTGGCTGCCATGCCGACTGGGTGGGCGTCTTCCCATCTGTAGCCTGCAACACAGCATCAGTGTACAGTCTGAAGTCTGACTGTCTCACCGGCCTTAGTGAAAAGAGTGGACAAACAAGCTTGAAATACTCATATTTCCCGCAAATATGACGTGTCTGGTGGTGTGCAAGGCATTAATCCTCCAGAAACAAGCTATGCTGCTATTTTCAGTCTAAGTCAAAGTCGCTGCTATGCAAACTCGAAAAATAGATACCGGTATTTAAAAAATACCATAGGGTTCAAAATAAGTCAAAAATGATATTTTCAACATGGCTTCCATTTAGATCAGATGAGCTAACCCTGGAAGATGTTCTTGTGCCTACCCCCAGACATGGTGGATGTTCTTGTACCTACCCTGCAGACATGGAGGATGTTCTTGTACCTACCCTGCAGACATGGAGGATGTTCTTATACCTACCCTGCAGACATGGAGGATGTTCTTGTACCTACCCTGCAGACATGGTGGATGTTCTTGTACCTACCCTGCAGACATGGTGGATGTTCTTGTACCTACCCTGCAGACATGGAGGATGTTCTTGTACCTACCCTGCAGACATGGAGGATGTTCTTGTACCAACCCTGCAGACATGGAGGATGTTCTTGTACCTACCCTGCAGACATGGAGGCTGTTCTTGTACCTACCCTGCAGACATGGAGGATGTTCTTGTACCTACCCTGCAGACATGGAGGCTGTTCTTGTACCTACCCTGCAGACATGGTGGATGTTCTTGTACCTACCCTGCAGACATGGAGGATGTTCTTGTACCTACCCTGGAAGCTGCCCCTGCAGACATGCAGGATGTTCTTGTACCTACCCTGGAAGCTGCCCCTGCAGACATGGAGGATGTTCTTGTACCTACCCTGCAGACATGGAGGATGTTCTTGTACCTACCCTGCAGACATGGAGGATGTTCTTGTACCTACCCTGGAAGCTGCCCCTGCAGACATGCAGGATGTTCTTGTACCTACCCTGGAAGCTGCCCCTGCAGACATGCAGGATGTTCTTGTACCTACCCTGGAAGCTGCCCCTGCAGACATGGAGGATGTTCTTGGACCTACCCTGTAGACATGGAGTATATATGTTCTTGTACCTACCCTGGAAGCTGCCCCTGCAGACATGCAGGATGTTCTTGTACCTACCCTGGAAGCTGCCCCTGCAGACATGGAGGATGTTCTTGTACCTACCCTGCAGACATGGAGGATGTTCTTGTACCTACCCTGCAGACATGGAGGATGTTCTTGTACCTACCCTGGAAGCTGCCCCTGCAGACATGGAGGATGTTCTTGTACCTACCCTGGAAGCTGCCCCTGCAGACATGCAGGATGTTCTTGTACCTACCCTGGAAGCTGCCCCTGCAGACATGCAGGATGTTCTTGTACCTACCCTGCAGACATGGAGGATGTTCTTGTACCTACCCTGCAGACATGGAGGATGTTCTTGTACCTACCCTGCAGACATGGAGGATGTTCTTGTACCAACCCTGCAGACATGGAGGATGTCCTTGTACCTACCCTGCAGACATGGAGGATGTCCTTGTACCTACCCTGCAGACATGGAGGATGTTCTTTTACCTACCCTGGAGACATGGAGGATGTTTTTGTACCTACCCTGCAGACATGGAGTATGTTCTTGTACCTACCCTTCAGACATGGAGGATGTCCTTGTACCTACCCTGCAGACATGGAGGATGTTCTTGTACCTACCCTGCAGACATGGAGGATGTTCTTGTACCTACCCTTCAGACATGGAGGATGTCCTTGTACCTACCCTGCAGACATGGAGTATGTTCTTGTACCAACCCTGCAGACATGGAGGATGTTCTTGTACCTACCCTGCAGACATGGAGGATGTTCTTGTACCTACCCCTGCAGACATGGAGGATGTTCTTGTACCTACCCTGCAGACATGCAGGATGTTCTTGTACCTACCCTGGAAGCTGCCCCTGCAGACATGCAGGATGTTCTTGTACCTACCCTGCAGACATGCAGGATGTTCTTGTACCTACCCTGCAGACATGGAGGATGTTCTTGTACCTACCCTGCAGACATGGAGGATGTCCTTGTACCTACCCTGCAGACATGGAGTATGTTCTTGTACCAACCCTGCAGACATGGAGGATGTTCTTGTACCTACCCTGCAGACATGGAGGATGTTCTTGTACCTACCCCGCAGACATGGAGGATGTTCTTGTACCTACCCTGCAGACATGGAGGATGTTCTTGTACCTACCCTGGAAGCTGCCCCTGCAGACATGCAGGATGTTCTTGTACCTACCCTGCAGACATGGAGGATGTTCTTGTACCTACCCTGGAAGCTGCCCCTGCAGACATGCAGGATGTTCTTGTACCTACCCTGGAAGCTGCCCCTGCAGACATGCAGGATGTTCTTGTACTCGAGGCAGACCCACACCCCCTGGGGTCCGGCGGTAATGAGCCCCCCTCGACTGGTGCTGAGCAGGAAGGACAACTTCTGGGGGTCGAACTTGCTGGCAAGAGATTTCAGGGCATCCAGTGCTGAGGCATCTTGGACAAAATACTCGCTCATTGGCACCTGGGAGTAAAAACACATCAATTCTTATGGTCCTCAATCATAGTATTTGTCGTTCAGCGGTCGTATTTGTTGTTTAGTGGTTGTATTTGTTGTTCTGTTTTATTTGTTGTTCCCTTGGTGTATTTGTTGTTGATAGTTGATAGTTTAATGGTTGTATCCGTTGTTCAAGGAGGTTGTATTGGTTGTTCAGTGGTTGTATTGGTTGTTCAGTGGTTGTATTGGTTGTTCAGTGGTTGTATTGGTTGATCATAATTACATTGTACCTCCTAAACAATTTCATTGAAGATGCAGCCCTTCAAGAGCTTAAACTAACCTGCCACCAGTGTCCATCTCCACAAGGTGTTGCCATGGTAATATTACAACAGAACCAGATACGACCGACAACATCCACGCCCCATCCAGTTCCTTCATCTCCAAGGGTGACGTGCGAAAACAGGATGTCGTCTGCCGCACTGGAAAATGATTGACATTATAAACTTCATCTGTTGGTTGGTTGTTTAACGCCGTACTAAGCAATATTCCAGCTATATGACGGCGGTCTGTAAATAATCGAGTCTGGACCAGAAAATCCAGTGATTGATATCATGAGCATCGATCCACACAATTGGGATCGATGACCAGATCCCATTAGTCGTCTCTTATGACAAGTCATCTTTTACGGCAAGCATGGGTTGCTGAAGACCTATTCTACCCCAGATCTTCACGGGTCAAACTTCATCTGAAGGTACTGATTTGATTACTGGAGCAGGACCATATTATGACAGTAAGGATTTATCAAAGAATTGATGAATATAGTACCATGCTAGATACATAAACTGTGTGGCAAAAGAAAGTATACCAAGTTAAATGTTAAATATGATTATGTCTATTTAACCATCACTCATTCCTGCAACAGTTTGTGAAAAGTAATCTGTGGCTGGATAAGTTTGTGAAAAATATATTGGTTCAATGAAGACTCGGAATTTGAGACTACATGACCCCAACAATGTTTGAAATTTTGTAAATTTGTACCAACATCAAGCAAATTTATTGTTTCGCAGACAAGACGTCTAAGATAGCAATCAGCAGTTGTGTATTATGCGAGAAAAAAATATTTAAATCTATTTCAAATTACATTTTATAAAACAAGGCAAAATATGAGCAGGGATCACTAATATCCCTGATTTCAATTCCAACATATTTCTAAGTTCAAAACATGAAAAACACAATATCTTCTCAGAAAATCCACATATCAAAATCAAACTTTGCACTGCTCCTCTCCTAATAGTATAGAAAGCGTTCCTTAAATTTGAAAAGAATCCATGCAGTTCTCAAGTAAAATAAACATTCTAAGTTCAAAACATGTAAAGATTCTTATTTTCTCAGAAAATCCACATGTCATCAACTTTTCAAGGAGTAAGTATATACAGCGAAACGTGTTCCTCATAATAAAGAAGTTGACATCCATAAATTCTTTTCCTTAAAAAAGTCTTTGTTGATGTACAAATGGGTACCCTTGCAAATATGTTGATAACCACATACCAGACAATAATCAGAACTAGTCATTTGACTTGCAAACATTGAATTGTGAAATCTAGCATGAGATCTTTTCTTGAACACGTTATCAATCTTTTACAGTAACCATGGTAACAATGTCTCACCCCCATTTCTTCCATTCTGTTCCCTCCTGACAAGCTTCAGTGACCCCTGACCTGTACACGACCTTGTGGTTGTCAGTAATGCCCCACACCACACCTCCACGACACACGATCAACTTCAGATGTTCATGGCCGTCAACCTTCATGGACTTGAAACATGGCCGCTCCGCAGACAAACCCTTCTGTACCATCACGTCACCATTGGTCTTGAGGTACCTGTAGCAGGAGGAAGGAATTAATGATGAAACGTTTTACTTCACATCACCATTGGTCTTGAGGTACCTGTAGCAGAAGGAAGGAATTAATGATGAAACGTTTTACTTTACGTCACCATTGTCTTGAGATACCTGTAGCAGAAGGAATGAATTAATGATGAAACGTTTTACTTTACGTCACCATTGGCCTCGAGATACCTGAGGCAGAAGGAATGAATTAATGATGAAACGTTTTACTTTACATCACCATTGTCTTGAGATACCTGTAGCAGAAGGAGGGAATTAATGATGAAACGCTTTACTTCACGTCACCACTGGTCTTGAGATATATGTAGCAGAAGGAATGAATTAATGATTAAACATTTTACTTCACGTCACCATTGGTCTTGAGGTACCTGTAGCAGGAGGGAATTAATGATGAAACGTTTTACTTCATGTCACCATTGGTCTTGAGATACCTGTAGCAGAAGGAATGAATTAATGATGAAACGTTTTACTTCACGTCACCATTGGTCTTGAGATACCTGTAGCAGAAGGAATGAATTAATGATGAAACGTTTTACTTCACGTCACCATTGGTCTTGAGATACCTGTAGCAGTAGGAGAGCTCCCTCAGTCTGGCAATTTCAGGAGAGAAGATTATTTAAACAAATATGCCTTTTGAGATATCTAAAACATGGTCAAAACAAGGTAAAAACCTAAAATATTGCAAAAAAACCCAAAACATTTGTCAAGTATCAAAGTTTATTCCAGTACAAAATCACTGAAATGGTCATCAATAGATTGTCAATATGGCTGTGGTGGTGGCCATATTGGAGTCAAACCTTTTGAACAAACTCAGGTGTGATCATTGGCGGGAACAAGCGGGTGTACTTTCAGCTTCATTGGTCCAGAGGTCTCGGAGGATAGGATGTGTATGGTGCAATAAATGTATTTTGAGGGACTTTAGGAGGATGGTCAAAGTTTAATGGTCAATTAAAGGTCAAGCTCATAAATATCATGAAAAATGGAACATATGTGTTGAGCTCCACTACTATCTATAAAATATACCAAATTTTATTAGGTTTTCAACAGAAATGTCCGGGTTATGGCAATAATATGTTAGATGTTTCAGCTTGTAGTATGGTCGAAAAGCAAAGGTCATATCAAGGTCAAAGTATAAAATATTGCAAAAAACAGAACATATTGTTGAGCTATTGTTGACTACTCATGTAGTAAATTTCATTACATGTTTACAAAAAAATGGCGAGTATATCGACATAGAAAATAAGATGAAACCTCAAACAAATTGGGGTGTTGTCATTCACCTTCATTGGTCCAGTTGGTGCTGGGGAGAAGATCTTGATTATGAACGACATTAAATGGATGAAGACAAACATGGCACGTCATGAGCTCACTCAACTTTCAGGGACCAACAGCATGAAAGCAATAATTAGCAATGAAGGCTTATAACATGTATAATAAACACAGGCGGATCCAGAGTCCAAATCCAGGGTGCCCGGACCCCCTTTTGAAACCAAATGTACAACATCGTAGAAAAATCATCCCCCCCCCTCCCCATCTTTTATAAAAATGCTGGATCCGCCCTTGATAAATTAATCTGGATTCCAAAATTAAATTCCTGTATACATCCACGAAGATAGTATGACATAGCTGATAAGACATGATCTGTCTTAAATGACACTCTGTCTCAAGATTAGTCGTTTTTATTACTGACATTGATGTTGTAAAATGTTTAACCCTTGATCACTTAAAGACAAAGTCATCAAATCATAATTTGCTTAAATGTTATTATTCCTGTTCATTACTTCAGCAAAACATCTTTCAAGTGTTTTGAAAAAAAAGTGATCATATACAAGGGAGTTACAGCATTTTTGAAAGGGAGGGTTCCAAAATATCAAAATCCTCTCTCAGATAATTTTACTGCCTACAACATATTTAATTTTTAACTTTCAAAGTTTGGAAGTTGGGAGGGGGATTCCGGACCTGGACCCTCTCTGGATCCGCCTATGAAATATACAGGATCTTACCATGCACACTTGTCGTCCACACTGATGTAGCTGACATCCTTCACAGCCTCCACCCATTTGAGCCCCTCGGGCCTTCGAGCACTCAGCTTGGTACCAGCATACACTGTGTTCTTCTGGAGCCGCCACACGATGGAGCCACTGCTGGACACGGCAATCTGCTTGGCCTGCCCGCTAGCCTTTCGCCACACGACCCCCTTGACCCCACTCAGAGAGCTGTAGTAGATGTTCTCGCTCTTGTCAGTAAACCAGACGTGTGTCTCAGACACACACAAACTGTACACATTGGTCGGCGTGATGATCTCTGACCAACTGTTGGCTAGTTTGAGAAGTGTCCCGGCTGCCACCTTATCATCTGCTGCTGAAGATGTATCTGCAGAGGCAGGAGGTGGAACATCTTCGGGAGAGACTTGATCCGATTCCGGTTCCGGGGAGATCTGTTTGAGACCAGCGGGGCTCGTGATGTTGGAATCGATTGATGATTGAGACATGTATTTCTTGTAGAAGTCTTCAGTTGAAGTGTCAGAGGTCATGTAGATGTCCCTTTTTCTCAGAGGGTCGGAGGAAGGGGACACAGGTGACAGAATACCTGAGGTGTGGGACAGATCTCGTCCACTGACATCTGACACACTTGGAGCAGGATCGGTACCATAGCCCGATGACAACTCGCGAGCCATTTTCCCCAGACAGTGAATCTTGTAGTCGGTGCTGTTGACATCCGGCAGACTTTTCTCATCTACATTGTAAGTATAGGGCACATTAGCAGGGTTGAACTCAGAACCTTCGCTTGATGGAGTCACAGTTTCTGGGGTCTTGTTGAGGGACGGCATCTTCTCCGAGGCCACAGAGGACAGAGAGTCCATTCCGACAGATTCCTGTCGCTCGACTTCGACATCTTCTTCAGTTGACTCTGTCTTCAGCATCTCGGCTGTCCTCTTCAAAATTTCATTTGCTATCTCAAGTGTGTCCACAGGGCTTGGAGTTGTCTCTCCTGCTGCATCAGTTGTGTCTGCAGTTTCATCAACAATGGTTTGGCTCGTGTCAGAGTTCTGGCTAATCTCATCTTCTTCCTTGACCGTTGACTTTTCTGCAGTAAAGATACAAAACACATAGATAGCATTATAATAAAAGATGAACCAAACGAGATCAATTTATCAATTCTGTTACATCACTTCGTTATTGCAAACAGACATGGCTATGTATGTGCCTCTTTTGTCATTACTGAAGTCTTAGTGAGTGAGTGAGTGAGTGAGTGAGTGAGTGAGTGAGTGAGTATGGTTTTACGCCGCTTTTAGCAATATTCCAGCAATATCACGGCGGGGGACACCAGAAATGGGCTTCACACATTGTACCCATGTCGGGAATCGAACCCGGGTCTTCTGCGTGACGTGCGAACGCTTTAACCACTAGGCTACCCGACCGCCCCTGAAGTCTTAGTACGACAGGGGGACACCAGCATAGGCTCCACGTATTGTGCTTGTGTAGGGAATAGAATCCTGGTCCTAAGTGTGACAAGTAAACACTGTTACCACTGGGCCATCCCACCACTCCTTGTGACATAAATCGAAATATACCGTATTCAACGTAATAAGCGCCCCGCTCTAATAAGCGCCCACGGCAATATTTGCTAATATATTGGCTAGTGAACAATCCCAATTAGCACCCCTTCCGAATGATCAATGTACGCAAGACTTATTTATTCGTGTATAATATGCACTCGTGTGCTATATGCACCCATAATTATGGGCAATTAAATTCTGGAAAAATATATGTCGTATATAAACAGTCAGGCCGTCAGCATAAACCACGAAATTTATCTTTCAACTCTGTTTTTCCCACCAAAATTCTATTCTAATAAGACCCCCCTATTTCTAATTTTGAGAGCGCCCTGGGCGCTTATTACGTCGAATACGGTAATCATTTTAAACAATGCGTTGTCAGGTAATGGCTCTTTTTTTTAAACAAAAACTCCTTTTTATCTCTTGCAAAACTGACAAGGGTGATGAAAAAACAACCTACTTGTGACCAGGAATTACAAACTAATACAGTTATTATAACTTAGATTACACACAGTGATCCTCTTGGGCCAACTCGTACTTTAGTCTGTCTGTTTGTATCAGGGCAGTGAATAATCAAATCTGGACAAGACAACCAGTGATTGATATTATGAGCATGAGCCTTGCATGCTATACAATTGACATGCAATTAAGTCACCAACCATGTCCACCGAATCCTCAAAGTTGACTTTATGACGAGCATAGGATGCTGGGGTGTGAGGTGAGGTGAAATGGGGTTTAACGTCGCATCCAAGATTATTGCACTTATATAGCGACGTGCATGTATGTGTGTGTGTGTGTGTGGCTGCTTGTACTTGTCCGGACTGATGCCGATTTATAGTGCTAGCACACTGAGATACCATGCCGCAGTTTAACATGAATACCCCACTCAGACACAGTATACTGACTCCAAGCCGACCAGTCCTTGTTTTAGCCCCTTAATGCCAAGCGCCAGACAGGGTAACAACAAGTACCATCTTTTACGTCTGTTGGTATGATGCGGCCGGGGATCAAACCCTGAACCTTCCGCTATCAAGGCGGACAAGGATGCTGGGGGTTCATTCTAAATCGGATTTCCCAAGCGTTCCCAAGTGTTCAGCTCTTACAAGAAGCATACTAAGATTACAAAGTCTGTTGTGTCTCTTTTCATTTTCGAGATAATGGTATTAATCTCTCTATAACACATATTTTGTATCTATTATGATCTAACAACAATATTAAACTTCAAGTCAGTGGAAAAAATGATTGCGAATTTGTTGTCAATGCCACTTTTCAAAGATATGTTCCAAGAGAGAAAAATTCACAACAATCATAAAAGGTATGTAAATGTCCCAGTGAAAGTGCTGAAATCACACACCTTGTAATCGGCCTTCAAAACAAACATATTTGGGGGCATGGACCAAAGCAGCGATTCAGTGGTGTGTGATAGTTTTTTCAATGGCTGATAGTCGGTGAGTGAGTTATGTTTAACACCGCTTTTAACAGTATTCCAGTCACATCATGGCCTGTCAGCTTAATGTTGGGAGGAAAGCCTCAAGTGATGCAGGTCTCAGACGTTTACCACTTCAGTGAAACCCACAAGCACGGATATGGTGCTGACAAACCTAGAAACATAATCGGGGCGAACTGGGATTCGAACCAACAATCATAGGTTTCTGGAGTGCCCAAGGGATGCAACTCTGCACAGCGAACTGTGGCACCTTAGACGACTGGGCCACCCATGCCCCCTCAGATATTTGAAACGACAATGGGACAAATTGGCTGATATGTAGACTTGGCTGCAGCATCTATACTACCGACAAAAAATGAGGGAACTATTGATTTGAATGTAGCTATCGTTCAGGTGTAAGTGGGTGGACTGGGCACCCAGCCGATTGTTTAAATTGTCAGTTATGTTGGTTGTCAGTTAATGCATCAAACTCATCCATTCGTGACCAACTCATGTTATTCCGGGACAAGCGGAATAGCGACTCGTGCACCTCTCATGGCCATTTTTGCAAACGGGTTCCGTCTAAGTGCAAGCTAAAAGAATTGTCAGCTCATTGTGTAATCATGCACGTATATTTCCCCACATTTTATATATTTCAGATGCAATTTATCACACATCGGGACATGCAGCATTATACAGTATGACTGAACACATTTAACTGTATATTGGGTATATTTTAGATGCAAGACGTGTAAAATCAAAAATTATTCCTGAGGTTTTTTTTGACCGAAAAACTTGATGTCATACGCGCATTTTGATTGCTTTGTCGTATTTTCGCACATAACATTCATCGATAGGGGGACGAGTTTTCTTGCAGGTTATGGAAAGGGGTGAGTGGTGACGAATGCAACAGCAACCAGGAAAAATAGAACTACCTGTTTTGTGCTTCTTCTTTTTATGTTTCTTTGTTTTGGGAGCGAACACAATGTCTCCAACCTCTATCTTCTTGTTAGCGCTAACCAGGATTCTCTCCGAGATGAGAGACATGTGATCCTCTCCCTCCCTTGAAGTCTCTGGGCCTTGTCTCTCACCACCAGAGGCGATACTCTGGGGTACAGGATCATTGGAAATTACCTCCCCTGATTGCGCCTCAAATGTAGTAATCTGACAAAGGTCATGACCTGCTTCAGGAGACATGGGCGACCCGGTAACTCCCGCATACACCTGCAATGCCGTTAATTCAGGGGAGTTAATTTTCACAACAGGCGGGAGATCAGGGGACGTAATTATTGCTTCTCTGCCACTACAGTTGTGTCCATCTTTGCACGAATCATAATCATCATCGATCATCTGTTTCACGGACACTTCTTGCTGAAGGCCAGATTCCTTTGATGGACGATTGTCTGATTTTAAATCCAGGAACTTAAATTTTCCCAAAATGTTTTTTTTGATAAAACTTCCAGGAGAGACATGTTTGCTTTCTTTTTCTGCTTTTCCACTGGAAGTGTTGGCAGAGGTCACATGACTGTCACGTGACACAGCAGAAGCAGACGCAGAAGGGGAATGAGCAGACGTGTGAGCTGGAACGGATGACAGTACTGCAAAGATAATTAACAATCTGTCAGAATTCTGGAAGAAGGGAAACCTGAATAAATGAATACGTACAGATAAAAAAACATGAGTTAGTCATTACCCACAGAGATCAAATTATCTGTGCAATTTGAGTGCATGAGTGTGTTTTTTGGAACACTCTTCTAGAATAAAATGGGGTTGGAACGATATATTTGTGCACCAGTGCATCACAAGTTTTCATGCAATGATGCAATACACGATACGCTTTTTGCTGTATTGATACAAGACAACACACTTATGTAAACATATAATTACAACTTACTTAAATACAAAAACTTACAACCCAGCAATTTTTGCAATTTTTTTTTGTAATTATCAACTGCTAAAAATAGCTGATACGAACATGTATCTACAGTTAGCTTTTCAATATGAACTTGCTCTGAAATATTTATAGTCAAGAAGTGATTTGATGTAAATATGTGTATCGTGATACATATTGTATCGTGGCCTTTGTATCATGACCTTGCTGTATCGTTTCACCCCTAATATTTAACATTTAACATAAAATAATTGGATGTTTCTACATAGCATCACTATTGTAGCTGTTTTGACCTACAAATTCAAGAAATATTGCAACTAACATCAGTTCCAGACAAGTCATCTGTGTTAAATATTTTAAAGTATGAAATAATTAAAGAAGGACTCTCCCTACATGTTACCAGAAACACAAATCTGTTCTTGTTTGGTCAAAATAACATTTTATACCTGAGTACCAGGTAGGAGATTGACAAAACATGTATCCTCAAGTCCTTCAACATCAAAAGAAATTCATTCAGCACTTACCATTTTTAACCAATGGAACCTCAGCTTTCTCTGCAATCCTGATGAGACTGCATTCAACGTTCCGCCTGAGCACAAAAATCTCATCCTCACACACAGACACGTCAGCGATGTAGCCGAGACGATCGGTCCCAGCAATGATCACATTTGCTTCAGGGTCAAGGATAAACATACCCAAGGGAGTCCAAGTCATGAGCTGAGTGGATCGATAGATATACAGTTTACCGAACTGGGGCTCCTGAGAGCCCATAGACTTCTCCATTTTAAAGAGAGGAATGTCAGGATTAGAACTGCCAATAAGGTCCTTGAACAAGAATGTGTTTTTGACAGAGCCATTTATGTCTGCTTTCCACAACCGACATCCCGGCCTGGATGCGTACATCTGAGCATCACTGATTTTACACAGCCCAGGAATGAAACAAGCGCCGAATCCTCCCAGACTGCAAAACAATAAGAGAGTTGTTTTAGTTCAGCAGCAGTCATCATAGAATAACACATTGACATAAATATCCCTGGTGATGATAGCCTTACATAAACGAGTCTGGCCCAGTTAAACCTGATATGTATCACAACCTCACTTTCAAGATATGTACTGTATCACAACCTCACTATCAAGATATGTACTGTATCACAACCTCGCTATCAAGATATGTACTGTATCACAACCTCACTATCAAGATATGTACTGTATCACCTCACTATCAAGATATGTACTGTATCACAACCTCACTATCAAGATATGTACTGTATCACAACCTCACTATCAAGATATGTACTGTATCACAACCTCACTATCAAGATATGTACTGTATCACCTCACTATCAAGATATGTACTGTATCACAACCTCACTATCAAGATATGTACTGTATCACAACCTCACTATCAAGATATGTACTGTATCACCTCACTATCAAGATGTGTACTGTATCACCTCACTATCAAGATATGTACTGTATCACAACCTCACTATCAAGATATGTACTGTATCACAACCTCACTATCAAGATATGTACTGTATCACCTCACTATCAAGATATGTACTGTATCACAACCTCACTATCAAGATATGTACTGTATCACAACCTCACTATCAAGATATGTACTGTATCACCTCACTATCAAGATATGTACTGTATCACAACCTCACTATCAAGATATGTACTGTATCACAACCTCACTATCAAGATGTGTACTGTATCACCTCACTATCAAGATATGTATTGTATCACAACCTCACTATCAAGATATGTACTGTATCACCTCACTATCAAGATATGTACTGTATCACAACCTCACTATCAAGATATGTACTGTATCACAACCTCACTATCAAGATGTGTACTGTATCACCTCACTATCAAGATATGTACTGTATCACAACCTCACTATCAAGATATGTACTGTATCACCTCACTATCAAGATATGTACTGTATCACAACCTCACTATCAAGATATGTACTGTATCACAACCTCACTATCAAGATGTGTACTGTATCACCTCACTATCAAGATATGTATTGTATCACAACCTCATAATCAAGATATGTACTGTATCACAACCTCAGTATCAAGATATGTACTGTATCACAACCTCACTATCAAGATATGTACTGTATCACAACCTCAGTATCAAGATATGTACTGTATCACCTCACTATCAAGATATGTACTGTATCACCTCTCTCTCTAGATATGCATTGCTTCACCTCGCTATCGAGATATATCACCTCGATATCAAGATATGCTTTATACCACCTTAATATCAAGACAGGTATTGTATCAGATTCACAATCAAGATATGTATTGTACCACCTCAATATCAAGATATATTGCCTCGATATCAAGATATGCTTTATACCACCTTAATATCAAGACAGGTATTGTATCAGATTCACTATCAAGATATGTATTGTACCACCTCAATATCAAGATATATTGCCTAGATATCAAGATATGCTTTATACCACCTTAATATCAAGACAGGTATTGTATCAGATTCACAATCAAGATATGTATTGTACCACCTCAATATCAAGATATATTGCCTAGATATCAAGATATGCTTTATACCACCTTAATATCAAGACAGGTATTGTATCAGATTCACTATCAAGATATGTATTGTACCACCTCAATATCAAGATATATTGCCTAGATATCTAGATGTATATTGTACTACCTCACTATCAAGACATACCACAATGTTTTTTGTTTGTTTGTTGTTTAACGCCACACTCATACATATTCCAGCTATATGACGGTGGTCTGTAAATAATCAAGCCTGGACCAGACAATCCAGTGATTGATATCATGAGCATCGATCCACGCAATTGGGATCGATGACATGCATCAACCAAGTCAGCGAGCCTGACCACCAAATCCCGTCAGTCCCCCCTTACGACAGCTGAAGACCTTTTCTAACCCTGATCTTCATGTTCATGGGTTATACCACCTCAGTATCAAGAAGAGTACATCCCTATACTTACAGCTTTCTGTCCTGTTGTCCGACTTGAGTGAGGCGATCCCGGTCGTCAAGGCGACAGATAAGTGACCGTTGTTTGGTGGACACGAGAAGGACCTTGTGGTCGTAGTGGAGCTGGATGATTTCAGCATGTGTCTCGATCAGGAGGATCGTCGACTTACACTGACCCTGGGGAAGTATCATAAGATTTGTTTACCACACATACTCAGACTTGAGAACATTTGTAATTATTGAATTCCAACAGCTTACATATTATGTCAAAGAAATAAAATTATGATGAATAAAGAAATCCCCATCTTGAAAATGAAAGAAATGTTGCATGATAATAATTAAAGAGAAACATATGTTGCAGAAGACACCTTATAAAGCCTAGAATTACAATCACACATAGCCTTGTTTATCTCAGGATAGAAGTCTACCTTCCAGACACACCTGATAGAAGTCTACCTCCCAGACCCACCTGATAGAAGTCCACCTCCCAGACCACCTGATAGAAGTCCACTTCCAATACAACCTGATAGAAGTCCACTTCCCAGACACAACTGATAGAAGTCCACCTCCCAAACACACCTGATAGAAGTCTACCTCCCAGACCACCTGATAGAAGTCCACCTCCCAGACACACCTGATAGAAGTCCACCTCCCAGACCACCTGATAGAAGTCCACCTCCCAAACACACCTGATAGAAGTCTACCTCCCAGAGCCACCTGATAGAAGTCCACCTCCCAGACCCACCTGATAGAAGTCTACCTCTCAGACCACCTGATAGAAGTCCACCTCCCAGACACACCTGATAGAAGTCCACCTCCCAGACCACCTGATAGAAGTCCACCTCCCAGACCACCTGATAGAAGTCCACCTCCCAGACCACCTGATAGAAGTCCACCTCCCAGAGCCACCTGATAGAAGTCCACCTCCTGTACCTAGCTGATAGAAGTCCACCTCCCAGACACACCTGATAGAAGTCCACCTCCCAGACACACCTGATAGAAGTCCACCTCCCAGACACAACTGATAGAAATCTACCTCCCAGACACACCTGATAGAAGTCCACCTCCCAGACACACCTGATAGAAGTCCACCTCCCAGAGCCACCTGATAGAAGTCCACCTCCCAGAGCCACCTGATAGAAGTCCACCTCCCAGACCACCTGAAAGAAGTCTACCTCCTGTACCCAGCTGATAAAAGGCCACCTCCCAGACCACCTGATAGAAGTCCACTTCCCAGACACACCTGATAGAAGTCCACCTCCTGTACCCAGCTGATAGAAATCTACCTCCCAGACACACCTGATAGAAGTCCACCTCCCAGACACACCTGATAGAAGTCCACCTCCCAGACCCACCTGATAGAAGTCCACCTCCCAGACCCACCTGATAGAAGTCCACCTCCCAGACCACCTGATAGAAGTCCACCTCCCAGACCACCTGATAGAAGTCCACCTCCTGTACCCAGCTGATAGAAGTCCACCTCCCAGACCACCTGATAGAAGTCCACTTCCCAGACACACCTGATAGAAGTCCACCTCCTGTACCCAGCTGATAGAAGTCCACCTCCCAGACACAACTGATAGAAATCTACCTCCTGTACCCAGCTGATAGAAGTCCACCTCCCAGACCACCTGATAGAAGTCCACTTCCAATGCAACCTGATAGAAGTCCACCTCCCAGACACACCTGATAGAAGTCCACCTCCCAGACATACCTGATAGAAGTCCACCTCCCAGACACAACTGATAGAAATCTACCTCCCAGACACACCTGATAGAAGTCCACCTCCCAGACACACCTGATAGAAGTCCACCTCCCAGAGCCACCTGATAGAAGTCCACCTCCCAGAGCCACCTGATAGAAGTCCACCTCCCAGACCACCTGATAGAAGTCTACCTCCTGTACCCAGCTGATAAAAGGCCACCTCCCAGACCACCTGATAGAAGTCCACTTCCAATACAACCTGATAGAAGTCCACCTCCCAGACCACCTGATAGAAGTCTACCTCCTGTACCCAGCTGATAGAATTCCACCTCCCAGACCACCTGATAGAAGTCCACTTCCAATACAACCTGATAGAAGTCCACCTCCCAGACCTACCTGATAGAAGTCCACCTCCGTGGTGACGACAGTGCCGCTCTTGTCCCCGGAGAACAGCCTCATGCCGTTAGTGCTCCACTCCACACACGTCAGATAGGACCGGTGCATGTCCTTCACATGGAACTTCTGAAGCTGCAAGGCAACACCAGGCTGTAAAATCATTTATCATCCAAAACTGGCTCCCACAGGAGATATCGCTTGGGTGAGATCAAGCAATATCTACATTGTTGATATCGTTGCAATGAAATTGCATCACAATGCTTAGCAGACTAATCACTAACCTGCTTGTTGATGACCTCCCCATATCAACCAATCACTAACCTGCTTGTTGATGACCTCCCCATATCAACCAATCACTAACCTGCTTGTTGAGGTCCCCATATCAACCAATCACTAACCTGCTTGTTGATAACCTCCCCATATCAACCAATCACTAACCTGCTTGTTGATGACCTCCTTGTATCAACCAATCACTAACCTGCTTGTTGATGACCTCCCTGTATCAACCAATCACTAACCTGCTTGTTGATGACCTCCCCGTATCAACCAATCACTAACCTGCTTGTTGGTGACCTCCCCATATCAACCAACCACTAACCTGCTTGTTGATGACCTCCTTGTATCAACCAATCACTAACCTGCTTGTTGATGACCCCATATCAACCAATCACTAACCTGCTTGTTGATGTCCCCATATCAACCAATCACTAACCTGCTTGTTGATAACCTCCCCATATCAACCAACCACTAACCTGCTTGTTGATGACCTCCTTGTATCAACCAATCACTAACCTGCTTGTTGATGACCCCATATCAACCAATCACTAACCTGCTTGTTGATGACCTCCCTGTATCAACCAATCACTAACCTGCTTGTTGATGACCTCCTTGAATCAACCAATCACTAACCTGCTTGTTGATGACCTCCTTGTATCAACCAATCACTAACCTGCTTGTTGATGACCTCCCCATATCAACCAATCACTAACCTGCTTGTTGATGACCTCCCCATATCAACCAATCACTAACCTGCTTGTTGATGACCTACCTGTATCAACCAATCACTAACCTGCTTGTTGATGACCTCCTTGTATCAACCAACCACTAACCTGCTTGTTGATGACCTCCTTGTATCAACCAATCACTAACCTGCTTGTTGATGACCCCATAGCAACCAATCACTAACCTGCTTGTTGATGACCTACCTGTATCAACCATTCACTAACCTGCTTGTTGATGACCCCATATCAACCAACCACTAACCCGCTTGTTGATAACCTCCCCGTATCAACCAATCACTAACCTGCTTGTTGATGACCTACCCGTATCAACCAATCACTAACCTGCTTGTTGAGACCTGTCATCATTGACGGCAGCAGGAACATACACACAGCACCTGACGCCATGCCGACGGCCAGCTGGTAGTCTATCCCATGATGCAGTTGGATGCAGGTGACAACATCACTGGGTGTCTGCAATCACAGATTGTGTAAGTACACAGTCATCCACAATCACCACATCTCAACTTCTAATGAGGCTAAACAATCATAGTTTTGTTTTAAGGATGAGTTTACCATAATTTTTTCAAGAGTAATAAACAAAAAGTTCAAATGCTGTTGATTACAACAATATAGTACATCTTTTTGTTTGTTTTGATTTCAAACTTTATTTCAAGGTGAGATTTGTATGAAATTAACCCTACAAAACGAAGATGTGCTTTTAAATCACCTCCTGTGTGCTGGTGTATATACTGACCAAAATATATAGCAAGAAAAAGAGATTATTAGCTGAATGTGTTTGTATTATGCGATCTTATTGTTGCTTAATGCTGATGGGCTATATTGCATCAATTGTTTTCTCTTGCAAGGTTTTACGCGACTCACAAATTTTGAGATCAGAAAAATAATATACTGTGCCCTAGGGTAATGTAGCTGGGTAACGCAGCTGGGTAATACAACTGGGTAACGCAGCTTGGTAATGCAGCTGGGTAATGCAGTTGGGTAACACAGCTGGGTAATGCAGTTGGGTAATGCAGTTGGGTAACACAGCTGGGTAATGCAGCTGGGTAATGCAGCTGCGCAATGCAGTTGGGTAACAGAGCTGGGTAATGCAGCTTGGTAATGCAGTTGGGTAGCTGTGTAATGCAGCTGGGTAACACAGCTGTGTAATGCAGCTGGGTTATGCAGCTGGGTAATGCATCAAACTTTAACAATAAACCAGACTTACATCAGTCTTCAGTCTATCCATAGTGTGTTTTTTTCTATCATAGAGAAACACCAAGCCAATGTTTGTCCCCAACGCAATGTACGACTTGTCTGCGGACACACAGGTCATAATGAGGTCACACTGCATCAGCAGACCTCGCTGAGCCTTCTTTGGAATCTGAGAGAGAATTCCCCACAGAGGTTCAAACTCCCTTGGAATAGGCATGTCATCGGTTTTCTCCTCGGTAGCTCCAGAAACTTGACCCTTCCCTGAACTCTTTTCTGGGGTAGCACTAGCCTCATCAGCTTTCTCCTCAGCTCCAGAAACTTGACCCTTCCCTGAACTCCTTCCTGGGAGAACACTAGCATCAGCATTTATCTCCTCAGCTCCAGAAAGTTCATTCTTCTCTGAACTCTTTCCTGGGAGAGTATTAGCATCATCAGTTTTCTCCTCAGCTCCAAAATCTTGACCCTTCCCTGAACTCTTTCTTGGGGTAGAACTAGCCTCATGAGCTTTCTCCCCAGCTCCAGAAACTTGACCCATCCCTGAACTCTCTCCTTGTGGAGCACTGGCAACACTCTGAGATTGTTCCAATCCCTCTGAATCACACTCTGAAGATGGAACAAGAGGTTTGGTTGCAGCAGCATCCTGCCCACGACCTTCACCTTGAGTCTTTCTTTTCTTGTCTTCATCCCCAGAGAGGGATGGATCTGTTTCTTTCACATCATCAGCAGAGTCAGGTTCATCAGCAGGTTTATCATTGTCTGACTTGTTCGATTCGGTTGCTTCTGCAGCAGCTGGTCTCCGTTCACAACCATCTTTACGTTCCGTCATCTCTTCCTGGGAGGAATCACCTCCTGTTCCTTCAACACAATCCTCCTCCTTCCCACCATCTTCCTGCAAGTTACGACCATCGGACATGATGTGCTACGGAAGTTGGTTGTCTCAGATGTCCTGGAGCTACGCTCCTATAAATCACATTGTATAGTCCAAGTCACTTTGTGTACTGAGGCCTCGACATCGTCACAGCATCTGCAAGAAGCAAGAAAAAGGGCCCATCAGTGAAACGCATAATGCTTTACATTGCCTAGTACTACTACTACTAGTCCTCTCAATGCAAGCCTACTGTAGGTGTATTGTGTTTACTCAGTGTAGGTTCATAAAGGCTTGCTGAACATCACTGACTTGTAATCTTATGTACACATGGACAATAACATTGTGTGATCTACTAGCTATTGTTCCTACGATTGCCTTCTTGACACTGCTTAGTAGAGCTGAATATCGCCAGGTATCTTGCGATACAATACATTTCACGATACAGACTGACGATACCACTGGTATCACGATACACCACCAAATAGGAAAAAATGATACATATAGCGATACGCATATTTATGTCAAATCGCATGGAACCACCTTGACAAAAAATATTCATACATTTACTTATTATTATCTCAAAAACCAAAAACTTGTTAACCAAAAAACAAGACCAAAATAGTTTTAAATGAAGGGATGGTTATTAAACAGTATTAGAAATTGGCACTAGTCCTGTTGTCTTTGTCTGTTACCCAATAGTTAAGGTATCATAAGGACTAGTAGAAATTTGCCATTTTTAGGGTTTTGCTATATGTTATCATTATAAGGCCTAGTGGACTAAAAATGTTAGTTTCTATTGCTGATTAAATGTAAAGCCTACTGTCACTACGTCCTCGTGTTCCGCCATGCCTACAAGTTGTGCTATGCTACTTCTGCCATTACAGGAGATAACTCTTATCAGTTTTTGTTCTATTTATAGCGTATCACGATTTCACAAACTGACTATCAAGTATCGTCTGTACCTTTAATAGTATCAATGATATTATAAGTATCGTGAATCGTTACAGCCCTAATGCTTAGTGCAGAGTCATTCATCTGATGAAGATAACATATAAACAGTTTAACATGGATACCCCACTCAGACACAGTATATACTGACTCAGAGCCAGACAGGGAAACAAGTGAGTGAGTGAGTGAGTTGGGTTTAACGCCGCTTTTAACATTATTCCAGTTATATCACGGCGTGTCAGCTTAATGTGGGAGGAAAGCCCGCAGTGATGCAGGTCTCAGACGTTTACCACTTCGGTGAAAGCCATGAGCACGGGTATCGTGCTGACAAACCTAGAAACAGAATCAGGGCGGACCGGGATTCGAACCCACAATCATAGGTTTCTGGCATGCCCAGGGGACGCAACTCTGCACAGCGAATCGCGGCGCCTTAGACGACTGGGCCACCCGTGCCCCCCAGGGTAACAAGTACCATCTTCTAACACTTTTGGTATGTCAAGGCTAGGGGATTGAACCATGGACCGTCTGCTCTCCGGACAAAGTACAAATATTTAAACATAGTGACATGGCAGTGCATTGTCACAGTTCCCATCCATGTATCAGTTACATATAGGACTTGAGTATGAGAATACATTACAGTTATAAAAAAAACATGATCGCAGGTGAGCAAAGGGATTGTGATCTTACTGCTATAATCAGTAATACTTGGTCTATGACATTATCAAAGTTGTAATCAACCCTGTGACCACGGTAACAGGCCACTAGATCTATTTAGCCTTAATCAAGGGCAATTGGGGTCAAAAAATGTTTTCTGAAAATAGCAACATCACTTGAGGCTAGGAACTCAACTCATTCGTATTTTCCAGTTTACAATTATGACAAAACATAAATTTTTAATTGAAATATTTGGCAGAAGTGGATCAAGAAGTGTGTGTGTGTGTGTGTGTGTGTGTGTGTGTGTGTGTGTGTGTGTGTCATATTTCAAAATGATCACTTTCATTTAGTTGGGACCCCCTTTGAAGCTGCCACTGTTTGATACAGCAAGATCACGATATGATATGATACGTATCATGATACATAGCTCACGATATTATAAGTATCGCGATCCGCATATTTACGTCAAATCGCATGGAACCTTCTTGACAAAAAAATATTTTAGAGCAGGTTCAAAAGGAAAAGCTAGCTGCAGACACTTGTTCATCATGTTCATGGCAGCTATTTTTAGAGTGAGTGAGTGAGTGAGTTGGGTTTTACGCCGCTTTTAACAGTATTCCAGTCATATCGCGGCGTGTCAGCTTAATGTGGGAGGAAAGCCCGAAGTGATGCAGGTATCAGACGTTTACCACTTCGATGAAACCCACGAGCACGGGTATGGTGCTGACAAACCTAGAAACATAATCGGGGCGAACCGGGATTCCAACCCACAATCATAGGTTTCTGGCGTGCCCAAGGGACGCAACTCTGCACAGCGAATCGCGGCGCCTTAGACGACTGGGCCACCCGTGCCCCCCTATTTTTAGAAGTGAATTTGAAACCCTAATTTAAACACATTTTGCTACATCTGACTGACAAAAACGCCATTAAACGAATAGTGAGTAATATATTTCGGTAGTGTGTTTCATCTAGTATTGATACAGAAAAAATGTATCATGTATCGTATCATCACATGAAAACTCACGTGCAACAGTGCACCGATGTACCGATTCATCCCAAGTAATCAGATTAAATTGTTGGGGAACCAGGGTTAATGTGCACTATTACAGAGCTTGTAAATGATCTCGTTAATCAGCTTACGACTCGATAAGAACGAGGGGTTGTATCAGATAGGCTACTCTCGGACTGCAGTGAGAGATAGAATCAGTCATATTGATTACTCTGAGCATGTGGTAGATAGGTAGGATCTAGCAGTTACTGGCTCCTGTTGCTATTCCGTCACATAATATTGAACCCGAACATATTTGGATCAGGGAAAGTTATGGTCCAGCAACAATTGTGCTCTATATCCGTCTGTCTGATTCAATTTATGCTCATATTGTGAAGGAAATACAGACATACATATAAGCGGCATATATACATGCCGTTATAGAAGCAGCAGTTCACAATTTTGGAAACGGAGCAAAATGTTAAGGTACCCATTCCTGATTTCATCTGCTGATGATGAATGAGATGAAATTACATTTACAGGCAGTGTCACCTCACATGACATCGTATTAATTCCATAAAATCTGACATCCTGGTTGAAATGTTCGTAGATTATGAATCAAGCATGGCTAAACAATTACTGTATTCACAGAATATATGCCGTCTCATGATGTGATAAACCCATTACAGAAATATTTCGAAAACACTTTACCAGCGACAACAGCTCATGTGACAGACTTCGCCATGACGTTCTATCGATCGAGACGAGTCCACTACAAAATGAGGGGTGAGAAAATATAATACCAGCTAAAGATAGTTTGAAAACTGAAAAAATACTTATAAAACGTAGCCCGTTTCTTAAATGACAAGTTACATATTATTCTATCCTACAACATATATTCTGTAAGTAAATACAAATGTGTTACAAAAGGTACCGGTTTTCCTAACACCCATTGTGTTTTAGAATCGTCCATAGGGGGTTTCCCCAAATTTGTAGAATCCTGTTCCGGCGGAGTAGGGAACCGGATGGTCGGGTCGGACGAACAACGTGCAACGAACCGTTATTGATTTTGTGTCTACGCTTGACTAACGAATGTGTGTGATTGGTCAGTAAACACAGTCATTTTTTTTCTTTGTCAATATACATATACATATCCCTAAATAGATGACATGGCCTTACAATGGTTATATGCACCACAGGAACTTGATGATATCGTGTATAGCATATAATATACCCCTCTAAATATATACAGTCTCTATGTATATAGAGGGGTGTGATTTTTTTCTATACGAATATATTATGCTATACACGCTATCATCGAGTTCCTGTGATATGCACCCATGTCGATAGGACTTGCTATTAGACTACACATTTAATCAACTTGAAATTTAGATACACTTAGATGGTGGTGTATGATTCGTGTATTTAGGACCTGTTGAATTTTCCTGCATATACAGTACGCTAACAGGGAACAGTTGCATTTTCCTGGATGTACAGATTTGACAAGATTGAATTTATGTAAAATGGAATAGAAGAGTAATTTAAATTGCTGCCTTGCTGCAGGTGCTAAAACTTTTAAAAGATATGTTTTGTTTGTTTGTTGTTTAAGGCCGCACTCAGCAGTATTCCAGCTGTATGACGGCAGTCTGTAAATAATCGAGTCTGGACCAGACAATCCAGTGATTGATATCATGAGCATTGATCCACGCATTTGGGATCGATGACATGCATCAACCAAGTCAGCGAGCAAAGATATGTAAACAAAATGTTCTCTATGTTTCATATTATATTATGGATTGAGAATAATTTGAAATAACTATTTAACTGTTTACAGAGATGCAAATTAACCTACAACATTAACTGACCTGACTAGTCATAGCATACACCCCCAACTAGGGCTGCCCGGGTACCCACCCCTTTGTTACCTGACCCAACCTGGGTACTTGCTGTAGGACTCAAGATGTACCGTATTCGACGTAATAAGCACCCCGCTTTAATAAGCGCCCACTGCGATATTTGCTAATATATTGGCTAGTGAACAATCTCAATTAGCACCCCTTCCGATTGATCAATGTACACAAGACTTATTTATTCGTGTATACTACGCACTCGTGTGTTATATGCACCCTTAAGTATGGGCAATTAAATCCTGGAAAAATATATACCCCAGGTATGTCGTATATATAAACATTTCAGGCTGTCAGCATAAACCACCAAATTTACGAACTTTTAACTCTGTTTCTTTCACCAAAATGATATTCTTATTAGAGCCCCCTATTTCTAATTTTGAGAGCGCCCTGGGTGCTTATTACGTCGAATACAGTATCTACAAAATGTCCAGTTGGGAACACTTTGACCGTAGCCCTGGCAAACTGTAATTAGATACACATATAAAACAATCTGGTCATGCATAGACTGAAGTTGACTGAAATTTTATCTTTTTTCAAACATATAAAAGTCAGAAGGTTTGCATGCATAGTCAGTAAGCAATGCTAACATTAGTGACTTGTAGTGTCAAGATAATTTTTGTCATTAAACAATATATCATGTGACTAGCCACATGTCTGGGTAGTCCTGTGGGTACCTGGGTCCTGCTCAGAACCCACTCGACCCGAGTGCCCGAGTTACCCATCCCCACAAACTTACTCCAGCAAGCAGGTAACTGTCAATGTGCATCCCTGTTCTTAACTTAACTTAACTTAATTGTAGGAAGCAGGCAGGAGCAGGGGGACAATCTTTTGAAGTGGGGTGACATTACAAATGATCTCCATTGTGTGTAAATAGATCAAGGAATAACAGCGTTTATTTATTAATTGCGTCATGATCAAATTATGTACCCTTTTTATGTCAATAATCTTTGTTTCATAAAATATAAGATAGTTATCCCTAATATTTCCCTGATGACCCATGTAAAAATAGAGTAAACTACGGTTACAACGAACTCAAAGGGACCACTAATGTTAGTTCGTTATAATTGTGAGGTGAGGTGAAAATGGGGTTGTCGCGTCCAAGATTATTGCGCTTATATAGCGACATACATGCACGTGTATGTGTGTGTGTGGCTGCTTGTACTAGCCCGGATTGATGCCGATTTATAGTGCTAGCTCACTGAGATACCGTGCTGCAGTTTAACATGAATACCTCACTCAGGCGCAGTAAACTGACTCCGAGCCGACCAGTCCTTGTTTTAGCCCCTTAATGCCGAGCGCCAGACAGGGTAACAACAAGTACCATCTTTTAACGTCTTTTGGTATGAGGCGGTCGGGGATCGAACCCCGGACCTTCCGCTCTCTGGGTGGACGCTCTACCATTAGACCATGACACAGTCTGTTATAATTGTAGTTCGTTATACATGTTATAAGCATATGTACATCATATATATATAGCATATTGTCGGGACTAAGAATTAAGTTCATTATATATGTCAGTTTGTTATAAATGTGTTTGTTATAAACATAGTTTACTGTATATCATGAAACATTAACTTTGTCAGTGATTTAATTGCTTGTGGTGATGTGGTAGTCTGAAATTGTTGAACTATCACTGTCAATAGACACAATGCTTTTTACAGTGAACATATTTCAGATTATATATCATATACCATGTATACAGGAGTTTTTATGGTGTTAATTTTTTTAATTGGATTAGAGTGTTTAAAATAAACATAAGTTTACTTTTTGTTTCTTTCTTTAAATAATAAAAAATAAGTAAAGCATGCCTTATACCATATGCTCAATAAGGTGAGAGAGTTATCCGTCTTTATGTAGAAAGAAGATAAAGGGACGATCCCTTACAATATCAGGGGCACGGGTGGCCCAGTTGTCTAAGGTGCCACAATTAGCTGTGCAGAGTTGCATCCCTTGGGCATGCCAGAAACCTAAGATTGTGGGTTCGAATCCCAGTTTGCCCCAGTTATGTCTTTAGGTTTGTCAGCACCATACCTGTGCTTGTGGATTTTACTGAAGTGGTAGACCTGCATCGGGCGGTCGGGTAGCCTAGTGGTAAAAGCGTTCGCTCGTCACGCCAGGACCCGGGTTCGATTCCCGACATGGGTACAATGTGTGAAGCCCATTTCTGGTGTCCCCCGCCGTGATATTGCTGGGATATTGCTAAAAGCGGCGTAAAACCACACTCACTCACTCACTAAGACCTGCATCACTTCGGGCTTTCCTCTCACATTAAGCTGGCATGCTGTGACATAATAACAGGAATACTGTTAAAAGCGGCATTAAACCCAGCTCACTCACTCCCTTATAATATAACTTCAGTCTTCCATGGAGAACATTTTATTTTTAGTCAGTCAACAGAAGAAAAAGTTATTCAAACTGAAAATATGTAACCCCAAGCATCACCATATGAAGTTCCAGGTCTTTGGTAGTCTTTGTGTTTACTATAAATCCTTCGGGGCGGTCGGGTAGCCTAGTGGTTAAAGCGTTCGCTCGTCACGCCGAAGACCCGGGTTCGATTCCCGACATGGGTACAATGTGTGAAGCCCATTTCTGGTGTCACCGTGATATTGCTGGAATATTGCTAAAAGCGGCGTAAAACCATACTCACTCACTCACTATAAATCCTTCATGATGTCAACAAAGTGTTAATTTCATAACATTCCATTTTTAAGCGCACATTTCTTATTGTTTTAAAACCAGTTGGTAGTGACAGACTAAAATTTACTAAGTCATTGCTCGGGAATTGCAGTATTTTTATGCCATAGTTAATGATTGCAAGCAGCTGTATGTAGTATACAAACAGTGTGGCCCGTTATCCAACTGAAACATGTGGAACTTGTCTCAAACTATTCAAATGAGGTTCATACAACTCTTGCTCAGAAGTTGTTTGATCAGGGTTACAACATTCAAGGCCTTTGTAAAGCTTTCAAAACCTTTTATGGTGGACTTGTGGAGAATATTTCCAAATGACAATTTGAACCAAACAAACTCAATGAGATAACTCTGTAATGTAATGGCGTCATATAACAATAGGCAGATATTGGTGGGAAATAAGTAAGCTGCCTTACAGAAATTCATTACCAGTTAGGGGGGCACGGATGGCCCAGTCGTCTAAGGCGCCATGATTCGCTGTTCAGAGTTGCGTCCCTTGGGCACGCCAGAAACCTATGATTGTGGGTTGGAATCCCGGTTCGCCCAGATTATGTTTCTAGGTTTGACAGCACCATACCCGTGCTCGTGGGTTTCACCGAAGTTGTTAACGTCTGAGACCTGCATCACTTCGAGCTTTCCTCCCACATTAAGCTGACACGCCGTGAAATAAATGGAATAATGTTAAAAGCGGCGTTAAACCCAACTCACTCACTCACTCATTACCAGTTAGTATCTTCAAATTAATGTGTTTAGAATGAAAATTACGGACAATGTGTCACTCATTAATCAACTTCTGTAATCACTCGTACCTGGTTGGTTAAGTGAATGCATACACCCCAGTATCACCCCAACCCCAACCACCCCTGTGAAGATCCCGGTTGATCGCTGACTTATTTGATGCATGTGATCATATCCCAGTTAAGTAGATCAATGATGTTGTCAATCCTTGGAGTGTCTGGTCCAGTCTCGATTATTTACAGACCGCTGTCATTTCACGTAAATATTGCTGATTTCGACCTTATACCACACACACATGGTGCTAATCTTGATACCGTATTCGACATAATAAGCGCCCAGGGCACTCTCAAAATTAGAAATAGGGGGCTCTAGAATCTTATTTTGGTGAAAAACAACAGAGTTGAAAGATTGTAAATTTTGTGGTATATGCTGAAAGCCTGAAATGTTTATATACGACAGATATATTTTTCCAGAATTTAATTTTCCATAATTAAGGATGCATTTAACACACATATTATACAAGAATAAATAAGTCTTGTGTACATTGATCAATCAGAAGGGGTGCTAATTGGGATTGTTCACTAGCCAATATATTAGCAAATATAGCCGCGGGCGCTTACTATGTCGAATACGGTATTCAATCCCAACAAGACATTAGCACCGGCCCCGTGGAGTTCCAGCTGTTGCAAGCTGACACTGGCATCGTACATGCAGGGCAAATGTATATGACATTTGTGATTGATTTGTTAGCATACATCCATTTTTG